TTATTAACAAGATCACTACTACCTAATATTGGCAGCTTAAGCTAGTTATATACTTATATGGTTATAAATAAGATTTCAATAAAGATTTTTATCTGGTCAAATTGTCGATTTTCGGAAAAAAGAAAACTCGTACGGGGCGGGCATTAGAAAGACCTAGCTATTAGATATTCTGAGAGACATATGGGCGGACAGACGAATAGACTCAAGGTCACGGCTGGATCGCAAGCATATATAATACTTTATGGGGTCAGAGATGTTTTCTTCTTGTTCCTATTACATAATACCAGTATACCCTTTTACCCATGTTCAATGAGTGCAGGGTATAAAATCAAATGTTAAAAAAAAAACAAATTAAATATTTCGGGCTTTTTATTTCCCTCGATTGTGATTCGATTTTATGTGCATTGATTTTTGAGGCGCGAAAAGTGGTGTTGTCTGGCATAAAGACCACATTGTCGGAACTATTTAGTTGCCCCGAGCTCGTGTTGCATGCCGCCATCAAGCGGCAGAGGTCGAGTGATTGTGTGCCGCAAATGGCGCAACATGTCAATATTTTGTATGCCATGCATTATGCAGGCATTAGCGGCGTTTTATGACTCAATTAAGTGGCCGTAAAACAAAGTTGTGCAGCTCTATTAACAGACCAGTTTAATGGCCTGCTACCGAGCCGACCAGCCAGCCGATAACCAGAAGCCCACTAATTATGCGGCTTTTCTCTGGAAGCCGCTTGGCTCAGCATCCAAGTCCAACCAAAGCAAAAAACCAAAAGCCCAATCGCAACGCTTGAAGGCGGTTTGCGGCGACGTTTTTTTTTGCCTCTCTTTTAGCCCTGTTCAGTCCTTTTTGCTGTTTACCTTTTTGGTTTTCCGTCTTTTCAATCCCCAGTTTCAGTCACCCAGTTACCCAGTTACTCATTTACCTGGAAAGCCGCTGTCTGGGCAAGTGTTAATAATCTTTGTAAATAATAACACAATTTGTGGCTCTATTATACGATTGTGAAGGGTATCATGACGCAGTCACTAAATATGTTACGCATAGAAGGAGACACCTTCGTTTTCATAGTATATTCAGTCGATTTAACCATGTCCTTCTGTGCGTCTCTCTGTTTTTCCGCTAAAAGCTATCATCATCAACATTTTTTTCGGTCTTTCTGATTTTGGTAGCATGTTATGTAAGTGTCATGCGATCTATCAAAACTAAACGCTTAAACATCGGACTAATATATCATATAGCTACGGAGCGTTTTGTGTGGAAAAGCGTTCTGCTTTTCAAGATATATTCGGCAAACTCAGCAGTTACGAGCTTCCCAATGTCTTCCCAATATCTGGATAACCGTAATCCCTTTGTCTACAAGGGTATTTAATCTTCGTTTCGTTCTCTGTTGTATTTCGCATGAATTCAACTGCAACACAAAACATGCTGCGCCGCACTGTCACGTTGTTTGTGCTTGCGGGTATTACAAGTATTTAAATAAACATGCATTTGTATATCTAAGAGTATAAGTCCTTTGCTAAAAAATTGAATTATTGCATATGATAAGCATTAAATTCCCACAATATGATAAGTTAATGCAGCTGGCAGTCCAAAAATATTACCGTATTATGATAAAATAAAACAAGTCTACAATGAGAGTATATTATCTTATATTTAATTATTCTTTGGAAATGCATTTAAATAAATAACAGCTAATCGCTTTCAACTCAACTGTTTCGTTTCTGGAATTACGCTCTTTTAACTGTTACTCGAATCTTGGGTTAAACAAGTTGCACAATATCACAACAAGCCAAAACAAGTAAGAGGTTCTAGACGGGAGCTCCCAACTAGGGGATACGCTGAACCCTCTTGTACATGTCAAGTTTGGTGACTCTAGCTCTTATTATTTACCAAAATTGCCCAAAAAACAGGATATCGATATCGATTTTTATCGATTGCTTGGAAACGGAGTAAGTTATCGATTATCGGAAACAAACTCAATCTGCGCAGGCACTAGGAGCACCTACATCTAAAATTTCAAGTCTCTAGCTCCTATAGGTTCTGAGATCCTTGCGGTCATACATACGGACGGCTAGATCGACTCGGCTATTGATGCTGATCAAGAATATATTATATATATATATATATATATATATATGGGGTCGGAGAAGCTTCCTTCTGCCTGTTACAACATTTGAAGTTTGCACAAATACAATATACCCTTGTACCCATTTTTAATGGGTTCAGGGTATAAAAAAAAGTATTTGGCTCAAATAGCGTTAATTTAAATTAAATTGATTGAATGACAGATTGTGATACGAAGATTAAGCCAAACAAATTCAATTTAAAATTTAACAAAAAATGGGTGCAACCCAAAATCCAAATTGTTGAGAGGAAACTTTTGTTATTTTGGCCAAAATGTGACACACCTGGTCCCTACCAACCGCAAACCGAATCGCACAAAATGTAATATTTGAAAACTTTCACATTTAATGCTTAAGTTTCTTTGCCAAAGCGAGCTTATCGTAATAAGAAATACTAAACACATAATCGCATGCATCTGCATATGGCACACCACATTTGGTATGCACCCAACATTGGGTTACTTTCGGCTTTAGATTTAAGAGTTTGGAGTCTATTTGGACGAACGAATCGGCTTTTCCATCAGTTGCTTAGTACAAACTCAACGACAGTACATATAAGGTATTTAAAAGTATAAATATGTGTTCACCAATTCTCGTGTATCTGCAGTCTCAAGATGTCAGTATCTAATCTCGATTTTGATTGCAATCGTTTATCTCCCCATCAACCCCATGACACCAATCTGATATATGTCATATGAGCACCAGTTGCTTTAGTTGGGGCACTTTCTTTCACAGAATGTGATGCTCTCCCCGCGCCGCTCTGTTTGCAGTTGTTGCTGGTCTCGTTTAAATGGGCTAAGGGCAAAGTGGAAATCAATGCTAATTAAAGTCATGTCGATATTTGACTATACACATTCATACGTTTCGAAACTTTTGTTGGCGGCCCGCATAGCATAGTGACAGTCAGATGCTGAAGCCGACTGCCGTCTGTTTCAGTGTCAAATGTCAACTTCCATGCTGATGACGATAGAACAACAACAGCAACAACAACGTCAGCAACAACAGCAACAACAAGTGTGGCAATTAGACGACTCTCAAAGTGACGTCAAAGCAACAGCCCATAAGTGTTTATGCATACACAATTATGTGTGTATGCATATGACTCTGTGTGTGTGTGTGTGTGTGTGTGCGTGTGTATGCAGTGGTGCTATGATATATAACATTTAATTGACACATGTATAGCTTGTCAACAAAACACCGCTGCCTCTGGCATCGATAGTCCACCTCAGCCCCGTATCCCCACGCACCTTCCCCCATCAGCACTAGCTTTGGCGTTGACATGCCGCCAACGCCTGCTGGTTGCTGCCCCCGACTGCTCGTTGGGGCCAACTTTAAATTATGCCTGCGTGATATATGGGTACGCTAATTGTGGCTGCTGATGGCGAAGGGTGGGAGCTGCTATCGTGGAAAACTAAACGAATGGAAATCGTGCGAATTTGCAGCGAGTGTAAAAAGTTTTTCTTGTTTTCTATTGGTTTTCCAGTCGATTTAGTTGCTAAACGCTGTTGACGTTACGAATGTGTGCGTGCCAGTTTTGTGTTCGCTTATTTGTTGTCTTGTTGGCTGTTTGTTAAACAAATCCACGCCGTTAATTGCCAGCCAAAGTGTCAAATGCAGACCGACAAGACACAACAGCCCAACAAAACAAAACAATACAAAACAAGACAAAACAAATGTGCAGTGAAGCCAGGCAAACTGAAAGGAAACTTTCCTCATGAAGAATTCCAAGAACATAAAGATATTACGACACAGATCTAGATTTGACAAGCTTCTACTCCAGCAGCGCTCTTCAGTTGGCCCATTAGGGCCGAGGCGTCTGCTCGTCTAGCTGCCACTTTGGACTGCCACTTAATAAATAGTTTGATGCATTATTCTTGCTTGCATTCAATCAATAAGGCAATCGACTGTGCATCCCCTCTTTACTGCTGGCTCCGCCGTCGTCTTTCTCCCTGCTCAGTTGTTTTCCTAGTGGCTTTTCCGCAAAATGCTTTTAATTCAATTTTATTTCAATTTAATTGCCACATTGCCTTTGCCGCTGCCGCTGCTGCTGCTGCTGGTGCTGCCTTTGCTTTTGCCTTTGCCTGGCATAGCCATTGCATATGTTGTCTATATGGGCCTGCCTATCTCTGTCGATCAGTTCGACACGATGACTGGGACCTGGAAATGGGACTGCGACTGCGACTGCAAATGCGAGTTCGACTGACTGGACTGATTATTTCGCCCCGCTCTTGATATTATACAATATTTTTGCGTTGATATATATGCACGGCAGCAGCTTTTCAATGGATTTCGACTTCTTTGGCTCAAGTTTTCTATGAATTTCCCATAAACAATACTAAATGGAATGGCTGGCATGCATTTGGCGGCAATTGAACTACTTTTTGAATAGTTTTCCAATGCGATTTATGCGTGCAGCTCATGCAGGGGCATCCGAATCGATTGCACAACACGAGAATAACATTAAATTGAATTCGAATGACCATTAAAATATATGCGAGCTGTTCAAATAGATAATAAAGCAGCTTTTGTTGAGTGCACTTTATAAAGTGGCTGCTAAAGTAAATGTAACCCACAACAAACAATGCGAACACAGCAACCTCTTGCCCACTTGATAATGATGCGTGCCACAGGCGAGACGCATTGACAGTATTAATTACTTGGACACTGGGGCGTATGCGTAATATGTGACACTTGACAGCGCCTTGATGGATGCATGATTGGGTGATGGGTGGCAGCACGTTTAACAGATAAGCCTATAGCATAAGTAAGGCAGAGTTAATGCAGCGTTGACGAGTGACCTTCAGCAGCGGCTTTGGGTTACCGCAAGCAGTAAATCGTCATAAAAATAAAATGCAATCATACACATTTCCCATTGCCTTACAGACCCGCACACGTTTTCTTATTGGTTTGGGTGTTAGCAAGGCGACACACACGGATTGGAGCTGCCCAGCTTGACGGCGCCATGGAATTAACAAAGCCTTTCAGTTTATTGGCGCTCGCACTGTTCGCAGTGCTGGCGTTTTATGGCCGCTCCGCAGATGCCTGTATGTGCATGCCCTCGCATCCACAGACGCATTACTGCACTGCTGATTATGGTGAGTAGAAATGAGAAGCAATGGGGTGTTAAGTGCTATGTGTAAAGGATGTTCACATATCCTTGGAGAATTCTATTAAAATGCCAGCATTTCCTTGACAGTTGTGCAGCTGCGCGTTCTGCGCAAGTCGAATTCCATCGAGCCGGGCAAAACCACCTTCAAGGTGCACATAAAGCGCACCTATAAGGTAAGCACTCGGCACTCGTGGCCCTGCCCCTATATCATTCCTCAACAGACGAATCGTTTTTCTTTCGCCTAGGCCACACCGGAAGCGCGCAGAATGCTGCGTGACGGTCGTCTGTCCACGCCCAATAATGACGCGATGTGCGGAATTCAGCTGGACATTGGCAAGGTGTACATTATAGCTGGACGCATGCCCCAGCTAAATCTGTGCAGCTACTACAAGGAATACACTAAGATGACAATCAGCGAGCGCCACGGCTTCAGCGGCGCCTACGGCTTGGCCTGCAACTGCACGGTAAGTGTGCTTCAGCCAGCATGTGCCCCAATCAATATAGCTGCCAGCTAAAATCGAATCCTTCCCATTTGCTCGCACAGATCACCCCATGCTTTGGCATGCAGTGCCTGCGACAGCGGGAGTACGCCGACGGCTGCAAGTGGTCGCCGTACGGCAAGTGCGAGCGGGACTACTCCGCCTGCGTGCCCCACAACATCAAATCGCCGATGGGCGATATCCAGCGCTGCCGCTGGCGACGCACACAGCTCTACAAAAAGTGCCTAAGCTATCCGTAGAATATGCAAAAGGCGGCCGGAGTGCCTTCTGTTATTCTATGGTTTTTATTTAAATTTTATATTTGAGTTTTGTGTAGAGCTTTAATTTGTACGTTATGCTTAATGTGTTATTTATTAATGGACGTCTTTTAGATGTGACCACGATTCAATGTAGCTACTTAATTAGTAATTAGCTCTTAATGTTTAATACACTTACCAAATCACGCGGATTCGGGAAGAATGTTTGCTCGATCAACGGAAAGCCGTCGCGGCCCAGGCGACGCTGCAGCTGCAGCAGATGCGAGAACACCCATGGCTTGTCCTGTCCAATAACAATAACAAAGATTGCGAAAGATTGCACCATTAACACCCACAACAGGCACTCGGAAGGAGCTCTCAACTCACCTGAAACTGGTAGATGGAATGCAACGAGTTGATGCTGGGCACTCCGCCGTATTTGAGACCCAATATTGTTGATCGGTAATCGCTGGAGCCGTCACGCGGCGGCTGGCGGATCAATACGAAATCCGGGCGAAACGAGCGGGCAACCTGTATTTGTTTTGTTTTTTTTTTTTTATTTTTGTTTTGGTGTGTGATATTCCAAAGTTACATTAGAAACCAATATGAAAAGCAGAATATAATTTTGTAATTTTAGTTGACTCTTAACTAATTAGATGCAAAGTGACAAAATAAATACGAAAAACAGCCGTTTATCTCGCACTCCCTGCATTACTTGCACACATTTAATTACATTTAACCGCCCCAGACAAGCTCAGCCCAGAATTCAATGTACAATCAACATATATGCTGCTCCGTAATAATATATGACAGACAGCTCAGCCGCCAGATGCAGACGTGTTCATTTTACACACACATTTACGTAATGCATACACTTCTCCCGCACGTAACCATCGGATAATTTTATCACGTACCTCGTGCTATGCAGCAATCAAGGAATTGGCGATTTAAACGTTTCACAGCATACTTTCAGGCGGGGCCAAGAAATAACTGTGGTGAAAATGCATGCAACAGTGTCTTGGATACTTTGTCTATCGGATACAAATTCGGATAATTTTGTGTCAAATACAAACCTTGGACAAGGTTCATAACTTAGCTCATATTAGAAATATCATGCCAGAATTAGAGTGTTTGTCAAATATAACTTGAGAAAATGGATAGACTCTAAAACAACAGAATATTCAATTTAAAAGTACAGTAAGCAGTCTCTAATACATTTTTTGATTGAGCAACTATTCTGTTTGATTAGGATAATTCTATATACGTAAATACAACTGAATGCCAATCAGTTTTGAGGTACTAGAATTGGTATGTTTTAAGATAGCTTCGCAAATGAAATATGCTAACTGCTACCAAGGCAGCTCATTAGGCTAAAATTATTTTAGTCCCACTTCTACTGTGAACGACTGTCCAGCTTGAAGAGCTTAAGCTGCAAGTGCTTTGATTACTGGCCCAAGTGCAACCATAACTAAAGAGTTGTGGGATTATTTAATCACCACTATGCACACACGGACACAAGTGATGTGGAATGCTGGAAAAGTGTTGATAAACGTAGTGCTTGAGAATCCTTTGGACTGCACGTAAATTGAATGCGTGCCCGGTCGAAGCCTTGGCTTGACGACGGCAGCAAAGCACTTAAGCCACTCCAATGCGAATTAAGTTGAAATGTGAGGGCAATAAAAGCAAAAATAGCTGAACTGCAAATTAACAGACAGCTAACAGCAGAAGGGACCAGACAGGGACTATTGCCTGTGCGCAATGCACTAATTAAGAACAAACACGAAACGACCGAGAATGGGCAAAAACTCACCCGGGTGCCGCTGCGATAGGCGGCCATTGTAACAACCGGTCCGGTATCGGCGCTGGAGACCACGGTTATGTCCTGCGGATGCACAGTAGATAATACAAAAGGGCTCACAATTGTTTTAGTGTGCTGTGTGACGCAAGCTTACTCGGAACTCTGCCTGCTCGACGCGTATATCGAAATCGCCATGCAAACGTTTGCCGCGGAAGTATTTCGACCAGTCCGTGTTCTGATCATCCAGCACCAGCAGCGTGAAGTATCTGTCCTTGTTAAAGGTGGGCGCACGCTGAGTGGCACTCTGAACCGCAGCTCCTGCGTGTGGTAAAAGTTAATTGAGATAAGCAAATAATTTAATTTAAGTTTCATTCCCAGGTTCAACTCTGCAGAAGTTGTACGGGCAACTCTGAAATTCCTTTTCTCTAAAATTTCGCAAATTTCGAACCCATCTAAATGTTGACTATTACTGAAATGGTTTTCTTCTTTGATTTGGTAACTTGTAATAAACACCTAGTATTTTAATTAAGAAATAACACTACAGAGCTGAAATTTAAAAGAATATTTAGATTATAATTTATTTTCGTGAATTCTATTGAAACCCATTGAAATCAATTTAAATTGTTAATTGATATTGTTTAGATGTAATACAATTAATTGACATTGAGAGTTATTTGGAATTGAAAAAACGAAATTACGAGCTGTATGATGTCGATAACATGGAGATTATATGATACACGAAGTTCGATAAAATTGGACCCGAGAATTTGCGAAGGATTTCATGTTTTTTATTTAGCCATAACATACCCAATATGGAAGCGCCCTGATCACGTGCTGCGCCTGTTAAACTCTGCACACGCTGCAAGAGACTCTCTCGCGACTTGGCCGGGCTGGTGGGCGCGCTTACGCCTCGCGGGGGCGCTGGAGCCGCCGAAGCCGGTGCCTTGCCAGCGCCGAAGCTTAGCGACAGCTCCGGAGCTGCGCCGGCAGGCTGCGGTGGCAGTTGGCCCGGCGCCGGCGGTGGCGGCATGCTCGGCGGACCGCCGGCAACATGCGGCTTGGTTGGCTGGTCCTGTATAGGACGCGCAGCCGGCGGCAATCTATTGGGATCAACATCATCGACCTCGGAAGACAAGTCTCCCGAGCTGAATCTGCACGTGTTGCGTGGATGTGGATTAGATGTTTGTGTTGGGTGTGTGGTGTGGTTGTTGCGTGGGTTTGTTGTGGTTTTCGTTAAGTTGTTTCAAATGTGAGCCGTGGAACAAGTAGACAAGTGAAAGGTGCAGCGCAGTTAGGTGAGAGAGCAAAAGAAATAGAGGGAGAGAGAGAGAAACAGAGAAAGCGCACCATTTGCGGGGGGGAGAGAAAATAGACAAACATATGAAATCTCAAATTAGTCTCGTCCTGAACTGAAGCCCCCTCCCCGCTAAGGAAGGGGGCGTTTCCTTTTAAGGTCTTTACCTTCTCTTCAGGAAATTAACATTGGAAGTGAAGCTTGATTTAAACGATGAGAAATTCAGGGTGCTGCTTTTCGGTTCCTGTGCGGCACGCGAACGAAATAGAGAATACAATGTTATGTTTAGACCAACTTATTAGTTAAGTGCTTCGAATTTAAGGCATTCAATAAACGAATTGTTCTTGTAGTGCATAGACATTTATCGTATATCGGGGCATACACTTAGGTAGTAAGTATGTATGTGTATAATTGAATATTCAAGGCAAAACGTTCAAAGCGTTACGTAAACATAAAATGCAATAAAATACTGCTCTGACTTTAATCTGTGATCAGTAATCCGTAATTAAGGTTGGCGCCATATTTTAGTCGGCCGATTTTAGCCCGGAGAAAGTGGTCGTGCCCAATTGGCCTGAGTCTTAATTACCGTCATACTAGACGTATACTTGACGGTCACTTCGAATGAAAATTCACACAGTGAAAGATGGTAAAAATCGTAAAAAAAATATATATATATAAGAGCTGGCAATAACGATATTGCTGATGCTATTCTTAGAAAGGAACCCCAATTTCAAATTTCATATGTCATCTTGTTGAGAGAACAATTAGTAAATTTATTTAATTATTTTCGTTGCGTCGATTAGTTTTGGTCACTTACAAACTACCAACTGGTCGCGTGTTAGTAGAACATGGAATGGCAATGAAAATTTGTGAATTGAAAACTAGGTGATTTTTGCTGAGCTTGGAATGGTCGAACGGACGCAGCCAAAGTCGGGGTAAACGAAACAAAATAATCATTGAGCCGAGCAACAGCTGAATTTGAATAAAAGAAAAACACTCGTGTGCATAATGAACATAAAAACTAACTACATCGAAAAGGATATTAGCGATTACGAGCAGACTGGCAACAGGTGCCAGCCCAACTGCAACTGGCCAAGCTGTTGCCAAGGACAACTGAGGACTCTGGCTACCAAGTGCTAAGCAGCCACATTCATGGAGCCATGGGCTTGGTGCGACCCTTGTGGACTCCGCTAACGAATAAAAATCAATGAATTTCAGTGGCCCGTGCAGGGTGGTGCCTTGTTGCCCGTCAAGTATGTCAAACACTTGTAGTCAAAACGCTGCACGGCCTTCTCGTTTTGTTGGACCTCTTGTGTTATATATTTGAATGGGCTGCGCCCCTTGGGCTCAAAACACTTGAAACTTTTCAAGCTGGCATTATGAGCCAACACTTGCAGCCAGCACACGCACAACAATCAAGCTGCGCCGGGCTTGTGGGCCATTTGGGTTTATGCTTGCGACGTGTGCGCCCATAGGTAGTGCCCAAGCACTGCAAGCAAACTGTTTAAAATTGATGGCTGAGCCAAGCTTTAAAGGCAACTGAACTGAACTGATAAGCGGAATTGAAAAACTAAAAAACAGAACGGAAAAAACGGGCATACATATATGAAGCAAGGCATGGCATGATATATCTGTGCGTGTGTGTATAGCTAAATGAATAGTTGATGGTGAATGGCAGTGAGTGGCGATGGCACCGACGGCTAGCATCGAATGATATGTGAATGTGGCACTGCCTTACCGGTGGCGGGGCGCAGATTCGCCCACACCCAGCAGTTGCAATGGCGCTAATATTGACCGTGGACAACGATGGACCCGAACAGTTGGCCGGTGTTCAGTGTCGGTGGCGCAGAGCTCCTGTTCAGATGGATGCCTTGCAGCTGCGTGTTCAACTTTAAAGGTATCCGCTAAATCCTGCAATTAAAGAATAAAGAAGGTTTGTTTAACTTTGCGAAACAAATTTATTTACTCAGCGCTTGTCACAACAACTTTTGACAATGTCGCGTAGAACAAACATCTGATTGTCGAGCGAACGACAAACTTCATAGGGAAAGAAGCAGACTGCTATCTGGTCGCCAGCTCAGGACAAAATGGCAGGCGTCCCAACTGTCTGACTGCCTGTTTATCTGTCTGTCCAACTGACTGTCAGACAGTCTGTTCAACTGTGGTCGCTACTGCTGTTGCTGTTGGTATGTGCGACCAACTCGAACGATTATTATTGTTGGTTCAATGCACTCCCTGCCGCGAAATAGGACAAAGGATACAGGCAAAACTGAGAGTAAGAAAAAATATTGTAGGGGAAAATGTCGTTTTGTTACAATATGGTATACTTTTCCATACTGAAGCCTCTCTATTTAATTAAGAAAATATAAAACTTTTAATACGTTTACTGGTATCTTGTTATGTTACGTAAATTTACTTGTTGTTGGTGCAATACAGTAATTAAATTGGATTGAACAAACCTGATAAGCACTAATAAAGAAATATATGCATACAAGGCCAAGAAAACTCAAGGGCTGAAAACGGGCCGAAATCTAGACAGTTCGAACATAGAATTATAATGTCTTTCTTAATATGATCCGAACCACTTGTTTAAAAACTAAACAATTATGTAGGAAAACGTAGCCCTATGCAAAAATAATGTTAATTTGGCATATTTTAAGTAAATAAAATGCTGAAACTAAAGCTCAACCCTCAACAATCAAAAGTTGAAATCAAAGTTTGAATCTCGTGGTAAGAAGCATAAAGTCGTAAAATAAACTTACATTAATACAACCGATCAGATTAAACTGATTGATAAAAGTGTATATCATAATCGATGAAAATCGATTGAGTGTTTCGATCTTTTGGCAAAAGATAAAACAAATAACAATAATAATTGTTATTATTCAATGATAAATACTCATTTTACCAATCTTGTGTTCGTACACCCGGCCGAACGGACAAGTGCGAGGGAGATATTATGATAAAACTCCTTACAACTTTCTTTATCCTGGGCTAAAACAAGCATATCCATATACTTCATTGGAGACTTTCGTTAGTGACTACCAGGGCTTAGGAAAAGCGCGTTAACTAAGCGTACGATACTCTACTCATATTTCTAGAACAGTATTTGCCACATTAGCACAATAATAGAAAAACATTGTCAAACATACGAAATATATCTTTGTGTGAGATTAAAGCAAAAATCTCAAACCTTTAACTTAATTTGTCCCAAGGGCGTCTTTTGGTGAATCTCACAGCGCCAAGAATTGAAATTGTTACGTCGGAAAATTCAAACAAGTCATGGCATGCTGACTAAATCCACCCTCGTATTAAAGTTGTAGTTTAGAAATGTTTTACGGCTGCTCACTCAAAAACTTAAGTGAGCGTGTGCGTGCTACAAATTGACACAACGGCCTTAGACGCAATTTGGTCTGCTCTCTAGTATGTCCTTGTCAGGCTCTAATGATATGTACATAAATTGAAATTCGTTAGACAGCGAATGGGACTTGGAATTGCAAATAGCAAATTTACAGCGTCATAAAAGATGCATGAAGCTAGGATTCGGACAATGTTGGACTTGCATTTATGATATAAGCTTTCATTATGGGCTATTTAAAGCTGGCTATATTACGCATACGCCATGTAGTTCGGCAATGGCGTCACTTGGTCTGGACTGTAGCTTACTTTGTGCCACATTTGCGTGGGCGCACCAAAAACAGTTCTCTTGTGGCTTGAGTTTCAGTATGCATGGGTGGGTGCGTGTGTGTGTGTGTGTGTGTGTTTGAGAGTGCAAGTGTCGGTGCTCCTACTTGCCGCTGTGCGACATTTGCCATTTCGCCAAAATCACGCTCTTTCTCGCTTGCTCGCTCGCATCCGCACACATCCTTGAATACAAATGTCAAAGTTGACAGATGAGTGTGCCGAAAAACGGAATCAGAAAATGGCACATTTGGTGGCAAGCAAGCTGATATTGGCAATGTGTGTTTATTATTTCATTCAGTGTCTCAAATTGTTTATTGCACGCAAACTTTTGCTAAAAATACAACAACGATGAATCAGTATCTGTATCTGTAACTTTTGATTGCTTACATTACAGCTCCAAAAGCCCCCAAAGGAAACCAACAATGTTGAATTTTCGCAAAACAGAAATAGATTTTTGTATTCCCGCAAACAGTTTGTTGCATAGCCCACAATGTGGCTTGCTGTACTTGTTGTAACACTTAAATCAAAATAGTCGCCATTTGGGCAATTTTATAAAAAAAAAGCTGAATTATAAATAGCTGAAACATACACGCACAAAATCGGATACTCGGTCCTCTACATTTCCACAGCTTTCTTTAAGCCAACTGAATTCTGTGCTTCAAACAACCTTGCACCGTTTGGCCACTTAATGGGGCTAGATTGCAGCTCAGTGGTCACAAGGATCCATCAACGTCGACACGAGAATGAGCTGTGGCTTAGGAGAAGGTTTTGTGTGCCCTTAAAACAGTTCCCGAACTGATTGCACACATAACAATAGACGCAGGGACGGGTGCTCATTTTTCTACTGACTCACAAATGCAAAAGATAGAGGCAAACACCTGCAGCCATATCCAAGCCATTTTCAGGCCGCATTTCCTTTTCAGACAGCTAAGGTAGCACATTTGCTTGATTCATGAGACTTGACTTGACTTCAGTTTTCCATGAACGAGGCGTTCAATGTACCTTCAACGGTAATTAAAGCAGCATATAATAAGAAACCTCGGGAACTGACAAAAATGTGACATAAATATGACATCGCTTACGGCAGAGGTCAAAGACTCGCACGCTAACAGCAGCAAAGGAAAAAAAAACAGCCACACATTGTGGCTTAAAATACGCAGGCACATTATTTGGCACGTCCGCCCACGTGCTGTGTGTGTGTGTGTGTGTATGTTTTTGCGGGTGTGTGTGTATCTTTTATTAGCTAAATTACAAAACGCGATTCGTTGCATATTTCTGGGCTGTCTGCTATAAATACTCGTGTTCATTTGTTTACTGCTCTAATTAAAATTTGCTAACTTGCCAATTAGCACAGCATATAACAAACGCCAAAGTTATCTCCCCACTTCCACTACCCCTTTACCTTCCCCTCCCACTATGGTCAGAGTTCTGCCTCTGTTGTGGGTTTGTGGGTTAGCTGGCTGCCAAACCTCGCGCTTCAATCGTCCAGCGGTTTTTGTGTAACGTCTAATTCAATAAAGCGCTTCTGTCTCAGCCTCTGCTTCAGCCTTTGCCTGGGGTTTGTTGTTACGGCGTCTGTCTACGCTTATCACGTACACACACACACACACGCACACACATACACACAGAGTCTGACTGACTTAGTGATACAGAATTTTTACCGTGTTTCGATTTTTGGCAGTTCCAAATTCCTTTGGGTTTGAGTCGCACCTTTTTCTTAGCTAAACTGAGCAGAGGAATTCACAGTTTATTTTGATTTGTAATTAAGTAATTAAATTTTTAATGGAACCGTGTTAGACTTTAGGTGAATTTAATTATCAAAAGTGAACACAAAAATGCTTCTTTTTTTCAAATTTGGTTGTTAAATTTCGAGCACACAATGCAAAAAATAGCTGAACTATCAACGACGGTGATGAAATTTTCACTGAGCGTCAAGTCGAGTTGTTATATATTAATTTCCCACCAAAATGTAATGCGTAACGTGAGAGAGCGAGAGCGAGAGCTATTGGGAGAATGCAATGGATGTAGAGAGGGTTAACACGGGAATTTTTTTATTAAAATATCAACACACCTTTCACAATTCTTAGTTAGCTAAAACTTAACAAATTACAATGCAATCTTATGCAAAATAACGTAATATTGCCCTCGTTAAATGCTAAAAAAGTGCAATTTTTCCGTTATTTTTACTGCGTTTATCAACACTAAATTACGTGCACATTCTCAGAGCAATGTTACCCTCATAGAGCTAGTGCGCATGCGGCTGATAGTAAAAATGCGGGAGTATCGATTCATTCAAGTCTTTGTACGCGTGCATATAGCAACCACCGTTACACATGCACACACACAGACAGACAGAAACACACACACACACTGACACATGCATTGAAGAGACACATATACACGTGCCTGCTTTACTTTTATCAGCAAGAGCGTAACGTTAACGGTATGAATGATAATAGGCCAGGTTGGCGCACATTACTAAATCATTTTTCAGCGATCTGGCAACACGGTTCACCGTCACAAGCAGCAGATGTGGATGAAATATCAAACAAACGAAAGATGTGGCCAAAAAGCGAGACATGAAAAAAATGTCTGTATGTAAACACAAAACAATAAAAAGCCAAAGCAAAGAGCACACAGCGCAGAGCACACACAACAACAGCAATAACAACAACAACAACGAATGACAGCAACGGAGCGGCAACTCAGCCAATGCTAACTCAGCTTGGAGCCAGAGCATCCAAGCAACGGCCCCACGCTGCCAGTTTCAGTCCCAACAAAACTCTCGAGCCGTAAAGTTGTTGCAAACGTGTCAAGCGGAAACTTTAACTCCCAGTTGCGTTTAAGTTAAGCGCGTTTCAGAACAGCCAGAAACAATAAATTTTGAATATTGTGTGAGTGTAGTTACCTTAATTTAAACCAAACACATGTTTAAAGCAACAATAAACTGTTTTCGTTAGTTAAAAAAAAAAAAACAACAAATTCAGCCAAACTTGTTGCATAAAACTTGTTTTCACGTGCTTGCTCGTTTACAACAATAAGCCAAAGAGCGCAACAACGAAGTGAATTCAAAAAGCAATAGATAAAACACTTTGCATAAATAAACAACAAAATACAAATGGCAAATTTCATGGAAAAACATTACAAAATAATTAACAAAATGTATATAGGAAATGTTAGAAGTTGTCAAGTGAAATGCTTGGAACTTGCGCGAATCTGCGAGTAGCTCTCCGATCTGCGAGTGCCGCTCTTAACTTGGCTTTAAGCCAAACTGATGATTTCTCTTAGTTGTTGCTTGTACTTTTAACGAAAAGCGAACAACTGTTGGCCAAATATTTGTAGCGCTATTGCATAAAATGTGTTCACACCAAAACCATTTCGTTGGGTTTAACTTTTGCATGAAATGTTAGATGTATACTCAATGCTCTCAACAACTGTGTGTGCGTGTGTAGCTGAGCATGTGCATGTGCATGTGGGTGTGTTGCTATTTCCGCTTAAAACTACTCAGAAAGGAAAAATTAATAAGTCTCTTTGGTTAGGCTTTAGACAGATTTTAAGCCACTATTGTATCACATTGCATCGCACTCATGAACATTTCAACCATTTGGCTTTGTTTTTTGCGGCAATGCGATCCCATGACGTAAGCGCGCTCTCAGCTAGCGCTTTTTTGTCAATCTCTTATAAAGCGCGCCAATTTATTATTGTCATTTATTTTATATTTTTTTTCGATACCTACAATTGGTATTCACACATATGTGTATCGCAGAAAAACTTGTTTCGAACACTTATTCTCGTTGTTTCATTTGAAGCGATTGGCGAAACCTTTTCCTCGAAAAAAAGCAGCTTCATTTTAAAGTTTAATGCGCGGTGCTCAGATCAATCAGGTCGGGGTCGCTTTTAATTTTGTTTTTACAGCCAACGTGAAATAGAAAATGAAATCGTGTACGTGAGCAACAGATGCGCCGCTTGTGGTCCACTTTGCAGCAGAAGTTTCATAGATAAAAAATCATATTAAAAGATTAGAAATTAATGTAGCCGGCTGTCTACACACTTGTGTCACGTTCAAGTACTTCAACTTTCCTAGAAAGTTATGGCTAGAAAACCACAAAAATCTCAAAATTATCTGAACTGCAGCTGTGCAGTCGAAAGCGAGGCAATAAACCGCAGGAGATCGGCTAGCTAAGGTAGCAAAGCAATTGTTAAAAGCTCGCATTGTTCTCGCATTGATGAGTCAATGTCTGATGAGCATTTGAAAATAACAACAAGCCCGACAACAACAATAACAAGTTGAATGAGTAATTCGTTATAAAGTGCAGCTGGGAGCAGCTTTTCAGTTGCTAGCTGCGTGAGGCGCATGAAATTTGCCATAATTTGCAATAACAATTTGTACAATTGCTTAATGCAAACTGCTTGATCAACGACTTTTTGCAGTTGCCATAAGGATTCGGATACGCGGCGCTACAAAACAAAAGACTTAAGCAACGAACGTGCCCCACAATGACACATCACACAAAGGAAGCTCACGGCTCCGGTTCGAGTATGACGGCGCTTTGGTTGCTGCTCAGCGCGCTGCTAGTCACACAGGTAAGTTAACACCAGCACCAACATCCACTCCAGGGGCCCCTCTGGCCTATAAGAGTGGCAGAAGTACAAAAATAATTATAACTAGTCGCACATCTCGCGTAGTTTTCTACCATTTCACTTTTCATTTGCATACAATACTGTTCTGGATGGGCCAGGCATAAAAACGAGGTTAACCGCGGGCTCTGACATTACCTGACCATTTTCATGGGGCACTCATAAACTCGTACAAACAACATTCGCTGCGAGCACGTGAATTTTCCACGGCAATTTTCCAGGCAAGACAAATTAATGAACTGTGCAGCGGCCGCAGCTGCGCCAGTTGCTCACTTCGCCAGTTCACCAGTTCGCTAGTTTGTCAGTTTGTCAGCCTATCAATAGCTAGGCGGCAATTCAAGCGACTTGTGCGCTTGAGCGCTTGTTCTCAGATTTTTCACTTCTCGAATGTGCCACTGACCGATATCGAAACTTTTACCGACCATGGCTCTGCTCGCAAGCCCTTTTACCAAAAGCCAATTTTCAATTGTCTGCGATCGGCCGTGAAATGCTCTGATTTCGTTTTCGGCTTATGAAATGGCACAAATCTATTAAAGCGACAGCTGCACAGGCTTGGCATCAATTGAAATGGGTGTAAGCCGGTCTTTAAGCAGCTGCATGTCCGCAGCGAATGTGTGTCTGTGTTTGTTAGCTAGTTAGCTTCTAGCTGCGATGGAAAGCCCAAGCACAAATACACAATAATTTATTTTGGCCGCAGGCCTTTATTCAGCTTGGCTCTGTGTACCTTGTGGCCAGTTGATTGACAGCTGAAAATAGCAAAAACTTTCAGTTTCTACGTATGCAGAGCCATATGCATAACGGGTATATTGAACTAACTATTTATTGATGTCAGCGGCCGCGTAAAATGACATCATAAAACATAAAGCACAGTGCCCAGCGCCCACGTGGGGCGTCTAAAAGGCGTTTTGGGCTTGGCGACCGCAAGTGGCGAAGAGAGCTGCCTACAACTAGATGCAAAACAACGACAGCTACAACAACAACAACAAAAACAACAACGATAAAAGGCAGCAACAACTACTTAGCTCTTTGTTAGCTCTAGCTAATGCAAAACTCACAAAACCTTGAAGCACAAACAACGGCAAACAAACGCAGCGAAGCAGCTTTGAATTGCTGAGAATGATGATGATGGAGATGATGAAGATGAAGATGATGACGATGAAGATGATGAAGATGATGAAGATGTTGATGAAAAAGGGCTTAGTGTTCATTATGAGGATATGGCTGTTAATGAAGATTATAATATAAGTTTACCAAGTTTGTCTTTAAGACTGCACACACACACACACACACACACTTACACTCAAACACACATATGAGTGCGTGTTGAATATCTGTTAAATTGAAATTTAGCTACCTTACGGTACTTTTGTTGTTGCTGCTGTTATTTTTGCCTCAACGCCGCTTTGCTTTTCACACTCATTAAACAAGAAACGAACTTGCGTTTTCTGCTTTTAGTCTGAAAGGTTGTTCACACAAAGACCAACAGCCGAAATGGTAGATTTCGATATTTGGGCATCGACAGGTATTTAAAATGCACAACGCATTCGACAACTATCGACCATGTTATAATTGTCGCCTCAATGTAAATGCAATACAAATATTGACTTGCCCATTAGCAGAGTTTAGCGAACAGTTGTTGTTGTTTTGCTGATATTATTATTATTGTTGTTACGGGCCATTAAAATCCATTTCAATGTCACAGCAAACAAAATATGCTAATTTCCGAGAGACACACACACGCACACGCTGGGGGAATATGTATGTATATGGCAAGTGTCCACATATGAATATATCTTAAGTATATGCATGTGTGTTGGCATGACGTCATAGCGTTCGACTGTTGAACGTTAAATACAAAAAGGCAACAAACAAAAGTAATAAAAAATAATAAACAAGAGTGCTCTAGTCGGGATTGCCCGACTGGGGGATACCAACACCAGATGTAACTCACGCACGGCGAACTATTTCACAATTATAACAATAAACTTATAATTGTAATTTATTACTTTTAAATAAAAAATACATGATCTGTATAATAGTATATAGAAGCTACATGTCATAACGCTCTTAAAACCTACGATACTATCTCAAAAATAGGGTTAATATATATATATATCGAATATCGAATTTTAATGATTAGTTGGAAACGGGGCAAATGATTATCGCAAGCAAACTCGAGCTGCGCGGCTACTAAAATCAACGTTAAACATTTTGAGTCTCTTATAGCTCTTATAGGTTCTGAGATCAACGCATTCATGCATACGAACGGACATGGCTAGATCAAAACGGTTATTGATGCTGACCAAAAATATATATATACTTTATGGGGTCGTAGATGCTTCCCTCTGCCTGTTGCATACATTTGAACAAAACTATTATACCCTTCTTAGTTCAGGGCATAAAAAACAACATTTTGCGTATTTGACCAAAAATGACGCGTTTTATTCGACCGCAAATATTTTCAGTTGGGCGACGGCTTAGTTATGGAGGTTTCACAATACAATACATTATAAGCCTGGTGGTATGTAGCGAAAAGTCACAAGCGAATCGGTACACAAGTGTTTCACAGATGTAATTTTAAGTGATCTATGTCTGTGAGATGCCTTGCTGGTGACACTGATATATCTTTACCATTTATATATATATATGTCTGTATAAGAATGTAGTGATTTCTGTCCGAAATATGAATCATTCTTTTTCGTTTAGTTTGAATGTATTCTTAGAATCAAAGCAGCAACGTGAACAAAAGACTTAGGCAACAAACTTGATGATTGTTGAAGCTATTTTGATTGAAGTTCTTTCATCCCAGCTTCCTTTTATATGAGTCTTTGCTTTGTGCGTAAACTAACGGGTAAGGCCTTGTACAGCTACCCGGCATTAAAGACATTCAAAACTATTAAATAGATCTCAGCCGGGTCGCTTGTTGTTTATTTTTTAAGCTTTTGATAACCACAGAATGCAAATAGAACATTTCTGATGCACGGCATTATGCTCTAATTAACAGTCTGCCAGCCAGTTTTTGTTATTGTTTTTGTTTTTCATTTCGCATCCAATCATATCGACCGCAAAATTGAATGCAATGAAGTGAACTGGCCGAGCTGCACCTCGCTGGGTTGTCATTCTCGTACTAGCCACCGCTGGACTGGGGCAATTAGAAGAGCAACCAGTTTCTTGGCCGCACGCAACCGCCACTGGGTTAGTAGTGTGTCTGCGTCTGGAGACGAAGTGACTAGTTATGTTACAGGTACTGGGTATAGACCAGAATGCCATGCCGATTGCTATTGCCATTAGATTGCGCAGCTGAGTGTGCTGCGCAGCTAGATGTCTATGCTGGCCATAGTTCTCACAGTGTAACAAAAAAATATCAAAAGAAATATAAACAAAAAGCGTGTTTATGTCATGTCAACAATCTGACCACGAAATCTATTGGCCTGTAGCATTCTGAGTTGACGCAATTTAACGCCGCGTTGATTTCGAGTGCAAATTATTTTGTTTACTGGCCAGCACTTGGCAGCTGGGGAAGTTGCCAGTTCTTAGTTGGCAGTTGTCAGTTTCCAGTCTACCGTAAAATTCATTAAAATTTATGCAAAAGCGTTTGGCATATTGGGTCATCATCAGCAACAGCAGAGTAGCAGTAGAAGCAGTGGCCGCAGTAGTTGGTTCTCAGCAGTGCGCCAACGGAGAAAGTTCTTTCTTTTGTTTAGGTTCGGTTAGTACACTTCATTATTTGATTAGCTTGCATTGTTCACGTGCAGTGCGGACTGCTCTGCTTCTGCTTCTGCTCTTACCACTTTTTAGCCCTGTCACTCAACGCAGTCACCAGCAGCAACAACAACAACTACAATTTAGCAATTGTTTTTTTACCTGGGGTAAAAGTGGGTTTTATTTGAAACTAATGGGAAAAACCATTTGCCAGTTCTGCTTTTGTTGCATTTTTGTTTGCTGTCTCTTGAAATTTCCACTGTGCTTGTCTATTGGCCCGTCATTGGGGCTTACGCTCCCAAACTTGTGCCTCCAAAAAAGCAACAGACTATCTACTTTTGTTACTTCATGGGACCGAGTTGCTTTCAGATACTGTTTGGCAAATGATGCGCATGGAAAGTGGCGTTTATGAAAATTGCTCAGTGCCCTAGGGCATTTCGGAAAGCGTTGTATGGCCCAGGCGCTTAACGATGGGATTTTCGTGCATTAAAGCGCTGAGTAAACAATTTCAAGCAATTAAATTAATAAATAAAAGAAAGTGTCGCATGATTTGACCTTACCAAAAATCACGATACAAAGTGGTCTTAAGAAAACTAATTTAATGGTTATCTACATATTTTCGACAGGTCTCACATTAGCTGCATTTCGTTACCATTTCAGAAAAAGTTGGGGTTAACTTAAGTTGTTTCATAATTTTACCACTCAAATCATGATTAATGACAATTAAATTGGGAGCCCAATGTTATACAATTATGGCAAGAACTTTCGGCAGTTTCCCAGCAATATTGTTATTGGGTTAAGAGGGTTATAGCCGAGATAAATTCAATTAAAGGCAGCTTTCAAAACATTTTAGCCCATTTCAATACAACGTAAAAAGCAGCATGATGCCCTCAGATAATCACATTAGAAAAGACGAAGAAAGTGCTTGCCATGCTCATAAGTGGTTCAGTTTATGGAAAAGCCATTAAACGAAATTTTTCTTTGGCTACTGTAAGAAGAAAAGAACGCCAACTGCGGCTGGCCAACTGCCAAGTAAAAACCACTCAAAAAGCAACAATTAGTAAAACACATAAATAAGCAGAAAATGTTCAAGGCACATGACATGTTCTATGGAATTTTTTGTTGTGCATCAGTTAACAGTAAGAAAAAGTTACAAGACTCTTTCTCTATTGATTGCTGGTCAGAAGCAACAGGCGCAGCAGCAACAAAAGGCCATACACAAGTGCATATTATTATATTAGAGCTACGACAGCGTAAAAGCCATACAATTGACCAAAGCGTGTGTTGAAAGGGGCCTTGCTTCGGGCACCGACAGCGGCAACAGCAACGGCACCAGCAGCAGCAGCAGCGCCAATACCAAGTTCAAGTCCGGGTCCGGGCTTAGGTCTAGGTCTGGGTCTGGGTCTGGGGCGGCTGAGAACGTGCAGAAGGGTACGTGCCATGAAATTAGCGCGTCAGCGTCAAAACATCAATGGAACAGTGCGCCAACAATTGAAATTTAATTGTAGCGACAGCGACATTAATTGCAGCTCTTATTTTTATTCCAAAGGAGCAAAGAAAAGCTCAAATGGGCTGTGCGAAAATGCTGTTTCAAGCAAAGCCTTTTGACAGCCAGCTCTCATTACAAAAACGGGCAGCATCAAGAGTAGTTTTAGCCTGTCCAAGGCTCTGGCTTCATTAAGCTTTTGGTCGGGCCCAAAAACTCGACGCCAAACATAAATACGGCCAACTGCGACGGCTGCGGCGATTGTACAGCGCCTGTAATACGATCTGCGACTGCTTAAACGGCAATTTATGCGCTGCCAGCGAAAATACCGTGACAATTTGCAATCAGCAGCAGCTTGGCAGCCAGCAAGTTGGCGACTGGAGGCTCCAGCTTGAAGACGGAGACTGCATGCGAGTGGCCCGGCTGGTCGGTCCGGGGCTTTATGTTATAATTTACTTGGCAAGCTTTATTACGGCACAGTCGCATAGCGGAAATTCAAATGCACACAAAATATGTTGAGGCGCACAACCTCTGCGCCCCCCCACCTAACAGCCCCATCGTTCTGGAGGCCGCCTTTTGTTATGCACGAGTTTCGTTTTGCTTCTAACACAAGTTGTTGTTTTGAGCTCCGGCTTTAACATTAGCGAATTTATTTGGCAATCAGTCGAAAATATGCACAGCTGCAATCGCCTAGTCGCAGTTCGGACTCTGGTGATTGTATCGCTAAGCAACTATTGCGCAATATTAATGTTTTCCAAAAAGGCAGCAAAAGGAAACACACCCAGCCGGAATATGAGAGTGTGTGTGTGCGCTTGTATAAGAAGTCTGGCCACAATTTAAGTTAAATTAGTTGTGCGCATAAATTACATGCATATTGTTATACTTTGCTTTGGAAAGAGCATTACAGCTATGCAGTACAAGTGGTAACGCTTTATCAGTTTCCCCACATATTTCGTAATACAGATGCCTATAAGTTCAATATGCCTTTAAAAACAGATCTTAGTGCTCTAATTGGGATCTTAGTGCTCTTTAATTTAACGGGTGTATATATTGTTCCCTCAGCTCCAGAACATAAAAAATGCATTCTTCGTATATTTCAAGGCTAAAATATGGGTCTCAAACGTGTATATAAAAAGTGAAATGTTCTTGATCTACTTGCCAAATTTAGGTGTATCTAGTGCTAATTAGTTCTTATAAAGATATTTTTTATAATATTTTTAAAGTTTCACCTTTTGGTAAGCGTATATGTACTTCGTTGTTGCTTGCAGATTTTGTATTTACTTCGTATTTCACATTGTTTCTTGCAGTTTTGTCATTCTTTAGCAGTTAATTGCCTCCTCGCCGGCAACTTTCTAGTACTAATTGCACACATTTCTGTTCCTAATAGTAAATGGTTAAAGCCGCGTCAAAAGACTTTTGGTTTACGGCAACAGTGTTTGACCCCTTGCAGCTATATAAATTATCAGTGGGCAGAGCTTAATGGCTCAGCCCGGCAACCAGCCGGCCTGTCCAGTTGGAGGTAACTCCAGCTGTGCGTGGCTGGAGCTGACTCTGATTTTGATACGATTTACATGCGGTGCGGCAAACAAGTTTGTGTTGCAAGTCTTTTGTTTCGCCAGTAATCGCAGGCTGAAAGGAATTTTATGAAAAATCACCCAAGTGTCCTGCGGCTGCGGCTCTGGCTAGGCACTGGCTAATGACTGAGCACATGAGCCAGTCTAAATCCATCAAAATCAAAGCCTCGGCTCATTGGATTTAATGGTCCCTGGTGCTCGAAGCTGGAGCAATGGCTGTGCCGTGACTGACAGCGCAAGTGTCTAATTGTGTTTGAGATTTTCGCTTTTTTTCGTTTGTTGGCTTTTTTTTTTATTTTTATTTTTATTTTGTTTCTATGGAAAGCCAGCAACAATCAGAGCGTGTTGCATAATACAAAGGCCAACAGCTGGCAACAATTTTTGTTGCGATTTTAACAAGCCCAACGATAGCGAAACGAGCATGCAAAAACAATTTTAATTGACTGGCTCCGGCTGAGGCTCTGAGGCTCTGAGGCTTTGTCGCGGTCTCTGTAACTGAATGCAAAATGCAAAATTCATACAAAACAATTGCATTTTGCCAAGCGACAAATTGTCATGGGAGTTGCAGTTGGAGCTGGAGCTGGATATAAAATTGGAATTGCATTTGCTACGTGCTGTATGTGACCCTCGAGCGTTGGCAGCGCGCATTGAACTGCGCCGCCAAAAGATGTGGCTATAATTGCTAGCCTGGGACAAAGGAAGCGGACTGCATTTAACTTGGCTTAAACAATATTATGGATATTCGGGGGGCCCACAAGCGCTGCAGTTACAAAGCTATAAATTCCTTATGCGATGCAAAGTGGACGTTCTAGTTGGCATCAAGCTCCAAAGTAGCTTAGAAAGTGGCACACTGGCCAACATGTTTTTGGCATACACAAGCTGCAGCTGAAATTGGGTCGATTCACTGCTGCATTTCACTTGACGCACAGTAGCCGCAACAGAATCAAAAGGAGAGTCGACTGCAATATTAAAAGCTTTAATGACCGGGCAGTTGCCGAATTGACTGTAGATCAACATTTTCTCATTTCTCTGGGCACCTTTCGAAAGTAAATATACATATATCAATGGGGCTTGTCAGGCGTAGGGAATTGTTTCGGGTTTCGTTAGACAGGCGCTCCGGATAGTTGGCCCAGCCTGAGGGCCGACTCCCAAGAACGTGAGCTGGCCAAAAAGAAAATAGCAAGCGGCATCAGTGCGATTGTCATGACATGACTTACTTAACTTTTGTGCTGCTTATCTAGCGCCTACGGTCTGAAACGCCAGTTCCAGCTAAGCTTTGACTTTGCAGTTGGCTGGAGCTGGAGCACAAATTCAATTATCACGACGTCGCGACGGCAACCCAAGTTGCCCAACTTGCCCAAGTTGAGAGCATGCCAATAAATTATCTTCAAGCCAAATGCCTTTGACAGTGCGCGACTGGAGCTGGACCTGAAACTGGCCCAAAACGTGCAGCATACAGCTTTGCCGGCCCGCTGTGGCCGCCAAAGAACTCAAATTCAAATAGAAAACCAAACTGGAAGCCAAAGTTCTAGGTTCCAAGCTTTCGAGTCTGCTATTGCCGTTGCCGCTTGCAATTAATTGCGACTTTTGCTGACTCGTTGGCTAACCATTAAAATTAATTAGAATTCTTGTGTTCATATGGCTCTCCATGCTTACTCAATGAGTTGGCTAAAAAAATTTCTACCATTTACTCCTAAGTGCGTTCCCAGGGTCCCTAAAGTAGGTCATAGTAATTAGCAAAAACTTTATATCACTTTGTTCTCCTTTTACAGATAACCGCACAGGAGCCGGCGACGGTGCCCGGCGAGTTTGCGCCCCATGTAACAGCCACGTGCAAGGCGGGAACCATGAACATCAAGGTGAAATTCAGTTCCGGCTACACAGGCGCCGTCCATGCACGGGATCACCGCACACAGCCCTGCATGGCCATGGGCGACGGCAGCGATTCGGTTGCATTCAGCCTCAACCTGTGGGCCAAGCAAGGAGCGCCAGACTATTGCGGCATATTGGTCAGCAACGTGAGTGGAAGCAATGTAAGCATAATCATTCAACGCTTGCCTAACGATATTAACCTCTAAGATTGCCAGTTCCATCCACTGATATCACGTGTTTTTTTTTTTTTAAATCATTTGATTACAAACACAAAACTGATTTTCAGATTCAATTCAACTACTCTGGCTCAGTCACAGCTTTTCCGGCTATCAAATACTATTAAATAGCAGCGTATTAGAAAAAGGTTACTCGGTTTCTACACTTTACCTGTGACAGCAGTTAATATAGCAGGCTCTTATATGCGCTCATTAAATTTAAATTTTGCATTAACTTGTTATGGGAGCAATTTTATTAATATGGAACAATAAAAATAATGTCAAATAGCAAGATAAAGATGGACGGGTATCGCATAGTCGGACAGTCGCGTTAAGCATGCTCTACTCAGAGCTTGTCTGCGGCATGCGACGAAGCCATCGCTAGCTGCAAAAGGGCACGGCCTGGGGCACGCATGCCCATAAACTTAAGCGCGCCTCGTATCTGGTGTACTTGAGTCTTGGCCCCAAATCAAGGCAAATCAGAAGACGACGACGACAACGACGACGACGGCAACAACTAGTCGTCAGTCTATATAGTAACGATGGCAATAAAAATCAAGTTTAATCCTACGTGCATCACGGGCGTTGACAGGCGGCGGCTGCGTGTGGGTAAGCAGCCCCCAAGTTGAACAAAGGCAGACAAAGGTAGTCAGGGCCCAGGCAGAGAGCCATTAGCATTAGCCAACGCCATATGTAAGCAGATATCGCAGATATAAATACGCGTGAAAGACTATGTGTTCACCTCACACTGTGTGTGTGCGTGTGTGTAAATGTAGGTGTATCTATCATATTCCAGTATGCTGAACAGTTTCGAAATGCAAATTATCAGCAAACGCGTCATGTTATAAGTTTAAGCACATACGACTAAAACATTATTAATTGCAATGTCAAATCACAAGGCTGCGCCCTGTATCCCACTTTTATAAATAAACTACAGCTGCGAGTCCCAGAATATCAGGCTTACCTGCATAGGTGTAGCAGATTTATTTCAGCGCTCTTGGCCCACCTTCCGTTTGCCGGCCAAAAAGGGAGGTCCCCCATAAAATTAAATCACGCTTATCGCGACGGCAGCTTTAGTTTTATTTCAGCTCTATCTGGCTGGCAATGAGGGTGTGGAGGGTGAGGTGCGGATGAGGGTGGGGGGTAAGACTGCCGGGCAACAACTGGAGCTGGGAGTGCCGACTGCGCGCCGGCGTCTAGCCGTGGCCCAGGCTGCCGTCGCAGACAGTTCACATGCCCAGACACGGCTTTCCACGCTTCGGCTTTGACAGCATTCCAGGCTGTTGTTGTTCATGTTGTTTTCGTTGTTCTCGTTGTTCGGCGTGTGCTCGGTATTTGTGTCAAAAGAATTTTTTGTGTGTACTCAAAGCTCTTAAGATATTTCGATTCTATTTCTTGGCAAATATTTTCGTAGGGCTTTAATTGCTTTGGAAATGCCGTGACTTTGGCTGACCTTGGCCAAGCACTCCAGAGACACAGAGTCAGAGTTAGAGCCAGACAAAAGAGACGAAGACGGAGCCTTAAGCCAATGCCACAAGCACAGTCACTGGTCCCAGCTGAAGCCTGGGCTATGTGCAGCCTCTTTGGAGCGCCGTAATCTCTTTGATTTGGTTTTTATGGCAAAGCCCTCGCATTGCCGTACTTGGCAAAGCATGAAATTGGCGCTGACAATGGCAAGACGCCCAAGCCGCAGCCAGCCAGCAATTTAACATAAAGTTCAAGTTGTTATTGTTGCCATTGTGGGTTGAGTTTAGTGTACTTGAACTTATTTCGTATTGCGAGTGGGTCGCTTTGCCCGCAAATTGTTTGCCATTATTTTATGATGGGTGTTACAGTGTGTTCTTTCTACAACATTATTATAATCTTTTAAATGTTAATTGCATAGCACAGACAAACAACAAATTGTATGCCAATTTACCATTTGGTAATTTTTGAACATTGCCTCAGAGCTGTGCCGAGAACTGTGCGCCGAGCCGCATCGCATATGGAAAATCAACGCAGTAATTTTCTCGACTTCTGCTTGGTTTGATAATAACTTGATAATGAGCCCATCCGTTGGCTGCTGTCTATGTAGCTGTTTCTCCACTGCTTCACTCCACTCCACCCCATTCCGCCTTTGCTTTGCTTCACCTTGGAGCTGAGCTCGTCATTTAATCGCTTCACTCTACTTAGTTTACCTTTCCTCGATCCTGATGCACGAGCTGGCCAACAAATTGTGACACAATTGGCACTCGATCTCTAACCCAATTGATATTATTTTGCAGCTGTGCCTGAGGTATTTATATGCACTTATCTAGTGTTTATTTGCTAACAGCTTCCACTAATGTTGCCTCTACTTACATACTTATATACTTCTCTAGTTTGTTGAAGCATAAGCTAAGAACACTGATCAGACTCGAACCTTAAAGGTTAAATTCATTCATAAAACGCTGACAACATTTAATACGTATCTAGTGTGCAAACATCTTAGCGCAGGCGTGGGACGTCAACCAGATAAAACAAATATAATTTTTTATATATATTTAAAGTAAAACCGGTTTGTCGAGCGACTCGCAGCTGCTAAATGGGACAAGTAAAAATTGTAAATTAAACACAACACGGATGCATATACGTAAATATACGAATGCGAGTATTTGTGTGCACATACATGTGTAATTACTATATAAGAAGCTGCCTCATTTGGTCAGCTGTAGCTGCGCCTTTTTATGGAAGTTGCTGTATTACTTAATTGCTGTCAATTGCGGGTCAAGGCTATGTGACTCATCATTGAGCAACTTATGATATGTAGTACTCCACTGATATGCCCTACAGAAGCTGGCTAACGACAGTTCAACAATTTAAATAACTTAACTTGCCGGTTGCATAATGATGAGCAGCAATTATACAGAATATCTCCATTCTAACAAGTTGCTCGCCTAAGTCTTTCGTTTAATGCGGGTCTCTTATGCTGGTGCTGGCAGTTACATGTGGCTGCACAATTAAAACGCTAAATTATATCAAATGCCAGGCAACATTCGAAATGAAATGCAAACATGCTATTACCGAAATGTCTGGCAAAGTCACTGAGCGGCAGCCAACTCATTAACTGGAAAGTGCAGCTATTAAAGTGGCTGCAAAGCATAAGATTCAATGAAGTTCAGACGAATGGTAAACATGGCCGAGAAAATTGTTAAATAAGATAAACAAACAACTGGAAAATATGTCTGTCTAGTATGAGGCCACCTGGCTGGCTGACTGCGTGGCTTGTTGGCTGCCCGCGTCACACTTGGCGGCATTTTGCATTTCCTTGTTGTTGTTGTTGTTGTTGCGGGGCTGCAATTACATCACGATGACAATTAACGTTCCACAAGAGCCACAGACTGCAGCAGTTTTAGGATCTGCCGAGGAGTCGGTCGCTATTTTTATTAGCCAATAAGCCCCATAAAGCCGGCGGTTATTAAGAGGCGCTCCCAACGCCTGCAGCTCAGTTTATTAACGTAGCTTTTTAAACCCAATCAGCATAAATGTTCTGTACACTTTTAATAACTAAAGATTTAACTCTCTCCCCCTCTCATGCTCTCACTCTCATTGTCTCTCTGTCCCCTTAGCGCACGGAGGAGCGGTCCATTCAGCTGGCGGTGCGTGTGCATAAGACTCTTGAACTGGCGGATGATAAATTTTATGTGATTACCTGTGGCAAATCGGGCTATACTCGGTAAGTTAACCAAACTCTAGCTGTCTAGACAATTGCACTTACGACTGACTACTCCTATGTAGATAGGTGTAATTTGGCCGAGCTTCCGTCAGGCCAAAGTGCTTTGAGTGTTAGTAGTTTAGCCTGCGTTCGCCAATTTCAGCTTATTTCACGAAACTTGTTTTCGGCGTCGGCGCACAACAAATGAAATCTAAAACCAAATTATGCTGACTGAGCTTTATATACACAAGTGTATATGTGTACATGTGTACTCGTAGGTGTTGCCTTTCTATAGCACATATTATTGATTTTATATAAAAAAAGGTCTATATAAAGCGTTAAATAGAATTCAAGGCCATTAGCGCTTCTTACCAAGAAATTCTTTTCACCTTTTTGCCAATGCTGGACATTCCAAATTATTTCACACGAACAACATGCTCAAATGTTGTGCTCAATTAACGGTAAATTATTTATGGTGCCTCTTAGAGATTACAATCTGGAGTTGTACAAACAATTTAATTTGCCTTTGCCTCATTTGCATAATGCCAATGACTTTGCTACAATTTTGAATTACGCAAGTTCGTTGTCTAAGTCTTTTGTACGGCTACCGCTTGAAAACAGGCCCAAACAAATAGAAAAACAATTTAGAAAAATATGGGTATGGTAAAAAATCATTTCTGCAAATTGTTGCGCTCTGTTAACTGCACACAGGAAAAAAAACCTGTAAGCCAAAAGGAAATTAAAAAAAATTGACAGAAATGCACAAAACAGCAAACAAGGCAGCGAAAATTAAACCTATTCATATAATATTGCATATGTTGGTATGTCTGTTTGGTATAAAACGCAACTGTCTATAACGTAATGACCGGCAATTGCATAATGCTGCTGCTGCTGCTGCTGGTGCCGTCTGCTGGCCAGTGAAACTGCAAGCGAATCGCAGTGGGCAGCACTTTTGGGTCTATTGGCTGCGCTTTTAATTAGCAGGTGCAGCTGCGCAATGGGGGAAGAATGCCTAGAAAACCGTTAACTAATGTGCCACGTCCATTCCCATTCAAATTTGCAGCGATGACAATGCCCATGTTGTGCTCAAGTTTCTGGAGAACGATCACCGCGTGCGCGAAACAGTATATGGACACGAGTATAAGATACGCGCTGAGTTCTCCAAGCCAAACGGTGGGTAATCACAAAGTCCCTTGTATGGAGTGTGTGCTAATAAAGATTCCCTTCAATTATCAGATACCTATGGTCTACGTGTGGGCAACTGCTTTGCCTTTGACAAGAAGAACATCACCCTCAAGCTGACAGATGATCGCGGGTAAGTGCGACTGACTCTTTAATCAGCTCCTGACCTGAAAATCAATTAACGGTATTTTTCATGCATAGCTGCCCCTATGATGCCAATATTATGAGCCGTTTTGTGCCCACCGCCGATGGGCGTGCAGCCGAGGCTACGCTAGCCTCCATGTTCAAGTTTCCCGAGGGTAGGTAGTCGAAATCAACCCGTGCTATTCAGATCGAAAATCGAATTAATTCCAAATTGCCATCTCAGGATCCGAGGTTCATCTCCAGTGTGACGTCGTACAGTGCTATGGACGCTGCGTCGAGATTGACGATTGCAGCGAGGTGGCCCTGGCTGGTTTCACAAAGGGCAATGGCAATGGACCACGCAAGTTTGGACCCAATGAAGAAGGTTCCAGCATTGCGGGAACAACTGTTTTTGTTTTGGATCCCGCCGAAGCGCGACGTAAGATAGAATCAAAAAAAATAAATCTAAAATCAATCGAAATAAAAATACAATTTCTCAACTTTGCAGTAATTTCGCCGAATTGCGAGGATGGTATACGACCCAGCTGGCTGCTGTGGCTGGCCATAACCTTGGGCGTACTGTTCCTCATCATGTTGCTAATGAACATTTTCCTTTGCACTGCTATGAGCTGCAGTTGTGCCAACACAGAGGTAATTCAGCGCTCAAAACATTTCGACTGCAACTCTGTTATATGTGTGACTTTTTCTACTCCTTGCAGATCATTGAGAAGGAGCCCTCCATCATCGAGGAATACGATCCCTACCGCAGTTGGCATGGTAGCCAATATGGCTCCCGTTACTCGCTACATGGGCGTGATGCGCACAAGGGTTATACCAGCGGTGGCTCGACGATACACTCAAATAGGTCTGATAGATATTAAGCTGATCTATAAACTACACACACAAACACACAAGAACACAAAAGCTCTACTCTACACTTGATATGCATCTGCTCTGCTCTTAAACATTTTTTTTCTGGTAGCTGTGGAGCCAACACAGACACACACAAACACACCGACACATATATATGTCTATATATATATATATATATATAGATGTATCTTTATATAACGCATGCCCAAAAAGCCTTGTATCGTATCTATGTATCGTATTTTGTGGTATTCGTATCTATTGTTAATTCTACTGAAGTGCCCTGAAGCCCTGTTGGAGAACAACTACAACAAAGCAACACAACTTGTGTTCACAAAAACAAAAGACATAAATGAATGGAATGAATTTATTTCGTGCCTTGTATTGCAACTGTAATTAACCGTTGATAATTTGCATTTGTTTAAAATGATGACTAACTTTAAACCTAAACTAAACCTATCGAATAGAACGTACAATTTTCTCTGGCCCATACCCGGAAACACTAACAGTCCACTTTAAAGATTTGCTAACTAAACTGTCAAGTCCTCTTTTTAAATACACCACATATTATAATTTGATAATGATTTTGTATGAAACTTATCAACAAACTTATCCAACGTACTACTTCGAAGGTCTATACCAATTGATAACGATTATGCAATTGTACATTCACGACCCGGCTCTAGACATTCCTCCACGTTGCATGGACAGCGTGCGCATCGCGGACCGCCCAGTAACATATAAAAATGTAAAACATAAGTCAAAGTGTGACAGTTTTAAAGTTTAACATAGTTAAGTTACGTTTTCCCCATTTCAAGTAAGTCTCAAATGTATATAACTAAAAGCAGTCTATTACAACTTTTCCAAATTCTTCGATGGAAATAGGCCTAAAACAAATGATGTCTCTGTAAAATACTAAATGAAAACAAATACTATATATTTCATTAAAATTTGCCTAATATTTAAATAACAACTAAACATAAGTCATTAGTCTGTCATAAGTTCGAGCGAATCTGTACGAGTATTAGTGAAAAGTTATAAATAAATGTAAAAAGCCACAAGTAAAATCACTAATTCGAAATGCAAGAATATGCAAATAGCTTAAAAAGTTAAACAAACCTTTAAAGTGCGTTAAACGTAAAACTTACGAATTGTAATTAATTTAGAATAAAACATTCATTAAATTTAAAAACCAATAAATTTATTGAATGAGATAATAAAGTAACAAGATAAACAAATAAATAAATGTTTCTTATTTTCTTAGAAGCAATTCTATCTAGTTAGCATTCTTAATAAGTAAGTGTATGAATTATTTTCGTAAGTATTAGACACTACATCTAATACGTTATTATTGGCCAAAAATATTTGTGCGTGACACACACATTTCTTTTCAAAAAAGCTTAGCTAGCAACGAATAGCCTATTTTTCCATCCAAGAGGGATAGATTTTGCGAAAACTGTGAGACACGAATCACGGGTGTAATTTTAAAAGGATAAGTATGAAGCACCCCTCGCATGAATTGGAAACAAAAAAATTATATTTAAACGATTTCCAAGACTTTTTCACATTTGCGGTTGAAATTTCCCGACTTAGCGTGCCCCTTCAACACATAGTTAGCTTAACTTAAGTAAAAAGGTCAGTTGCGTCAGGTCAGGTGCGTTGATCATCGTCCAGTTAGTCATCCAGTCAGTCAGCAAAAACAGTTTTATGCATAAAGGTTAGAAATAGGTGGAAAACCAAGGTCGGTTCAAGACCTAGGTAAATGGATGAGTCGAAGCGGGTTCACGAACAGAACATATTACACACAGAACATATTACACACATGGGCTTCCACATTTTTTCGCATACAAATCTATTCCGAGTGCAACAGTAGACTAACTAAGTCGAGACACACACTGCGGGTTGGGTGTCAGCCTTTTTAAGAGGCACTGTGATGACTTCTTAACAGTAACCCATATTTGCCGGCAATATTTAACCATGTGTGAATGCACCTAAAAACAACTCCTAAAAGTATGCAGTGATCTCTGAATATTTAACTTAGTAACATACTTTCTTCGGCTTGTTCGTATGCTTTTATTATTAATGTAGTCTTTAATACGCTGATTAATGGCCAAGAAAATGTTTCCATAATATTACCAGCGTAAAAAATTTAACTTTAAAATAAAAGTGAAGCAGTTACAAGCTGTAGAATTTCTAGCCTAAAAAAATTTTATTTTAAACATTTTTTTTCTTATAATAATAATAATAATAATAGTTAAATTCCTTTAAAAAAAATAGAGTATTATGAAGCTAAACATATTGCAGGCAAACTCTTATCCCATAAAGTTTGTCTATTCTTCATCAGCATCATAGCTAAGAGGAAATTCTGGGTATGCAGGATTTTGTTGGACATACACAAATTCTTAATTCCTTAATTTTGTATTAAATACTCTTGTTCCTAACAAAGTTCTTATTCAGGTATAGCCACAGATGGTCTTCCACAATAAATTTTCCCAAGTGTTAGGCAGAGGGAAGGAAGAACGCAACTGTCAGAGATCGTATGCTCTTGACTCGTTCTTATTTGGTTGTTAAAAACATATTTAAAAACCAAAAACTCTTTATATTTTCGATTAAAATTTGTTTTGTTTTTAAATATTAAATATTTGTCTTACTAATGATTTATCATTCATTCCATTTCATTTTAGCATGTAGAGAAAAAATAATAACTTAATCAAATAAACTGTAAACGGCTTTTGAAAAATTACTTTGATTTTTTTTAAGAGGTCCAACAAAATTTATCCCTTTTGATAATGTACATCCTAATGTTTCTTAAAAATATTTGATTATAGGTAGTAGATACACTCAAAGAATGAAGACAAATCTAGATGCGTTAAAGCAAAATTCGGCGCCTACCCTCAACAGTGCTAAATCCAACCCTGTGCCAGGCTTATCGCCATTCTGCGCTCACAACCAGTTGTGCTCTCTCGGGCGTTCGCAGCAATTGGGCAGAGACATGGGCTTGCGGTTCCGCCACAGCTGCCGGCACAGTGTTCCCAGTTCTGTTGGTATTTTCGCATGGCAGTTTCAGTCTGAAAGCGTCGGTCGTTGAGCGCGGAAGTGCCGAGCACGAGAGAACACGGCACAGAGCGCGATTTGTTTGAATGGCTGGCACGACAAGCATGGCCACATCCACAGCTACGTTCACGTTCATGTGTGTGTGTGGATGAAAGAACAACAGCGGCAACAGCGACGTCAAAATAGTAGTGAAGCATAAAGACCAACAAAATAAAGAAGAAATAAGCCCAAAACTCAACCATAACAACAGCAGCGCCAACGCCAGCAAACAATCAACGTTGTTCTTGAATGCGAGGTGGAGTTGCTGTTGTTGGCACCTCGTGTACCTGGATCAGTTGAGCTGCCGTATTCGCGTGTTCCGCCGCGCTGTAAATCTCAGTTACAAAGTGCATCAGTGTTAGTTAGCAATTGTAAGTGACCATGGCGCTATTTAATAACAGTGTAAACATCCCAACGAACAAACACTAACAAATAATAATAACTACTTAAGCTATGTAAGCCGCGTGACTCTCAAATTGTGTGCCTGGATCCGGTTGCTGTCTTTTTTAATGCGAATCGATTGCAAATAGTCCAAAAAGGACAAATATTTAAATAAATATGCAGGATATAAGAAACTGCCCATAGTAATGCGTAACTTTGTGGTTATTGCAAATAGTTCCGTTTCTATGCGTATGTATATGCATGTATGTACGACGCTGCGTCTGTATGTCAGCCGAACGCAATGTGAGTCATCGCAGAGCCCGCATTGGTCAATGTGCAATCTCAGCACAAAGTACTCCACGACATAGAAATTTATTTTTAACCCTCGGCACACTCAAAATTTGCGCCGCATGCAAATTTTGACTAGACGACACTCGTATTCAAATTTGAAAGTGCGCCGATGCTATAAATACTAAAAACAACAAGAACAACAACAACAACTACAACAAAGAGTACGCCTAAATTCAAAATAATAATTATTTAAATTCTGCTCAGGTCTGCTCAGTTGTCATCAAGTTCGTCAAAATCAAATACCAATAAAAAGTCATAAAAGCACTTATGTAACTAAAAATAATAGCCTTACATACATATGTCTGTTTGAAATGTATGTGCGCGCATATACAGATGTAAGTGTGTGCATTTCTGTAAATATATGTTTGCATGCATGCTATACATATATTTAGACGCCCGTCGATCTGGCAGCAGTCGCCAGTTTTTGCGTTAAATGTCATTAACCTCGACGATTTGAGTTTGAATGTTGTCGTTTGTTTTGATTTACCGTAAAAACACAAACTTATCGTTTATTTAAATGATAAGATTGTTCACGTGACTTGGTTTCCTTCATGCTGCGTTTATGTGTCATTGGTTTTCATTGTCAAGAGTTATCCAAGACACACTTACTCCAACGGGTTACCCAACGATAACACTGTACTCTATTATATAAGCCTCAAGCATTTGTATACAATGAAAGGTTAGTTACGTAGGCATTTTATATGTCAATGGGTATGCATGCAGGTGTGGGCACAGTTCTCCAGGAATTGCAAGGCGAGCTTAAAGTTGACAGCTTATAATCAATTAGCAGTGGAGAGTACTTTATTTTCCATTTCCATTTGCGAGCACATATGCATATAATATATATATACATATAATATAAATAAGGTCAGTTAGAACATTAAGTGCAAAGGCGATTAATAATAATAAAAGGTCTTTGAGCCTGTCGATAAGGCGCATTCATTCAGAAATAAAGAGCGAACATGTGAATGCAGTTATGCATGTAGTTATGGATGCTAAGTGAGAGGATACCCTGTAATTATAGTTTGAAATGAAAATGGTACTTTTCTAAATTTCTATTTAACTTTTATGGATTAATAATATTAAAAAGTATATTATTAAGGAAATTAAAATATGAAAATAGTTGTAAATTGGAAATACTCTCTACTTTTCTAAATTTCTATTTAGAAATAAACTAGGAAATAAAGGGGAAAAACATAAGAATATAGCTATGCATAGAAATGCCCAAACTAATGCTTATGGATTTATTATTTAAATATACTTCAATGCATCTGCGTTTTAAAGCTGATATTTTTAAAAGGCATATTTTATAGGGCACTTAAATGCAGCATTGTGATTAATCTCGTGTCGCAATTCATCTTCTTGGAAGTCTTACGAAACGGCTCAAGCACACAGTAGACCCAAATGAGTCATTTGCTTATCAAATACATATTCATTATACTCGTTCGCTTAACATTCGTACAACTAAATACTCTAAATACTCACTAATTCACAGTTAGTTGATCACGTTGCCAAAACGAACTGCACGCATGTCGTGATCCAGTTAAACACATATCAGAAGCCTTGTCCCGTAATCAGCAGCCAAATTCAGCATATAATCAGCAAGCTACGTCAAGATTTTGTTTTTGTTTGATTTACGAATTTAAGTGCTAAAAAAAAACATGTCTGTATTGGTAAAGGTAAACAGGCATATATACATATGAAAATGCTGATGTATGTATACAAAAAGTCTACCATTTTTTGTGCGTCCAATTCCATCTGTAAAACAAGCCAAGAAATGATGTCATGATCCAGACCCAAAAGCCTGGCTCACACTCACACACACATACCAAACGCGCACACATACCACGAATACTGTAGACCATTTTATTTGTGCTCTGAGCTCAGTTTGTATTGTGTATTTCGATCATTAGCTCACCGGTTCGCCGAATGCCATTTATTTATTTATTCTCTGCTATACGGAAATTCATCAACGTACTGCTCATTGAATACAGACTTTTCCCACTCGAAAGGGGAGACACATGAGCTCATCTTTACTCATTATTAAATACACTATTTATGCATTTCTCTCTACATACACTCTACATAACATACTCATGTGTCCAAGTACATAAATACCAATAAAAATAAGAGTAATGGTGTTTTAGTCCGGAGTGTCGCCTTGCTAATACCCTGTACCTAGCGTAGTAAAAATTGCAATATCATTGTTAAACATACATCATTGGGTTGTGCTTTTATTTCTGTAAGCCCAAAACGTATGAGAAATGCATGTTAGAATAACTTCGGTATTTTCATCTCATCAAAAGCTGTTCTTATATTCAAACGGATCACACAGACCACATTTTATGAATAACTTCTTGGAAATAGCTGAAATCGATACTTATCGATTTGTACGTTTTGAGCTACCGATTAGTTGAAAGAAACTGAATCCGCACTGGCTCTATATTTAATTCTCTAAGGTCGACAGACAAACGGTCCAGAAATATATCCATCTTATGTGTTCCACATGCATATTAAACTATAATGCCCTTAAAAAATAACGACTTTATTTTACGAGACTTGAAGTGACATTGTGAAATTTGTTGTCTGGACTAATTACTGTGCTATCGTAGAACTCAAATGCGGCTGACCCTCAGTGACACCTCCAGCTGGAACTGTTGCAGCCTCAATGGCATCGCCCACACGCGATCTGCCAGCGCTTCGATTTGCGTCAATTCCTACTAAAGCAACACACATACATATGTAGATATATTTGGCTTGAGCTCGGAGCTTCTCTAAAGTTTCCACAATTTTTTTTAAATTGCTGCAATTAAATTAATCAGCTCGTCACTGTTGCATTCGAAATGTTAAATAGAATGCAATGCATGCAGTTCAATTGTATTCCGCATTTTAATGTCGCATGCTTACATGACTTCCAGTTGAAAATATCGATTTTTGAACTTCAAATGTATTATTCTTTTTGTTGTTGTTGTTGCCCTGGTTTAGCTGGTAATTATCTGCACACTGCGCAGATTACATGATTACATTACAATAAAAATGAATTTTCGACTTATTATTATTATCATTATTGATACATTTAAGAAATTGCTCACCTCGGAAACTGATGACATTGGCTATGCCCCAATTAAAACAAAGCAAAATGTACATTTATCTAAATCGCGAAGCGTGATAAGAAAACATAACTGTCTTTAAGAACAAAACCAACATTGGTTATAACAAAAATCTCATTTGACAATATAAAAGAGAAAATTAAATACAACTTGCGAAAATGACAATAACGTATACAGGTGAAGTGGCCACTTGTCGTGGCTTTGGCTGTTTTCTCAAACTGCTTCTCAGGTAAGTGTGAGATTTAATCCTCTATATATTAATATATGTACATAAAACTGTTTGTTCTGACTGACTGACTGATTGTTGATTACGCCCAGCCCAACCCTTATAGCTAGGAAACTGATGTAATGCAAGTGCACGCTAAGGTGGAAAATTTTGAAAAATTCTGCTTGCAAATATACAAAATTGTTAAACAACTGTTGTATACAACTCTTTTGAATACCACATAATAGGGCTCAAACTTAATTTCAAAGATTTTTGCGAGAAAATCATTATTAAAGTCAAAAACTCACTTTCTTTGGGAAAAGCTTTAGTTTCTTCAGATCAGTAAGAAAATAAATTAATACATGTGTTTTTCATGTTTCACTAACCCGGCGAAATTTTTCATTTTTCAATACATATTTAATGCGATTGCGAATTGCTACTACAGTAGTTGGAGCGGGAAAATTTGAGTTTCCGACAGGCGGGAAATGGGTGGAAATGTGATGTATGAAAGGCGGATAATACCTTTCAATACTTGTATGTATATGCATGTAGGTGTATAAAAACCATTTTGCACTTTCAAATTACAGTGCTAAACGCTTGTGTATGAGAAGCGTGTAAAATTGCAAGTCTGGTGCTAATTAAAGAACTGACACAGTTCGACAGAGCCAGTAAATTGAGCGACTCTCCGCTGGCTACAGCTAGTGATAGTCGTCAGACATCACACAATTGCAACTAATGCAACTAATAGAATTTTCCATGCGTTCCACACACACACACACACACTCAAATAGTTGTGCACACTAGATTGTAGTTCAGCCGATAGCAGCAACAACTCCACCCACACATGATACTCGTGTCGGCACATCCACCACGTCTCCATTGGACCTGCAGCCTTATCAAAGCCGTTTGGCCCGTCATGTGTTTGACATCTGTCATGCATGTAATTTGAATTATAATTTAATATTAGGTAGCCAGTGCTTCTAACGATATCTATTTGAATGTATGTATGTGATATCTGCACCCCCACCTATGTAAATGGAGCTCAGATTTATTTGAATGATCCGCTGATAGCGTCAGCTGCATTGATTGTTACGGCCAATCAATGAACTGGCTATCCGGGATTTGATAGGGTAACTGAACCTCTGTGTTATTGCTAATTTAACACATTATCATATAAATTTAGTATGGGAGAGCTAATGCACATAAGTAGGAGCAAATAAGCACATTGTATTTTGAAACATTTTCCAAATTTAAACTTATTTTAATAACATTCAAAACAAGAACTAAGGCACGGCATCTGTGCATACAATATATTTAATTAAAATTATCAACGTCGGCAAACCTTGAAATCTTTCTGGCAACGATACAAAGTCAAATTCTGTTTGTCATTTGTTTATCATAAATGATTGTGTTTGTTTTTTTTTTCTATTTTATCAAAAATTTGGTGATAAGAGCTTGTTTTATAATTAGTAGGCTTTCGTTTGAAATGATTGTGAGGTTATTCTCATATACATACATACATACATATGTGTATGTGCTCATTTTTATGACGTTTCGTCAGCCACAAGTGGACGGTGGCATGATTATTGTTCAATATCAGGATGGTAAGGCTTTGTGATGACGTCGCCAATTATAGGAATATTGGTGAACACATGCCAGACGCGGTGCCGCACATTAATAAAGTTGTCCGTCGTATACGATAAGTTTAGGGAATAGCCCGAACCATAAACGATGATATGTTAGTCGAGCTACTATATTAGGGTTTTTGTGTGCGTGTGCGTTCTATTTATAATAATGATCTGATATCCACTTCCCTTTCAGGTGGCGCGGAAGTATTTACAAATTAGTCTGGCTGGATCTGCTCGCTTTTCTTACACTATATTATTTACTTAATTTGGTCTACCGCTTTGCGCTCAATGAAAGCCAGAAAGAGTAAGTAAATATTGATAAGGAATATAGTCTATATTAACTGTTTCTCTTTTTCCCGCTCAGAACGTTTGAGGCGATCGTGGCCTATTGTAACAGCTATCGTGATCTCATCCCGCTGTCCTTTGTACTCGGCTTCTATGTCTCCATTGTAATGACACGCTGGTGGAATCAGTACACATCTATTCCTTGGCCGGATCCCATCGCTGTCTTCGTCAGCTCCAATGTGCATGGCCAGGATGAGCGCGGTCGCGTTATGCGTCGCACAATCATGCGTTATGTGTGCCTGTGCCTCACGATGGTTCTGGCGAATATATCACCGCGCGTCAAGAAACGATTTCCTGGCCTAAACAATCTAGTGGAAGCGGGCTTGCTCAATGAGAACGAGCGTACAATCATTGAGACAATGAACAAATCATTTCCGCGACCCTCCAAGCACTGGCTCCCAATTGTGTGGGCGGCCAGCATCATTACGCGGGCAAGAAAAGAGGTAAATAATACTTCATATGAAAAAGAGGACCAATGCGCAACTTTGTTTTCTTTGGGTTAAATATACTAATTACAAATTTTGACAGGGCCGCATTAGGGACGATTTCGCCGTGAAGACCATCATCGATGAGCTAAACAAGTTTCGAGGACAGTGCGGACTGCTTATTAGTTATGATACGATCAGTGTGCCCCTAGTTTACACACAGGTGGTTACTTTGGCTGTTTATTCCTATTTCCTCACCTGCTGCATGGGGCAGCAGTGGACGAATGGAAAAGTCGTGGGCACCAGTAGCTATCTGAACAAGGTGGATTTGTATTTTCCAGTGTTTACCACGCTGCAGTTCTTCTTCTACATGGGCTGGCTCAAGGTGGCTGAGTCTCTGATCAATCCCTTTGGCGAGGACGATGATGATTTTGAAGTACGTCTGAACAAATGGTAGCTCTTGAAGTGCTAAACTTATTCATAAGTGTCTGCTTCCTAGGTTAATTGGATGGTGGATCGCAATCTGCAAGTCTCCTATTTAATTGTAGATGAAATGCATCATGATCACCCAGAGTTACTTAAGGATCAGTACTGGGACGAAGTGTTTCCCAATGAGCTACCATATACCATTGCTGCAGAACGGTTTCGCGAGAATCACCCGGAGCCTTCCACTGCCAAGATCGATGTACCGAAGAATGCGGCGATGCCCTCAGGGATGTCATCTGTGCGCATCGATGAAATGGTTGGTAATAATAGCATCGGCGCTTCTGGGTCTAAGCCGCCTTCCGCTGAACAGCCACAAGGCGCACCTATGCAGACAGTTACTTATGACCTTTCCAAAGCTGCGCCAGATGAGGAGGTTAGAATCAAAACGTTGGCAGCATTCACTAGCGATACGAAGTATTGGCACCAAATAATCGGCTACCTTAACTAAACGTACATCCATGAACATCACTCATGTACATGTGGCGGAAAATCAAAATCAATCAAAAATCAGATCAAAACGTATTTTCTAACCTTCTTCTATCCTAAACCCAAAAAAAAATTCCATATGGGATTCAGATCTATCATTGGCATTTCAAATCACAACGGTGCTTGGTATTTATACCTAACCTTATATATATTTATGATATAAAATGAATTGGATGTTGAACAGTGGATTCTAACATAAGCATTGGGGATCGTTTTCATGCACCTGTCAAAGTTGTCAGCTAGACGTGAAAACTACACATACCTTAACTTCTAATCAATTAACATCAGCTTTGACAAGAGCATGAGAAAACAGATCTGAACCAATATCTCTTAATGTAATCGGTATAACAGAGATCAGTCTACTAAATTATGGACGTAAAATAAACTTTTTAGAGGCTCGCTGAAATGTTCATATAGAACCCACTGCGCATTATCACTAACCTAATTATACTAATTATACTCTACTTTGGTGTTTGTGTCTCTTTAACCTATAAGACTGCATACTAACTTTTGATTCTAACAACAATCTGTTTGCCTACAGCCTCTAACTGCACTACGCACTGCACGGCTTTCAGTTGCTTTTGTGCACCCCAGAAAAAAAACTGCACAAATCGGTTTCAAGTAACTTATGCTCACTTTAAACTCTCCACATGAACAGCAGAGTACATATAAATAATGTTCTACATTGTTTCTTTCTCACAATGCAACTCGCAGGGCGACGACGCCAGCGGCATACACTTCTCAGCAGGCAATGGCAAATCGCGTCTGGGGCTAGGCTCCTCGCCCAGTCTGGTTAGTGTATCGGGCACTCTGTCCCGGGTAAATACGGTGGCGTCGGCACTGAAACGTTTCCTTAGTCGCGACGACAGCCGTCCAAGCTCAGCCACGCCCACCGAAGATCCGGGCAAATATCGCTTCCCGAGCAGCGCCAGCTCGGCAAGTTTAACGGGCACCATCGGCGGCCCAGCTGCTGTGAAACCCGCAGGCAGCATGCGCATAACCCAACAGGTTATTGAGGAGGTGGACGAGCAGGCCACCATCACGTCGATGCGCCCCAACGATCCGCGTCCCAATGTAAAAGATATATTTGCGCCGGCCGTTGGTCAGCCGCAAACAGCACCGCTGCAGCCACCACCGCCTGCAACAGGAGCAGCTACACCATCACGCTCCCAGCCAGTGGACATACCCCGACGCTCGCCGCAGTACGAGCGCGCCCACTCGCAGTATGATCCGACACCATCACTCTTTCCACCTGGTGGCGTGGATGCTCTGCTAAGCACATCAGCCCCAGCCGGAGACAGTCCCTTACTCATGTCAGCAGCCACGGCGCCCAGCTCGCCGGTGGGCGACAGCAGCAAGTCGCTGTTCGAGCAGCATAAGGCCGCCAGCCGTGAGACGGGTAAGTGGTCAGCACTCGTATGGGGAATGGTACCAATAATGCCTTCCTCTTCCTGCTTCCGATAATCACATTTAACATTTATCTTCATATACACTCACATACACATACACATTCGACGAATGCGCGTTTAAAACTGTTAATACTTAAAGCGATTGAGAGACCCGATGCAGCGCAGATTTTCAGGTGGTTCGTGACGCCCGGTAAAGTTCAATCATTGGCCAAAATCAATTATTTCGTTCCTCAGCTTATTCCACGTAAATGTTGCTAGTCGTCAAATTGTTATTGTTGCCTGATGTCGTTTATTATTTTTAGTTTTCTTAATATCATAATTCCGTTTTTTTTATCGACTTGTTGACTTGTTTATTAAATACTAACCAGAGCTTAGCAATTTTTTGAATTGGTAGTTTGTATTGTGTTGCATAAGACTCGATCCAACATTTGTGGGTTTTCAACCAAGTAATGCCCTCCTAACTCCAAATTTGTATTTAGAGTTTGCCTAGCCGTAATCCTTTTAGCCGTTGCACGCATTTCTTAATCTTGATTAATCCCAAATGCCATATAGGGTAATAAGCTAATGCGACTTTCTGCCCTTACAGTCGAAAATCTTGACATCAAAACATCCAACGATGTACTGGCCAACACAGCTGCCGAGGCCGCTCCGGATGTTGGCGATGATTTTGAGAAGCTGAAAGCTGCTCGGGAAAAGGAGAAGCTGGTGCGCCAGCAGATGAACTTGGCCCGTACCATTAGCACAGCCCCGGGTGTGGATCCCTCCGGAGTTGTTCCGCTGGTGCCAGTTGTGCCCGTGGCCATGCCAATGATGGCGCCCATTGCGCCCCAGGCGAACACAACGACCGCGCTCCCGGCTGTTGCTTCCAGCGCCGATTTACTCGCCGGCGGCGAACCAGTGACCAATTCAACCACTAAATCCGAGGACGCCACCCAAGGAAGTTGAGCTGGCTGGCGTTTAGTATTCAGGCGTACAGTATAAAGTATGCCACTTGTGTTAACAACTTTTCAAATTAGAAATAAGTTAATTATTTAGCGTATTAGTTAATTTATATAAGCTACTGAACCTAATGCCTTAACATGCAGAATGACAGAAACGGATTAAGAATGCTCATAACGTTAAAACGATCTTGAGTGAGAATGTACCCATTTAACGCAGTTTAAATACCTATTATTTAAAATGAAGTCAAAAGTGATTTGAATCTAAACAATAATATAAGTTTTCTAAATTGCCAGAAAATTGTGTTTTAATTAAAGTAAAACCTCTCTTGGGCGTGTGACTGTCCGCTCAAGAGAAGCGTCCGCCGTAGACATTGAATGGTAACAACGATAATAACTAAGAGAATATCAAAATAGAGAGCAATAATATAACTAAACGGCCAAGTAAAAATCTTTTAAGTGCGTCGATGCTGTGCGGTGCAACTCTCATTTAGATAAACCTATTTTCGATGACCATTTTCATATTAAAACATTCGATATTAATTATATATCTAATGATATTTAATGTAGTTTTAGAAGCTAAATCGATACAACTAAAAGAAATTAACATAAACGCCAAAAGCGTTAAAGGAAAATTGATCAAGTTTGTTGGGTTGGTGATTAGAAAGGGTTTTCAATTGCCTCATAAGTTGTGTGCTTTTAGCGCCATCTAATAACGAGCCACCTGGCCACCGTAGCGATCCTGTGTTGGGCGAGTACCTCCATACATCCCACCGGCACCACTGTTACCCTGATACCCGCTGGAGCGTTCGTTGTAGCTGCGATCAAAACGACTCTGCGCCTGCATTGGACGCCAGTTGTCATCAAGGGTAGTCGACTTTTGCCAAGAGTTGTTGCCATGCATGTTTGATGACATTCCATTATTACTGTAGGATTTCAATTGTCCGCCGCCACCACCTAGATGAGTGCTACTGCCGCCGCCAGATGGTGCCCATATGTTAACGTTGTTTGAGTTGCTACCATAGCCACCAGCTGCTCCGCTGCTGGTTGAATTTTCATAACGTTTGTTGCTACTAAAATGATAGAAAGGGAGTTGCTGATGTGTCTTCAATTTAATACAAGAGATTTGGGCTTACTGAGACATATCGTCAACACCACTACGTCTGTAATTGGAGGTGTTGCTGCGGTCGGAATCATTGTAGCGCCCACCGCCCCCACCATTACCACCGCTTGTGTTATTCTTGTGACCATAAGTACTCGCAACGTTGCCAGTGTTGTTCTTGTGCACATAGCCAGTACCACCGCCCGCGTTGCTCTTGTGAACATATGAGCTGCTTGATCCGCCAGTGCCAACGCCACCAGATGAAACTGGCAAATGACGTACCTCCACCTCGCGTTTGTAATCATCACGTTTACTGGTAGTGGATGATGAATAATCGTGCTTAGAGCTTGAGCCATAATCATTGCCGGATCGCTTGCTCGGCACCGCTGCGTAATCATCGATGGCACCACGTTTAGTGCCAGTGGAGCTACCATAATCGCTACGCTTATTTGAGGTATATTCTAGCCGCTTTGAACTGGAGTAGTCATCAAGACCACGTTTGGAGCTCGATGAGGTGCCATAATCATCATGCTTCTTGTCATAAGTGCTGGTGCTGTTAAAAATACAGTTGAGTCAATATATTTCTAATACACATTATGGATTATGTGGCCATCACTTGAATGGATAACATACTTGCGTGAGCTGACCAAAGAAGCATCAAAGCGCGGCGGTGGTGGAGCATCAAAGACCGCGGAACGCTTGCGGTCTGTAACATCGGTATAGCGATCATCAGTGCGCTTACTTAGCGAACGCTTAACAGGATCATCACGTGACTCCATAATCCTGGAGTACCATTAGTGGAAAGTGAGGAAAGATGAAAAGAGTAAAGTTTACAACATTAGCAACATTTTAAAGGTAGGCGACGAATTCAGTACATATATGTTAAACATAGTTAAAACTACGATGCAGTTCATTTGCAGTTGCATAAATATACATGAATGCAAAAGCATTTGCCTAGACTGCCCGGCAGATTTTCGGGTTGAAGAAACAACGTGGCTGCTGCAACTTAATACACTAATTTACACGGCCAAATGCCTTTTGAGAATATGAAAAAATAAATATGGTGTTGTTGTTTTTAGCGTTGTGTGTGCAACGCGTTTACGTTTATCATACTTCATCTGTTGACGCTTCAACTCGAGGCGCTCCAGCTCGATTTTCTCACGCTCCAGTTTCTGGCGCTCCCGTTCCATGCGCAGCAGTTCGGCCTTCTCACGCTCAAGGCGCTCCCGTTCGATGGCCAGCTTGCGTCGCTCCTCGGCTAGACGTTCCTCCTCAATACGCTGACGTTCGCGTGCCTCACGACGTCGTCGCTCCTCCTCGCGTAGCTCACGCTCCCGTTCACGCAAGCGCTGGCGCTCCCGCTCCTCACGAATCTTCTGATAAGATAGCATCTCACGCTGGCGTCGCTCGCGCTCACGCTGACGCTGCTGAATCTCACGGTCAACGTCGCGTGGTTGGCGTCCCGAACGGCGCTCGTTGGATTCGTCTCGGTTTTGAGACTTGTGACCCGTGCCAGAGCGATGATCACGATCGTGGCGCTTGTCACTGCCCGTCGACGGCTTGTCCTTGTCGTCGCGTGATGGCTTGTTGCGATCTTTATCCTTGCCGTCCCGCTTGTTGCTGGATTCCCCGCCTGAGTTTTTGCTCTCCCCGCTAGTTTCACCCCCCTTCTTATCATCTCCACTGCCCTTGGCGCCGGACTTTTTATCGTCATCCTTCTTCTTCGACTCATTGTTTAACTTGCTGTTTGCCTTGTTGTTGCCCTTATTACCAGCATCTTTGGATGAACTTGCGCTGCCGCCGATTTCGTTCTTGGTGCGTTCCACTGATATTATTCGGCCGTGCAGTTCCGTACGATGTAAATTCTCAATGCACCGCGAAGCATCCCCGGATGAGGACATGGTCACATAGCCGTAACAGCGTGTGCCTGGGGTACGGGTGTTGGTGACCACCTTGGCTCCAATCACCTTGCCGAACTTGGAGAAAATGGCCTTCAAGTCACTGGCGCGTGTCAATGTAGACAAACCAGACACCCAAAGATTACGTGACAGCAACGCCTGCTTCCCAACAGCACTAGACGAAGCACCAGCCGCAACTGCGCCTCCGCCCGAGCCCGACTTGTTGGCAGCGGCACCCGATGCCGATGCTGCGCCCGCTGCTGTTGTCGATGTTTTCTCTGCAAGTTCCATGTAAATAATAACAATATTGGAAGAGAGTTATGGTCAGAGCTGTGAGTGGCTGGAAAACTGTTTTGGTATTTGGTATTGATTGTGATCATTGATCATTAAGGGAAGCACTTTAAACGCACACTTTGTAGCTGCTGCTGCTTGCTGTTGTATCGCAATTTTTCGACATAACGAACCTAACTGATTCTACGTTATAAGTACATGTACATCATTATTTACTGCTCCCTACGAAAGCTAAGAGAGTGTGAATTTGATTGGGTTGCTGCAGATGCTTCCACTGCTGCTTCTGCGCATGTTGCTTCCACCATAAAAAGGGATGTCGTACAGGGTGGCCATGGCCAACAAGTCACATTGGTATACGTGAAGATATCGTCAGCTGTCATGTATGAAGGGTCGTCTTCTGGCCGGAATCGTCTTATCCGTCATCATCGCTGTTGTTCCGCTGAATATTACAAGCTGCAGCTCAAACACGGGTCCGTCCTTCCCAGCTTGTGGATTTTGGGCGATGATATGGTGTCCGTAATACAGTTGGATTGTAAAGCGCGGTGCAGGACTCCTGGCGTAAATTAATGGAAATCGACGAATTTAGCCAAAATGTAAAATCTTTTTGCTATGTAAAAAAAACGTCCTCGGGAATTTATTTCCATTTCCAAGCGCAAAGCAATTCTCACATCATTGTAACCTCCAGTTCATTGGCGAACGTTTGTTTGTTTTTAAATTATTTTATGATCAAACGGCTCTCTTTTGGCAATCCAGAGGCCTTTTGAAGGGTAGTAAACTGAATCCACATTGGATGTTAGATTGAATATGTTTAAATTATGTATAAGCCTGGTTTGAAGTCTCGCCCGGTGTAGTAAGTGCTTTAGATTTCTGATATTATTCCATCTAGTTGTATTGCTGCTCGCTCAGATTTGATGATTCCATGCCCAACCAAATTCACACTCTCTTGCACACTCTGTTGCTCAAGTGTGCCGCACATGGTTTTATTTCGCAAGCTTTACTTAGTTCATGCATGGCCTAACCAACTTATATATGCGTATATATTTATATATATACATATATAACCTTTCAAGCACACGATTTTCCTGGTGAAATAGTAACTTAAATTACCTTTATCGTCTTTTTGGTTCAACGATTTGGAAGCCAACTTTTGATCGCTATTCGGTCCACGTTACAAAATTTGAAATGAAAATAAAGTATAAAGAAAGTGGATATTCGTTATTAGTGTTGAAAAAAAAATGCTAATGGACATGCTTTTAAATAATGAAAATTAGCTAGTAGTTCATCACAACCAACCTAGAGTCCTTTTTATCAATAGACTTGTCATCCTTCTTCTTTGATCGAGCGCTCTCATCATCCTTGTGAATCTTTTTGTCTCCGTCCTTAGAAACCGCGCTCGATTTTTCGATTTTGTTTGCCGGTTTAACTGTAAATTATGTCATTAAAAAGTAATTTAGTAAGTAGTCATTTTTCAGAACTCCGCTTCATTGTGTTAAAATAACATTATGCAATGATCTTATCTAGTTATTGGTTGATTTTACAGCAAAAGCAACCGGTATATTTTAGTTTCCACCACATTTCTAGTAATTAGTTTAACCGTATTAAATCTCAAAACGTTTCGACACGCAATGATAAATTGGCTAAAAACCGAATTTTGACAGTTTAGTATACTATACTTATGATTTATGATGTACACACACATTATATTTGGCACAAGTTATATAAATTAATTAATGCTTACCCGACTTAATAGACTTGTCGTCAGGGGCCTGAAACGACAATTGTAATTTAGCAGTCGACCATTGACATATATAATAAAAAATACCTCATCATGTAAAAGTTTCTGCTCATCTTCGCCAATTGTCAAGTTGATAGACTCGTCATTGTCCATGTTTACAGTGTCGCCTGTATTCTCTTCCTGCATCTCTTCGTCGCCTGTCGGTCCTTCGCCTTCTTCGGCGGCGTCTCCTTCAACGGCTTCTTCATTGCCATTTTTCTCATGGTCGTACTCCTCTGCATCCTCTTCTTCCTCTTCATCGTCATCTAGTATCACACAGACATCGTCGACGTCGCCCACTTGATCTATTTCGTGCCCATCATCATCAGCGTGATGGGCACTGTCTTCGCCATCTCCATTTGTTTCGTATTCTTCGCCCACTGCTTGGTTTTCTTCATCGGGGTCAACAGGCTCTTCCTTGATTACAACATCGGTCATAGATTCTTTCATTGGCATCGGCATCGGCTTCTTTGCCTTTGCAGACGATACAATTAAATGTGTGTTGGGGTCGACGCCCTCCTCCTTTAAGGCCTACAAATGTGCACAATGTAAACCAGCACCCCTGTCGGATAATCCTCGCGTATACATACTCTTTCAAGGCGTTCGATGAGCACGGCCTTTGGTCCCACAGTCTCCAGCTTGCGCTTTTCTAGCTCATCCTTTAAATCACACACCCGCAACTCGCCGATTTTCTTGCCGATTTCGGGCATATTAGTTTACTCTTATGCACAAAGATGACACAATAACCTTTACTTATTTAAAAGGCTCACTAATATCTCTAGAAAAAAAGGAATATTCGAATTTTTCTCGATTTCACAACGTGTTGTTCCGTATGCCAACTGAGAAAATTTTACAATTTTTCCTATAATCAAAATGGCGACATAAGAATACCTATCGGGGCTGAGATATCGATAACCCAGGGCTACGCGACTATTTTTACCCCAAACCAGGGGCGTACCATTAAGCTAAATGACATTAAAATGCCTATTTTGTTTTTATGTTATATAGTTTTGTTGAGTTTTTTCAAGAAACATAAATAAGAAATGGAAGCTAAGTTGTTTTGTAATTTAAAATGGTATTAGAGTTCAAAATTCAAGTATATCTATTCAAGAGTGCTCGAATAGGAGATACCAAACACTGTATTATTATTACTCATACAAAAAGCACGCATATGTAGCAGTACCATGGAAATATCAGTATTTATATATCACACAATTACTTTAAAATAGTATAAAGCCAAAAATAAAAACAGCATTAAATTGAAATGTATAATAAAATTATTAAGCGATTTAACAAAATTAAGATACTGTTTGGGAAATGAAAATTTTGGTATGCCCTGGTTTGCTGCGCACGGTCTCACTCTTTATGTGCAGTATTTTTTTTGGAAGCCTGTTTCTGTAAATGATTGCAGATTTGTGCACCGGCTTACTATGTCTGTGGTTATTGAGACCACGCTAGGAGATTTGACCGTGGACCTGTTCACGGACGAGCGACCAATTGCCTGCCTTAACTTCATAAAACTTTGCCAGTTGAAATACTACAACTTCAACCTATTTCACACTGTGCAGCAAGGCTACATTGCTCAAACCGGCGATCCCAGTGGCGTTGGAGATGGAGGTTCCTCAGTATGGGGTGTTGTGGAAGGCTCCCAAAAACGTTTCTTCGAGGCCGAATACATACCGAAAATACACCACTCCAGTGCGGGGATACTCTCGCTGGTCAGTGCCGGGAAAAATCTTGTTGGCTCCCAGTTCTTCTTTACGCTCGGTGAAAACCTGACATCGTTGGACGGCACTCACTGTGTTATTGGAGAAGTTGTGGAAGGACACGAGTTGCTCCGGAAGTTGAACGATGCAATAGTGGACGATAGCTTTCGCCCATATCAGGATATACGCATAACTCACACTGTCGTTCTCGAAGATCCGTTTCCAAACCCCCGTGGTTTTCAAGTCCCCAGCCGTTCGCCGTCTCCTAGCGTCGAAAGGCTTAAAAATGGACGCATCGCAGCCGACGAAGACATAGACGACACCAACGGTAAATCCATGGAGGAGATGCAAGAGATGTTGGCAGAACGTGAAGCCAAGGCACGTGCTACAATCCTGGAAATCGTAGGGGACTTGCCGGATGCGGAGATGGCTCCGCCAGAAAACGTGCTTTTTGTATGCAAACTTAATCCTGTGACAACGGACGACGACTTGGAGATCATTTTCAGTCGCTTTGGCGTTGTAAAAGGCTGCGAAGTGATACGAGACCGGAAGACAGGTGACTCCCTACAGTATGCATTTGTGGAATTCGAAGATCAAAAATCATGCGAGGCTGCCTATTTTAAAATGGACAATGTGCTTATTGACGATCGTCGCATACACGTGGACTTCTCGCAATCGGTGTCTAAGGTGACTTGGCGGGGAAAAGGTCGAGGCATTATAGGTGCTGATGGTCGATTAGACTTTGATAACTTGAAAGAAAGGAATGGCAGTAGAAATGTTAGTCATCCGAGCAAAATGGAAAGCAACGAAGCGCGTAAGGATAGAAATAGAAATGATGAACACAAAAATCGAACTACTTTGGAAGAACGCAAGAAGGCTCGTGAGCTACGACACCGAGAACAAAAGGACCGCGACAAACGTGGTCGAGACCAATATGTTCAACGTTCAAGATCAAGAGACCCTAATATTCGGTATAGAGAACGATATGAAGGACGCCATTCCCGATCAAGGGATCGAAACGAACGTAGAAGGGCAGCATCGCCTTACAGAGGCGGCAGTCGCTACTCATCAGAACGTGGGCGGCGAGAAAATTTACGTAATAGAAGTAGAGACAGAGACAACAGGTAATTTGTAATGCGTTTATGTTGAATTATGCTCCATGAACATATATTTGCAGACCCACGTTTAAAGCCGAAGAGAATCCACAAAGCCACCGACGTAACGATGAGAAAAGTTACAAGGAAAAACTATCAGAAGATAACACAAAAGACCGAAGACGTTTCGCTGTAGAAAAGGAGAGCAAACCTAAGAAAAAATCGAAGCGAACTAAAAGCAGCAGTTCAGAATCCAGCAACACCTCCGATGATAGTGAATCATCGTTATCATCTAGTAGTTCGGATAGCACCACAGACAGCTCCTCCTCATCAGACCAACGTAGCAAACGCAAGAAGCACATCAAGTCGAAACATAAGAAAAGCAATGCAAAACGCAAGCACAAGTCCAAAAAAAAGCGCAAAAAATAATGCTTTTAATGTTTTGACTTTACAAATAATTTAAACTAATTTGCTAATATCCACAAATGAGTTTTGATTTTTACTTCTTACGTGATTCTATCTCAGCCTCTAGGGCAGCCATGGCTGCCCCACCACAACAACCTGGTGACTTATCATTCCGCCGTCTGCGTGGAGCTTCAACCACTGCATCGGGATCGAACATCACATTGTCTAGGCGAGTGGTCTCTGGCGTTATGCGTAGCTCTTTAAAATAGTCGATATCATCAGTACGGGAAAATATTTATGTAATATTTACTCACCAAAGACGTTGTCCTCCCGTTTTTTGGCCTGAATTACATTCGTTCGCAGCTCGTGGTCCACCTCCACAGCTAAGTTAATCATCTATAAATATTAAAATTAATGTCTGTTAACGTGTTGTAAAAATATGCATGCCACCTTTCGAATCTCGTCCTCGTTGGTTTCGTTCCGGTTCTGCTGAAATGATTCGTTTATCTTATGCCGGCCGGCCAACAGAGCCCTGTCATCGCCCTGAAACACATATTGGCGAGTGCGATGTAACTTTTTGAACGCGCTTAGCACCTATTATTTGCCAAAATAAGAAATATAAAGTGTATTAAATAATTATCATTTTTAAAGCAGCAACTTGCCTGACGCTTTAAAGATTGGGACATTATTTTACGTCATTAACAAACGATCAGCTGATTTTGAAAAGCGCTAGTCAACTCTAGGGCAGTGCAGAGGTGCACATTGTTCAGTTATCGAAAATTGTCTATCGTAAACAGTCTCGATAGTGATTTGTTTTTGACATCTCCAGGTCAGTTGCAAGAATTTTTTACGTCGCTTAGTTGTGTGCGACGGTTGTTTCGGCGTAAAGGAATACTGTGGGAATTTTTAAAATGCTGTTCTCTTTGAAAATCTAAATTCTTTAATAATTTAATTGCTTAATAAAGCAATGCAAGCTAACACAAAGTCTATCAATAAGTAATAACAACAAGAAGCAACATCTAATTGGTCTGTGGTCGTGCGTACGCGGGTGAAAAGTGAAATTAGTTACAATTGGACATTTAATTGTGTTCGTGCTTCACTCAGTAACGAAAGAAACTTAGCAGTGGGCGGGGGAGGGCCTTGCTTAACAAACACGAAACTGGCTCAAAACGACAAGCTAACCTTCTTCCTTAAGAACATGGAGGAAGAGGAGGAGGAAGTGACAGACCTGAAGCTGCAACTGTTCCACAATACAGTGAGGGAGCACATTGTAAGTAACCACTGCCATCACTATTGTGACGTCACATTACATCAGTACCACCACCCCTAAAAGTACCACACAAATTGATGCAGCTGCCACCGCCTTGTCATTGTTGCAGCTGTAACTGTTAACTGGTACACCCGCGTGAGCGTCGCGTTTCAGTTGATCAGCGACGCGAATGATAAACAAATCAGTCGAATAATCGCTGTTTACATGTGTATGTGAGTTTGTTTATGGTTCTTATCAGGGAAACGCTTCGCGATTTACTAACTAAGCTAAGGCTAAAATGTAGAAATGTGCGATAGCCGCTGCCGCTGCCGCTGCCTCTGTCACTTGGTTTCAATTTGGGCTGCAAATCAACTGATTTCCTGTTAGAAAAGCCACTTTTGAAGGCGGCGAGTAACTTAGCTGTACTTGAAAACTTAAGCATTAAAAAAATATACATATTAAAACGAACAGCAGTAATACCCTGCCAGCAACAGGTGAAAGTGCCTGGGTATATTTATAAACATTAGGACTTGTAATGAAATATAGAAACAGCTCTGTGTATCGTTAAGTATCTATGCACGTGTGTATGGCTACAAAACAAGAAATACAGCAAGAAAAAACAAAACATTTTGAAATTTGTTCATAAATGTTGCACTTGCTAACACTTTCAAGTGCACGGCAAACGGGCACGATTCGTGCTCAATCTGTATGACCAAGTGTGGCAGTCGTGCGCCGCAGCTGTGGCATTTTGTTTAAACAATACCCATCGCGGCGTTCAATTGGGGAATATAATTTGGTATTTTCATCGGGGCATGACACAGTCAACACAAATTGTTTGTGTCTGCCCGTGCGATGAGATGTGGCGGTGTTGTTTATGCAGCTAAAAATAGGTAACTAAACAATTCGTTGTTTAAGTTATACAATTGTATGTATGTATATGTAACCTGTTCGCAGACGCTCATCAAGTGTCAAAATTGACCCAGGAAACGAACAGCCTGTAGCCGTTGGGGCAACTGTTCTTTGGTTGTTGCATGCATTACCGAAAATTGAATAATGCCGGGCTGTATGTAGGTCAATAATTAGAGTACGTGTGTCGCATTCACAATGCTTTTCCGTTCAAAGCGCCCATAAATTATGCAGGAACCCTCGACCGAATTTAATAATATCAAAATGTGTTCGAAGTCTCGACAGCGCAATACACTGTTCGTAGTGTGACATTAGCTCGAAGCTGAGCCCATAACCATTCGAATGCATATTAAACGGTTACTGAGATAAACGGGAAGTATACGAAGCTAGTCGAATTGCCTTCATTAAGACAGACAGTTGGACATTGAACAAAACCAATATACCCTTTATGACCATGTGGACACTGTATAAGAAAGGAGAGCCAATATCAACAGTTCAAAGTACACACACATATACCTTCCTCTCTTCTTCTATTTTGTAATTGAATGTATTAATTATACTATTTCGATGCCTTCTGCATGGAGAACCTGGACACTAAAGTGCCTCAGAATGTTGATCACTTCTTCCTTTGTGGAAGAATACAATATGTGTACTGAATAATCCAAAGAAGTGGCACGGTTTTTTTGGCCGGCATTGTATGCGAGTAAATCCGAGCCCAGTTCACTTATTGTAGCTTTTACTTTGACAATTGAGCTTAACGTACACTCTGCAAAACTGGCAACACGCGGCCTTTAATCGCAGTCAATTATCAAACAAACCGCCCCGTTACTCAAAAAATGGTTTCGTTCAAATATAAATAATAGCTTTTTTTGCCATTTTCAAAACATCTTTCACTTAATGCAAGTGCGCAAAACGTATTTGTGGATCCACAGGCTCGACCATTCACCGGCAATGTAGTTTCACAACAAGATACCGCCCATATAGGCAGCATTTATGATTGTGGCTGCCCCCCGCGGCAGACGCTTGCTGCCCTCCTTGGCCGCAATGTGCATCGCTATTTATAGCCAATATATGCGACGCATTGCATGTTGGCGTTTTGGGCGTATTTCATCTCGAGTTCACGTCGTGTCATTGACTCGCTGCTAATGGGAAATGCATTTCGGGCAACAACTAGTTTGCACAGAACTTGTCGAATTTGTCAGCGCTCGCAGCATCACTTCGTTCGGGTGGGGGTAGTATTTAGAGCCGACTTCTGCAATCTTTCCCTAAAAACTCAAAACATTTGTATTTGTCTTTAAGCCTCATGTTTTATTCTTTTTAGTTAAATTTATTATAAGTTAATGTAACCTGAAAGCTGTTAGCATAGAATTCACATGTGTTTTTATTGTAACCGGACACAACTGTGCGAATCTGTTCTCTCTGGAGTCAAATGTATTCGTATCGCATTCATTCACCATTCGTGCCTGACTGAGGCTTGGCACTTCATGGGCCTTATCTCTCGCATTACTATGTGGACTGGGCCACGCGTTCCAAGTTCGTCAGCTTTGAAAAAACGTCACATCAGTCGGGATTTTATTATATTCACTCTGGGTTTATAAATAAACTACGCACTTTTTTGATAAGCCCAGCAATAACTGAGAGCGGAACTGAGGGAGAGAGAGTAATACTACAAAGAGCTAATTCGCAATATTTATTTTGGCACGAATTAATACAATGCCGCCAATCATAATGGCTATTAACGCTGATTGGATACTTTTAATCAAATCAATCAAACTCAATCAGCGTTGTTGCTCCCAATAAGCAATTAAACTAATTGGAAGCTTTCATACTTCATCCTTATATACATATGTATGTATACATTCATAGTTTATGTAGCTGTGATAATTGTATTCGGGCGTCTGAAATCGGAAAAACAGACAAAAAGCTGGGCGAAAAGAACAAACAACCATTCGAGACATGTGTACATACATATTGTTTAGTTTTGATCATATTCTTTCTGTTGTTGTTTGTTTTTGTTTTGTCTTCGGAACATGAAAAAGTCTTTTTATTAATGATATATGTATATGTGCAAGTTTTGTTTTGTATTTTTCGCAGCGCAAAAAGCAATGACGTGTGCTTTAAACGCCAGGCGGCATCTGTTTTTCCCATTTATTTATATTTGTTATCTATGGGTATAGAAATAAATACCTTTAAGTAATTTAAAATTGATACAGGGTTGTACCGCAATACACTAAGAGAGTAAAACCAATTCAAATCTGATTGAAGATACTCAGCAAATAAATAATATATATACATATTTAATTAGGCATAGGCACATGCCATTTTCCAAGGTGTGTCCAAAAAGTGCCGCGGATTATGCAAATTCGTTTTCTCTATTATATCAATTAAATATAAAGATATGCGTTATCAGCATAATGTATATGAGTATTAACATGCAGCTTTTCGTATTTATAGATTTACACAACAGGCAACAAAATAAACTTAACTAATTGTTTGATTATGTATCAATTCCTACAGCAATGTACATAATTCTCATGATTAACTGAAACCCTTTATGGCAACGACATTTAATTGGCTTTAATGTCTACAATGATTCTAATCCTTATCAATGGATTTTTCGTGTTGTCGGTTGCTGATAAGAAATATTGACCTTTGCCCACAACTTTTATTGCGGTACAAGCGTATATGTTATTAATCATCAGCTGCTTGTTTATATTGAAAAACCGTAAAAATAATATATACCAAGCCATGGGATATTCCCATTTACGTTAGCTTAAGAACCCGTATTACGACAAAATCAGATTTGGTAAATCAAAAATGGAATGTAAAAATGACTTAGGAAAAGAACAAAATATTACTAAATGATTTACAGACCAGCAACCCAGCATTAGTAATGTTGACCTTCCTGAGTACAACGAATTATTTACAGCGTAGTTACGAGACATTTCCCACTTTTCGTTAATTATCTGATAAATGCCTATTTTAATCTATTTCCGGTTAATTTTACTAAATATTATTTGCTTTTCTTTTCTGATTATGGTCTTAATATTGTTTTTGTTACCATTGTAGAGCATATTATAGAAGGAGGCATCTCTGGTCCCTTAAAGTAAATAAGATATTAAGTAAATATATATTCTCGATCAGCGTCAAGAAACATATCATTTTCTATCCAAGTTTTGAAGCTATCCTACCACTATTTAATAAAACTGGCATAGAAACAATTGAACAAAAAATATTCTTGTTCATGAACCTCACATACATCCAAAATATTATCAACTATATCGTAAAGCTGAGAAAATTTTTTATATACATATATTACTATCTACTTACTATATATATATACATATTACTATCATATATATGAGCCAAATCTTATCAAGATTGTACTGTTATATTATGTAGGAAGAATCGATCTGTAAATGAGTTTTTGAGTGGAAAAATTCTGGTATCCAATATATTTTCACCAAACTCGGCATTTACAAGCTTATCTATTTTCACATATATCTGCAAATCCGTAAGGCAAATGTCTACCTGGGCATTAAATCTTGCTTTGGTCTAGTATTGCTTATAATGTATTTATCTTAGATTTCAAAATGTAAAATGCGCTTTTCTTTCTAAACGTTTCACTTTTTAAGAACATTCGAGACTAACGTACACACAAATATATTTCTATACGTAGATTGCATGAAAGGCCTTGAAACGAGCATATGCGTACATGTATATATTTAATTATGATAACAATCTGAAAAGTGTCAAATATAAATACAATACAGTGCAAATAAAAAGCAAAGAAAAAATGCATATATGTACACAATAAGGGAATATACAAATATTGCTTCTCATTGCTTAGAATATGTTTAATTATTTTCCCAAAATCGACAAATAACAATACGTTTCTCCCTTTCAGATATTCTTGTTGCTCATCATTCTACTATACTTTAGCTCGTATGTGGTCGTCTCGCGTTTCCGTCGTCGCGACCGCGACGATCTCTACTCAAATGACGAGGACGAGGTGCTGGTCTATCGGATAAGGTAACGTATTGTTGTTTGTGCATATGGACAGGTGGGCAGAGGAGGGCGAGTCAACAACCTCTAGCGCTATGACAAAGTCATCCACTTGCATCCCAAGACATGCCAATAATCAATGATCAACTCTTTACAGCTTTTGGCTCTGCACCTTCACATTGGCAGTCGCCGAGGGCGCTGCCATGCTGCTGCCGGTGTCCATAGCGAGTAACGAGGTGCTGCTGCTGTATCCCAACAGCTATTACGTCAAATGGTTGAACAGCTCTCTAATACAAGGTGAATAACCTATATAAAAAATAAACATAACTCTATATTAACTATTCACTTTCGGTTATCATTGCAGGGCTATGGAATCATGTGTTCCTTTTCTCCAATCTATCGCTGTTCATCTTTCTACCATTTGTTTATCTTTTCTCCGAATCAACCGGCTTCGTGGGCCACAAGAAGGGCATTCTGGCGCGAGTCTACGAGACCTTTACAGTATTTATATTGATGGCTATCATTGTACTAGTTCTGACTGCTGTACTCAGCGCAGTGTTTGGCATTGAAAAGTTCCAGTTCTTTTGGTTTCTAAGTGAGTACGGGGGAGAGGAAGCGGTTCCACCCGATTGCACCCAGAACCGCCGCCTTTTATAGATGGCATCTAAATGTATTGCTAATTTCCGCTTTTTACGCTTCACAGATTTGGGCAGTGTTCACCTGCCGTTCCTTTATTCATGTGTCTCATTTCTAGGCGTAATGCTAATGCTGAGTAAGTACATTACATTCAACTATACATATATGCTTTACATTTGCTCGCTAATCTGACCGATGAATTTCTCAATATAGGCCAGCTGCTGTGGATTATGGAGGCGCGCTTGGGCAACACTCTCCTCAAAGTTTTCGGCATCATTTTGGTGCTTATAGGCAGTGGCTTTGTACAGCCAGGCGCGCAGATTTGTCTCCTGCAACTTGTCCAATACATACTGGCAGTCGTCAATTGCACGCTTGTAGTTGCGCAGCCTGCAAACCACAAGATTTTGTTAAAAACTAAGATTGTGGCTCATGGGTAATGGGAACACCCACCTGATATAGCATAATGCGCGATTATTGTAGGTGATGGCGCTATTCTTAACGCGCTCTATTGCCTTGTTGTAGTGTAGAATAGCCTTCTCATAGTTGCCTTTGCGAAATGCCTCGTTTCCTTGACTAAGGATTATACTGACACTAAGGATATCTTTCTTAATCAAATACTTGCCTGCGCTGCAGTTCCGCTTCATATTCACGTTTGGCACGCGCCTGTGCACGTTCATTGGCATCCCGTTCGACCTCCTTCATAAAGCTCTGCTGGTCCGTAGTCTGTGCCCTGGCCTGCTCCTCGCGCTTATTGATTACAGTGCGATCCTCACGCACAGTCAAACGCACTTTGTCCACGTCGATGTTTTCAAAGTCCTCAGCAGTTTTCGCTTTTGGCTCCTCATTGGCATCGGTCTCGGGTTCACCTTTTAATATGTTGTCGATTTTTTTCAGAGTCGACTCAAAATCGGCAAAATCATCATTGTGTTGCTCTTCCATTTCGGCTATGCTATATAATGTATAAGGAATAAAATATTTCGTTTCGTCAAGCGTTTGCCGGCTGTAATTTTAGTTTGTTTGTTTGGAAGCCTTGGAAACCGACTAACGCTGTTTACTTTTTTCATGCTTACTTTGTTTTACAGTTTGTACGCCTTATGGTTTTGTGCGACTGTTTGGCGTTGTCAACCAGGTGCTGGTTAGGCCCATGCTGCTGCGAGACGTGAACGAAGAGTTCAGTGCCTTCTATATGGAGGAGGCGAGCGTTAAGCGCAAGCTGGCCCACATTGACCTTCACAATGTAAGCATATCGGATGCCAAACGGGGCAGTCGCTTTACAAATGGCAACGGGCGTACACACAGCTATCTGCCACAGCCGCTGCTGCAACATTCGCTGGCGCATTTGTACCAACGCAAATCGCTTGTCGGGAATGTCGATGAGCAACACCAGCTGCTAAACGAAAGACTGAAAGAGCTATACAGTGAGCGAAAGGAGTTGGACAAGCTGCGCAAGTCGAGCACTTTTCAACGCACCTTCGTCTATCCGCTCGCCATGCTGCTGCTGCTGTTTTGTACGGCCGTAACCATACTGCTGGTCGTACAAAACACACTGGAGCTGCTCATAGGCATTAAGGCGCTGCCGCTGAGCACAAGGGTAAGGGTCAACTATATTATGATTAAACTTACACAAATTTAAATATATGTATTTTCAGCAATTTACGCTTGGCATTTCATCACTATCGAAGCTTGGACCGGTTGGCGCCGCCATGGAAGTGTGTCTCATATTTTATCTAGGCGCCACCTCGGTGGTGGGTTTTTACAGCATGCCCTTCATGAACAATGTGAGGCCTAAACGCCGACAGACTTCGCTGCCTCAGCTGATGTTAAATTGTGGCTTCATGCTGGTTTTGTCCTCTGCACTGCCACTGCTAAGCAGGATCATAGGTACAACAAGACGGCTGTATACTTATCGTGTGTTTGCTAATCTGTGTCGGTTGTCTTTTCCAGGCATTACCAACTTTGATCTGCTGGGTGACTTTGGTGCCATCGAGTGGCTCGGTAATTTTCAGATTGTCCTGCTGTACAATCTCGTGTTTGGCACAACGACAGCGCTGTGTTTGGCCAATAAATTTACGGCGACGGTGCGACGCGAGCTTCGTGCACGGTTAGTGGAGAACTATGTGCTCTTTACTAACTACATGAGCTTCATCAACTGATATTTAAGACAGCGACGCGACAAAGCATTGCCATGTCAGCGCCAACGTTACGCTGACCAGCTGCTCAGGCGCTTTGTCGAGTCGCCCTTTACGAGTCTAACTAGTTTATATGCCAAGTACTACGATCTTAGTCGTAAGAGTAGTCGAAATACCACCGCTAGTCGTCAGGCAGACAGGATGGACTGTTAAGAGAGGAATGTGGAGGTGCAGCTTCCGACATGAATATAATCTACTTTATACAGAACTGATATTGATATTTAAATGTTGCGCTGTTTATTGTTGTGCTTAATTGTTGTAGTTTATAGTGTACGCACAGCATTTAAACTGCATTTCCGGTTTGTGCGTGTAGACACCTCACACCCACACACACACTCACAGGCAAATGGAAGCTGTAGTTACGTTATAAGATTTACATTTGTGAACATCTATCAAATCTATTTTGTATACAAACGTTGTGTGCAACATAAACTGCTGTCAACAGATTAGGTTTAGGCTAAATTGTAGGTGTTTTTAAAATTTATTAGTCTGAGTCTATAGTCAATGTCGATGTGTTTATTCGATATCCATTTTTGTACTAATTTGAAGCAATAATTTTAACGCATGCGTCTCATTGTCATTCTTAATCATAAACAAAATAATTTATTTTAATATATTCATATGTATTTCAACAATAATGTTCCTTAAATGGCGCACAGCTAAGGCGCTTTTCATTATTTTTATTGCACACTAAAAACAATAAAACAACAAACGTACATTATCATATGCATCTAAAAGTTATGTGATATAATAAAAATAAAAATCGTTTAAATTTAAATTAATACAGCTTCTTTCATTTCGCATACAATGCTTTTAGCCATTATTAGTTTCTGTGATGCAGAACTTATTCTACTCTGACTTCTTTTCTTTACAGTTTGACGGCGCTTTTTTTGCTGGCTTAGCGTGTGTTCAAGGCTTGGTCCAGATTTCTCTTATTATATAAATACTGTGATCTTAAAATAAATAGAATATATTTATATTAACACGTATTCATAAAATTCTTCTGGAAGGTAAGAAGCTGAGGGCAGAAAGCTTAAAACTTTGTTAAAATTCTTGGATTTTGCGAAAAGTATGAAACACTTCTCAAACGAATGTTCATAATAATATCCTTGGATTTTAATTACAACCCGAAACTAATCCACCAAATCTTTGAGCCGCATTTGTACCAAAGAGAAGTGGATTTTCGGAATTGTAAACTACGATCTTTGAAAATGAGTTTAAGGCTGATAGGATGGTAGCAACCAATTTTTTTTTTTTTAACTTTGGGGTGGATATTCCGTAACCCCCGTCTTAACGTATAAATTTCTGCTTCCAAGCTCTTAAATTTGGTCTGAGCGTTAATCTTCATTCAGTCAATCAGTCGGTTAGTCAGTTTTATATATGGAGATAACATGATGAACTGTCAGCAAGGGTATAAAAAAGTGGCATAGCCCCAGACAGATAGTGGCATGAGTGTTATCGATGTTTCCGTCGTGTGCAAAACTAAAATGCGATAGCTTGCTTTCGATATACCCATAGTTTGCACATCACTAGTTTTTGTATTGGCGTCGTTGTAAAATTATAATTTTATTTATAAACTTTCATAAAATATCTGCAAAAATATGCTTAGCCGCAAGCGTCGCGCGAGTTCAATATCGAGCCGACAAGATGAAGATCCCCTTCTGCTAGACGATTCGACACCGGAGCAATCGCCGGTCCAGCAGACACAATCGGCGCGCAAAAAGCGGCGCTTGGATCCAACGGAGCTGTGCCAACAGCTGTACGACTCCATACGTAACATTAAGAAAGAAGATGGATCTATGCTGTGCGATACATTCATAAGGGCTCCTAAGCGCCGCCAAGAACCCTCCTACTATGACGTGGTGGTGAATCCCATCGATTTGCTGAAAGTACAACAAAAGTTGAAAACAGATTCCTATGACGATTTGTACGATATGATGAACGACCTGGAATTGTTAATAAGTAATGCAAAGGCGTTCTATAAACCCGACTCAGCCGAATTTCAGGACGCCGTTGCTTTGTGGCAGCATATACAGACTCAGCGTCAACGCATCCTGGAAGCTAATGGCTTCGCGGAGGAGGAGCCACGTGCAAAGCGTGCGCCCCGTAATGCGCGTCGGCTGACGAGCAGCACTGAACCAGGTGGTGGGGATCTTGACGACGATTGCAATCAGTACGAAGAACTTTTTGCATCTATCATGACGGCCACGGATCCGATAGGTGACAGGGCTATGCATCGCATGTTTCAACTCTTGCCGTCTAAGAAGATTTATCCTGACTACTATGATGTTATAGAGCATCCAATTGACTTACGGCTGATTGCCACTAAGATACAAATGAACGCGTACTCGTCGCTGGTGGAAATGGAGCGTGATCTGCTGCAGATGACAAAGAATGCTTGCCTTTTCAATGAGCCTGGATCGCAGATTTACAAGGATGCCAAGGCTCTAAAGCGAATCTTTACGCAGCGACGTCTAGAGCTAGAGACGGGCAAGGGCAAGCCAGTCCGACGCCTAAAGAGTTTGTCTAGTGCAGCGATAGCAGGTGGGTTGAGTTCCGAAAAGTGAAATAAATGAGTGCCTTTTATTTATGAGAAACCATAATCTTACCTACCTTTTAGCGCTCAAAGAGGAAGTGGATAGCTCGGACGATGAGGAAACCAGCAAGAAAGGCGAGGGACCCATGTGGGCATTATTTGATCACTTGTATAATGCTCCTGGCACATCAGAGCATCCGGGTATCACTGGTCCGCCGCTGGGCAACTCTCTGTGGAAGCTGCCTGTGCGTCGCTTTCATCCTGAATACTTTGAGCTTATCAAACGTCCCATTTCAATGAGTCAAATTCACACTAAGCTGAAGAAGGGCGATTATGCGAACATAAGTGATCTCACTGGCGATCTCTATTTGATGCTGGACAATGCCAAAAAAGCGTTTCCAATCACGCATCGCACGCACAAAGATGCACTGAAAATGCTGAAACTCATGAATGCCAAACTAGTAGAGGAATCCCTGGAAGAAACCAGTGATATGGATGAGGACGAAATAGACGAAACTTTCACAGCGAGCGTGCAGCCAGAAAAGCGTAAGCCGGGCAGGCCACGAGTCAATTCAAATTCCAGTACGGCGCACACGTCCAACAACTCAAATTCACCAAAAACGAATCGCATTGCTATCAATGCGACCATCAAGAAGAAAATTCTCACTATACAAAAATACCTAGTGGACTTTACGGTAGGCAACCGTAGGCCCATTGAGATGTTTATGGAAAAACCACCGCGCAAGGTATATCCAGACTACTATGATATAATACAGAATCCCATTGACATGAATACCATTGAGCACAATATTCGTGCCGATCGGTATGCCACCGTAGAGGATGTCGTTGCTGACTATCGGCTCATGTTTTCCAATTGTCGGCAATATAATGAGGAGGGTTCCAATATTTACGAGGACGCCAATTCGCTGGAGCGCGCTCTAAACGAAAAGCTTAAAGAATTCCCTGGTCTGGTGGAGGTGAAAAGGCCTCTGCAAAAATACAACAAGCTGGGGCGCAAGCCAAAGGCAGCGCTGCTAGCTGATCGTGATCGTCTCTGGCAGTTCTATGAAACGCTGCGAGACTATCAGGAACCGAAAGGGAAGCGCCAATTGTCGCTAATATTTACCAAGCTGCCATCAAAAAGCGACTATCCGGAATATTATGACATAATCAAGGATCCCATGGATATGGAGCGCATTGCACAGAAACTAAAGCAGGCCGCCTACGAAAGTGTAGACGAGCTGGCCGCTGATTTTCTGCTAATGCTTGAAAATGCCTGCAAATATAATGAGCCCGACTCGCAAATATACAAGGACGCTTTAGTGTTGCAACAGTTAACACTGCAATTAAAGCAGCAGCTGCGCACTGAGCGTGATGCGCTGCCTGATGTCTCGTTGGCTGTTCAGGAACTGTTCTTAACGCTCTTTACTTCGGTTTACAATCACCAAGACGAAGAGGGACGCTGTTATTCGGACTCTTTGGCTGAGTTGCCCGAGTATGACGAATTGGGCGTTGGCGCGAAAGTACGTGGTATATCCCTGGATCTGGTCAAACGTCGTCTGGATAAAGGAGCCTATAAGCGCTTAGATGTCTATCAGGAGGACATATTTTCCTGTTTGGAGCGAGCGCGCAAATTGTCCCGCACCGACTCGGACATCTTCCAGGACTCCATCGAACTACAAACGTATTTTATACGAAAGCGAGATGAGCTATGCAAGGATACACTGAGTTCGCCGGCGCTCGGCTTCACGCTAGACAAATTGCTTTCAGACGTGGAGGTAATGCGACTGCAGAAGGTGGCCCAAGAGGAACAGGACCAGGAACAAGACAAAGATGACTTCAATGCAAACACAAAAGGGGAAAGCATGACAATCAACCAGCAGGTGTACTCGCCTGGCGACTATGTGTATGTTCAGATGCCAGAGAACAAGATTCCCAGTATTGCATGTATCGAAAGGTTGTGGACTACGCCGAACAATGAAAAGCTAATGCAGGCCTCAATCTTTCTGCGTCCGCACGAGACCTACCACGTAACTACGCGAAAGTTTCTCGAAAAAGAGGTCTTCAAGAGCAGCATCTCACAAACCATTTCCATGGATAAGGTGCTGGGCATGTGCTACGTCATGCATATCAGGGACTACATTAAGCTACGGCCCGATGGGCTGCCCGAAAAAGATGTGTTTGTTTGTGAAAGCCGATATAATCTACAGGGGCGTTGTTTCAAGAAGCTTAAGAATTGGCCAACTTCGCGCGAGAGCAACAACAGCTCGGTGAGATTTGTGCCGCGCGACACGCCATTGGAACTGAAGCGTGTGATGTCCGTCTTTAAGGAGCGAATTGAGAAGCACAAAGGTGAGCTAGAGGAACTTAAGTTGCAGGAAGCGCTGGTCGAAAAGGAAAAACCCAATGTAACCTGCGACGCACCACCCAATGCCCAGGACAACAGTGTATACTATCAGCAGTATAACACCATTTGTAGCGGGGTCATCAAGACCGGTGATTTTGTTTATGTGGCCACGCAAAGTGGAAAGCAATCCGTCGCCCAAGTACAGCAGATCTGGGAATTAAATGGTAAATCGTATTTTAAGGGACCGTGGTTGCTCTCACCTAGCGAGACAACGCCAGCATTAGGCAAGCAATTTTATCGCCAAGAGTTGCTACTAAGCACTGTTGAGGATATGAGTCCCGTAATTGGTATCGTGGGCCGCTGTGCTGTGCTGGAGTACGCCGAGTTCATTAGCTCCCGACCCACGGAAATCGCTGAGAGTGATGTGTACATTTGCGAGTCAGTCTACGATGAAGTTAAGAAAGCATTACGCAATCTGGTAGTCGGCAATTTGCGCAAGTTCCAGCATAGTGCTGAGGTCACCGAAGATGAAATATTTTATTTCAAATCGCCCATTAAACCAGCCAAGGATGTTAAGAACGAGTTGAACGAGTTGTCCATGCTAGAAGATTCTATGGATGGTGATACGCCATCGCTAAGTTCGGATATAGTCGCAATATCGTCCCCAGCGCCGTCCGTGAACTCTACGCCGCTTACCTCTAAGACAAAAACAAAATCGGCAAAGAAGAGCCTCACTGGATACATACTGTACTCTAGCGATGTGCGCAAGGGTAAGCAATAATTGATTTCCGTTCAAATTAAGTTGGTAAGACTCATATCATTATTTAATCATTTCTTGTCATCTGCAGGTATAAGTCAGAGCAATCCGGATGCCACATTTGGTGACATTTCTCGCTTAGTGGGCAACGAGTGGAAGAGTCTGCCCTCTAGCGTGAAGCAAAGCTGGGAGGATCGCGCCAACAAGCTGAACGAAGAGGCCGCTGCCTTGCGTCGTGAGATTGACGATAACCAAAATTGTGGAAGTCCACTGCCGCAAAGCGCTACTGGCGGTCAGGACTCAGGTCCGGCGCTGACCTTTGAATGCCTGTGGGACAAGTGTGACTATCAATTCGAAGAAATGGCCGACTGCACAGAACATTGTCTTTCCGATGCCACTGGACACATTCAGCGCCATCCCCAGGCAGGCGTCGAGATGGAGTACGTGTGTCTCTGGCGCAACTGTCCGCGCATACGCAAGTCTGTCCAAGCTTTTCCCAATGTGTTGCGGCTCATTAAACATGTGCGCGAGGTACATCTGAGCAAGTGTGGTAAACCGTTAGGGATCACGGAGCGCAGTAAAAACTTTGTGCCCCGCAAGCAGAAACTAGTACCTCAGTTAGGGGCCAGTGTACCAATCCCATCCAACAACGCGCACTCACCACGAGCTCCGCATAACGCAGAGGCTGCGCATCAACAGCAACAACTGCAGCTTCAGCAACAGCAGCAGCAACAACAACAACAGCAGCAGATGCAGACTATTGTTACGGGGCCGCCTCTGGAGCCAATGTTTGTAACTGTACCACCCCGTTCCAACCGTGTCATCCACTCCGAGGCTTATATTAAGTACATTGAAAGCCTGCAGACGGGAAGCCATTTAAGCGTCAGCGCCTGCAATAACAATTGGCGTCGATCACTTACCCATGTGCATCCTACCCAGGTGGGAAAGACGCAGTTGCCTGAGCACTGGCTGGGCCCCAATATACGTGACCAAGAAAATGTGGTGCAGGCGCTATGCCATTTACGGAACTTCATGTTGGACGATGTGCTGGAAATACAGCGCAGCTGCAATTAAATTTGATTCTATGAAAGTTTGAAAATACAAATTTTATCTGTATGTCAAAAGAAGTTAAATCAGATAGCTATACACGAATACCATTAAAAGTCATGATCATTGCAATACGAAAAAATCCATCGATGTCCCTAATGTAAAAAAAAAAAAACAAACATCTTGTCCTCTGTAATCAAAATAAACATCTTTTTCTCTTTAAAAACCTTCATCATTTTCGAATCTGTTTAAAACCAATCAGTCCATATAATAATAAACGTCTGACTATTTCTATGGGAATTTTTCTTATATTTTACAAGGACAAGGTTTCTGGAAATGCCACCTGTATAAGTGGAAAAATCGCGAAAAACATTTGTATGAAACTTTGTTGTTTACCATCCGAACGGCCTCAAACTCATTTTCAAAGATCTTTGTTCCAATTCATTTGAGGGGTGTTTACACTTTTTGAAATTGTGCATTCCTCCAAGTCTTTTTACTGCTATACTATTATCGGTTAGGTAAAATAACCTAGCCTTTATTTTCACGGTCGTGAAGTCTATCAATGTATTTTTTTTACTATTTACATTTATTTCTTTTTAATTTGCATGAGGAATTTGTAGATCTTTGTGTATGCAAGCATTGGAGACGTAAAAAGCAGCAGAATTTCAATATTCGAGTTACTAACAGTACCCCACAGTTGTAAAGCAGATGTCCACACAGGCTTTATTGGGGCGAACTTTGTTTCCTAACGTATATAATCTACATTGGACTATTTTATCATATCTTTAATCATATCTTTTAAGAACAATAAGATGTCAATTGGTTTTTGATTGACGGTATGTGACTGGGAATACATAAGTACTTATATCCTTAGCTTGGATGCTGATTATAAGATAGATCTTATTGATTGGCTTTATAAAAACACATATGTTTTATAATAATTTCATATTCCCTATCAACTTGCCAACAAAATTTAAAAACGTTTTGAACTCTGGCAACATGCATCGATAAGTTGGCAGGTCTGGCCATAATTTGCAGAGAGTGGTCACACTGAATAAACTACAGCTGAGTTTGTTTATTTTGTTTGTTGTGTGCGGAAAATTGAAAAATGTCGAGCGAGGAAAAGAAAAAAAGAGGCAAAAATTTTACGGCAGAGGAGGAACAAGTTCTCATGGAGCTGCTGGAAGAAAGAAAGAATATCCTGGAGAATAAAAAGTCCGACGCAGCTACCTGGAAACAGAAAGAGCAGGCCTGGGAAGAAATGGCAGACACCTTTTACACCAGAACAGGCATTCGGCGCGAATGGAAGGCACTAAGAGACAAGTTTATAAACATGAAAAGGAGGTCCAAGGTTGAACTGGGTGAGGACAAGACCCACAGTTTTCGCATGGGAACAGGAAAGTTTATTGCCCTGATGGGGGAGTCAACAGCAGGCTTAAGCAACCAATTCGACAGCGATGCCTGTAAGTATTATCATTTGGAAAATGCTTGATACTATCAAATCTAAATTCTCCTTACAGCCAATGTGCCCAATGACATGAACTTCGAGGGGGAAGATGACATGTTTGCAAGTTCCACAGATGCGCACGATGTAAGCACATATTATTATATGCATGCAGGTGGAGAGTAATATATTTTCCTTTAAAGGTCGCCAATATTTCTGCACACAAGGAAGTCATGGCAAGCACAAGTGTCGACTGGCCCAGTTGGAACCCAAGAACCCTGCGCAGCTTGGATGAGGAAAAGATTAAATTGGTGTTGCTTCAGCAAGACTTTTATAAAGGCGAAAATTTGCGAGCGCAAGAAAAACATGATCACGAAATGCTTAAAGAGAAAATTAAGCTGGATCAGGAAGTACAAGAGGGAAAACTGCGAATTGAAATGATGGAATTGGAAATCCTGGAGAAACGAGCTAGACTAGATTTAAAATGTGAGTAGAACGTTGCTTAACAAACTGTAAGCATCAATTTGATTCGACTTGTATTGCAGAGGAGGCATTTCATCTCGTTTGTTGCGCTATAAAAAATGATTTGATTATCAATCTTTAAGTAATAAAGAAAACAAAACAGCTTCGGAGTGCCGGAGACCTAGTACCCTTGCAGATATACATATAAACAGAGCTGTCGGAATCTGCTTTTATATTACAGAGCTCCATATTTTTGTATTATTTGTTTTCTTAAATCAACCTGTTATTTTTTATTACAACGATTTGTTTTAGTAACGCGTTTTGGCCGGATCCAATATAAAAATGTACATATTTTTAAGACTCGCAGACGAAAATGAGCGCAAACTGACTTGACTATATCCACTCAGCTGGTCGTCGTAATTAAAAATAGTTTATGGGCTCAAACTATTAGCCCTTATTGGGCTATGCATACATTTCGTCAAATGCAAGGGTATAATAACTAGGCCGAATTATGTTTATGGATAAGCTAAATAAATTTCGAAATAAGTTAGTATTAACCATGTCTATCACCTGAGTCATTATTTTGTGTGTTATAGTGGGAATCCCCTAATATATTAGGCCCACCTGATGGTACTTTTCACCCAAAGAACTCGAAGCTGGTTATCTGATCCCAATACTTCTTTTTAAAGAAGCGAGTTGTGGAAGTTCACCTGCAAACATTGTATGACTAGCTCTGGAGCTAATAAGTTAAGCTAAGCTCTCAGTAATGTAATGCTCGGCATATTTATTTTGCCAAACACTAGTTTTGACTATCGGCTTTTGGTAAATTCGTCTGCATGGATAATGGTAACTTTATTATGCTCAAAAGAACCTGAAATCAACAAATTGTGTAATATTGTATGCAAAATTATTTAAAATAAAATAATATTTAAAGATTTGTCTCGGCAAGGTTATTTTGGCGACCATTGTATCTTTATATCACGTTATTCTCAAACCGCACCAAAAACTATCGTATGAATTGGGTGTGTGTGTGTGTGCCCGTGTGGGTGCGCAAGTGTGACCATCTGTTGGGCATGACGTCATATCAGGGTTTCTTCTCGCTTTTGTTTTGCTACGGCAGTACGACAACAAACCGGTTCCTCTATTGAGCACTGATAGTGTCACTTGGTTATTTTGGCCACGCTTATCTAATTGCCTGTCCAGATACTGCTCAGCCAGTCTCAGTAGCGCTCGCATGCTCTCTTTTGATATTCTTATGGCGCGCGCTGTGTATGCCTTGCCTCAAAACTTTTGTAAACGAAAAGCCAGCAGTCAGTCGCAGTTTGTCGGTGGTGGATAGTAGTCGTTTCTTTTGGTGGACAAATACGTTTCTAAATTTGAGCAGCAACAATGTCCGAGGGCGAATCAAAATTTGGATTCAAGGACATGGAGAAAGCGTTGGAGACGCTCAAGCTGTTGGAGAGCCACGATATGCAGTACCGCAAGCTGACCGTGCGCGGACTTCTGGGACGTGCCAAACGCGTGCTGACAAGTAAGTTACCACCGAGTCTGTTTTTTTAACTTTTCACAGCAATTATTTGGCTTTGTACAGTGACAAAAGCAGCAGAGAAGCTAAAGAACATAAATGATGCTATTGGCGTGTTTGAGCAATGGCTAGAGGAGAATGGCGGCGGTGCGTCCAACAAAAATGCAAAGACTGATGGTGACGATAAGGTGGAGACGGTGCCTGGTCTGGGCTTTAAGGACAAGGCGGCGGCGCAAGCAACTCTGAGGTAAGAGCAACTGACTGTGCATACCAATACAAATCAGCTTTTAAGGCAGAAGGTCATAGTCAGCGGCAATTTGGCTATGCCGCCATTATGATGTCATGTCACAGTTTTAGTGTTTAACACGAACGAGAGAGACCTCGCCTCGGCTTCCTCTCTGACTGCTGCTCTCCGTGCGTATACACATGCAAAGCATTTGGCACGCTACGCGAACATATTCGACATCCAGAAACATTCCACTGTTTGTCTATACAAATATTTATATTTCTATGTGGGAATTAAATTGATATATCGAAACATTTCAATTGCAGCATTTTAGAGGAACGCGATCCAGAATATCAAAAACTAGCTATCAAGGGTCTTATTGGCAGCTCAAAAAGGGTGCTCTCTGGGACCAAGAATGAAGATAAAATAAGTGCCATCAAGGAAGGCGTGCAAGTACTTGAAGAGTTTCTCGAAAAATTCGAGACGGAGAATCGAATCAAGGACAATCGCGCCTATCTTTCACATGCCGTGGTGGCCACATTGCCTGAACCAAAAGAGAAACTGGCGGCTGAGTTCCTGGCTGCTTATGGAGGACCCAAGGCCAAGGGCAACTACAAGCACCTGCGCACAATGTATCCGAAGGACGAGACAACAAGTTGGGATATAATACGTAATCGTCAGATAGCAAAATTGCTGGAACAAATCAAAAGCGAAGATGTCAAACTATTCGATAAAGAGACAGGCGCGCCTAGTGAGTTACACTTACAGCTTATACACTGGGCCTATAGTCCACAGCCGGACAAGGTAAAGAACTACGTGGACAAACTGGCCAAGAAGTCGCCGGAGAAACGCAAACTGGATACCGACAGTAGTAGCGACGCTGACAACTCCAGTAGCAACTCGGAGTCAGACGAGAGATCAGTTCCGAAAAAGAAGAAGAAGGAAGAGTGATATAAACACACAGCATCGGCATCGGCATCGGCATCGGCTGGTTTGTGTAACGAACAAAAAACGGTATATACTTTATTTAAATACGTCAACTCAACCTTAACGCGATTACATTTTAGTAGTGGACACTTTCTTTTGTATATATGTATGTTATTTGATGTATGTATGTAATTGCTGCTGTTAAGGCCTCGCTTAGATGAGCTACGCATCTAACACTAGCCATCTAATATTCAAATACATGAAAATGAAAAACACCTTTTCCGGTCTACAGTCTATATGTTATCATTTAAATAGAAATCCGACCGGCAAGCGATTGTGACGTTGTGATCGTTGTTCGATAGACATCGATATCTTATGGTGGTCGACCGATTGACGCTATCGAGCACTGCTTGCCAAAAGTTTCTCTAGCTGGGCCGTTACAAATTTGGTATTTTTCCTTAACGAAACGCAGTCGCACAGCAAAGCAGTGTGTCCACACACATCCATACAAAATTAAATTACACAATATACATGAGACATGGTTGTTACACCCATACAGTGGTGTTCCCACACTCCGCCTACTGGTACTTATGCAAGCCACTGTCATAGTAATCTGCGGTTGTCGATTTTTGCACGCGAAGTTGCGACTGCGACTCCGGCGATGACTTCGCCAACGACAAGGTCAACTGATGCTGCTGGTCTGCTTGCTTGCTTGTGAGGTGCCCATATGCCATGTTAAAGAGCGCATCGGGATCACACACGAAGCGATAGACATAGCGTTCACCATTTACTTTTTGCATGATTCCCTTCTCATAGTAGTAGCGAAGGCTACGCGACAGCTTGTCATAGTTCATAGCTGGTCTGTTCTTCTGTATGCCCCAACGGCGAGCCACCTCCTCCGGTTCGATTAGTTTGAATTCCATGCCACGACCTGTCCAGGCGATACAGCTAGAACTGGGTGCATTGCACACAATACGAAACGTAAGCATTTTCAAAGGCAACTTCTTCTCCACTTACCTAGTTGCCGGTTCGTCAAGTAGGGCCACCAAAAACTGCCATAACTGGAGCGAACCACGACGCTGGCTGATGGTCTGCACGTTGCTGCTGGTGGATATTGCATTGCTAGCGTAAAACTGATCAAGGCGCAGCTCCGCATCACTGGAAGTTGTGGAATCAACCACACTAGGACGCAATGGTGGTGGATAGGTGGAAGATATAGTGGCATTGTAAGGCCCACTGTCGTATTTAAGATCTGTTTCGCTGCCTGTCGCTGTGCTGGGTGAAATATCACGATAGACAGTGGCAATAGACCCGCCATGTGTCTGGGGATTCGGCTGCTGTTGGTGGGTATAGTGTGGGCCCGCGGCATAGACAGCCGAGCTGGATATTACGGCCGTATGACTAAATTTAAAGGCGGAGGCTGGGTGCACCGGAGTCAGGTGAGTATGTGCCTGCTGATGCGTATTCTGCGCCTGCTGATGTTGGGTATGAGAATGCAGTGAATCATGATGCTGCTGCTGCTGCTGCTGTTGTTGTTGTTGTTGCTGTTGATGTTGCTGTGCGGCGGCGGCTGTTGTGGTGGAGTCGGCATGCTCAATCTTGGTGTTGTGCTGATGAAAGTGCTGACCAACTGATACATCATTGCAATACACAGCAGCCGCGGCAGCGGCGGCGGCAGCAGCTGCCGTTTCTGAAAAAGGTAGGCAGAGCCAAAGAGCCAAATAAAAGCCGCTTTTAGGCATGTTTAAACAACACATTCAGAGTGGGTACTAATTACATCGTATATTTACACTCTTTCCAAGGGTGTTTCATATTTTTGACCAGTTATGTAATGTAAGGTCAGAGACTAACGAGAAAGAAGGGCTATCTTCGGCACACCGAAGATCAAATACCCTTGCAGACCCAACCTTTTCATAATGCTCAGGGTGCTTTGCCCGTATCTAAGAAGTACCGGGAAAATAGTAAATGCCGAATTTGGTCACGATATCTTGATAACCGAAAAGGTTTTTAATCAAAAACCTGGTTTTCGACCGATCGCTCTTATGGTAGCTATATGCTATAGTGGTTCGATGTTGATAGGATTTTGTATATACAAGGAGCATAGTTAAACTAATAAATGCCGAGCTTGGTCAAGATTTCTTGAAAAACAAAATGTTTTTTCATACAACTTAATTTTCGACCGATCGTTTCAACGGCAGCTATATGATATAGTGGTCCGATCATTATAGGAATTTGCCTATATATAAGGAGTATAGTAAAACTAATAAATGCCAAGTTTGGTCAAGATATCTTGAAAAACAAAATGTTTTTACATACAACAACTTAATTTTCGACCGATCGTGCCTTTGGCAGCTATATGATATAGTGGTCCGATCCAGCTGGTTTTCACATATGTGCTGCGTGCAACATTAAAAGGGACTTCTGCAAAGTTTCATTAAGATAGCTTCAAAACTGAGGGATTGTTCGTATAGAAACAGACAGACCGACAGACGGACATGGCTATATCGACTCGGCTGTTGATGCTGATCAAGAATATATATACTTTATGGGGTCGGAGATGTTTTATATATTTTAGGCCACGCCCAAACTCTGAGCCTCAAATCGTGGAAGTATATAACTTCCAATATTTTAAAGCTAGAGCAAATTTGGAATGAAGAATATTGTTGAGGTCCTTTGGGGATCGTGCCAACATTGTGAACACGTCGACTTTTTTTAATTACTGGGTTAAAAGACCTTGAAATAAATATAAAAATAAAAAATAATTTTTTTAATTAAATAGCTTGCTTGAAAGCTCTTCCCATAGAATGTTGTTTTTTCAACTGAAAGTCAAGTTTGTTTTTTGAATATTAAGTGTATAATAGGAATGAAGGGTAGAAACACGGATTGGTCAGGCTGTTTTGTTGTTTCACTAAATGGCCAAGGTATTTAGCACGAATTAATTATTTAAGCAACCCACTCCAAACCCTTGTAAATGCTCAATATGCTGCAATTTAAGGGCAAACAACAGAGCAAACCCCGCCCGTCCTTCAGCGTTTTTCCCCCACTCATAGTGCCCTCTTCATTAGATGGTCGCCTGGTCCTGGTCTCTCCTTGGCACTCGCTCAAAATCACATCAGCAGGCAACGCGACTCGACGCTGGTCGCATTAAATATTCACGAGATACCTCTGCATAATCCATGAGAAAGTGTTCGACAAGTAAAAACATCATTGCCGATAACAGCAAACGAGCAGCGAACGGGCGTTGAAAACCTGTTGGCTGCCAAAGCGTACTGCACAGTAAGTATTTCCCAGTGGTGCGACCCACACCCTTAGTAGGCATGCTCAACTGAATCCACTCAGCGGCTGGTGATTGAGTTGCTTGTTTGACTGCAACCCCCATTCCATCCGCTGCCGGGGGCCAACTAAGAGCATCGCGCTACTGTGTTGCTTTCAAATTGAATTCCATGCCCATGCCACCAATTGGATTAGCGGTTACTAACACCGCGGATGATGTTATTGTAAATTATGTGCGCGATTTCTTACATTTTATTCCAAAATGCAAAAGTAAAGGAAAACCCAAGTTCCCATGCAAGGCATCTTGTGGAAAAACAAATTGAGTTATTGGCACCAGAACTGATAGCTCCAGCTTCTACGTAACTCGCTTTTATGCCATAAGCTATCTGCAGCTGCACGTAGCTGAGCATAATTTAAATAAATGATGAACGCATGGCTTTAATAATTTCTTTTCTGATACTCATTTGCTTACCTTCGTCGCTCTTCTTCAAAATGCCCGCGGGTGGCGATGGTGGAAACCTGGCGGCAGCATTAGGAAAAATAAATATATTGAAAATAAAAAAAAGTTGATTGACTTAAAGTCGCCTTTTGGTTACAATCTACTGGCTTGTCTTGTCAGCGGCTGTAGTTGTGGCTGCCACTTCCACCTCCGCTTTCAACGTACCTGTAGCAGTAAGGATGTGGGTGGGTATGCGGGTGCGGGTGGGGGTGTGTCACAGCGGGTATGTCGAAGAAAGTTGATGTTCTTTCATGGCGCACGCCTTTGACATTCACTGCAGATCCAGAGCGGCATTGGACAGGTGGGCACAAGAAAAGGAAACATTTTTAATGTGATTTTCAGCAGTAAAAGTTAGGTAGCTTTGCAACTTTTGTTAGATAATATTTCGCATTACAGCTCGCGCCGGGATATCTTTGAGCCCGCAAATCGAGCTTGTCATATGCACATGGTAACTGCTCCTAAGAAGACATTCGCACTAATACTTGAGCTATCGAATAGTGGAGCAAACGCACATTATAAAATATGAAAATCAAATAACTAAAGATGACGATAACAAATCGTTTAAAGTAAAGTAAATTATTAAAAGAAATACAGAGATAATTAGAATTTATCAAGCTGTATGTACATTAATCTAAATAATCAAATATATATAACATGTATTTAACAATTTAACAAGCTGTAAGAATACTAATCTGAATAATCACATATATATTTTCAGACCAGCCAAATAAGTTGTTAAGGTCTTAAAAGAACTCAAAACTTTTGTCTGTTTTTGAATTTTCCGTTCTAATATATAATCGGTATAGTAACAAGTGTCAAATCTATTAATTATCATTTTATATTCAATTAACTTAAAATGTAGATAATTCGACTGGTTTTAAAGGAATTTAATTCTTTTCTCCTCACGTAAATGCGAATTAAGTTATATGCATTGGAGTTCAAAATCGTTTCGATATTCTGTAAGTCTTATATGAAGCTCAAGTATTCAAAATCGCTTTAGGTTAAATTGCCCCGCAATATTTTCTTAATAAAAGACGCGTGCAGAGTAAAAAGTTAAGCAATATAAAACAAACAAAAAATAAAATAAAAGCCTTCAGGCTGAAGCAATCGCAAGCAAAGCGAAGCTCATGCCACATCCCCATTTTGATTTGTTCTACGAGAAAACTCATAATGGGAGTTAATAAACAAAGCGTGTAAATAGCAAAGGCAAACAAGAAGACGTTGATGCACTGGACGTGGAGCTGCATCCAGACGGTCGTGGACGCTTACCATTGTACCTTGCGTTCAAGTAACCCTCCGTGGAAGTGTCCAGCCCAAATTTGCCAATGGCGGCTGCTGCTGCCGCCGTCGGCGCTGGCGTCGTGTACATAACTAGCTCATCCGCCAATTGATGGTGGTGATGGTGATGGTGATGATGCGCATACCAGGACGTTTCTCGAACAAGATCTGCTTAGAGAAATGGTTAATGCTATCTTACATTAGGCACGATCCATTGTTAAGTCACCATTGCATAGAGAAGTAGTTCCTCCGCTGACGTTGGTGGCCAAGCCGTTCATAAGAGCTCCTGCAGGTGGCGTAGAATTTCCGGACATGGACAGACAACAGGGTGGCGACCTTTGGCCATGCGTGGGCAGGGGGAGAGTACAGATGGCTTCCATTAGCGTGTGGCTCACTTCCATTTCGCCGTGACTGTGATTTTGGCATTTCTTGCGCTCCGTTTCCAAATTCGCGCAGCTAGAGGAAGATGCAGAAGATGTGGCCTTGCCGATAACCGGCAGTGTTGAGGTGACACAGGAAACCACCGAATCTGTGGTTATAGTCGATGTGTTTGGCGCCGGGTGATACAGCCCGTGGTGATGTGGATGCGAGTGCGAATGGGGGTGATGGTGATCCAAGTGCGTCAGTGTCTGCTGTAGCTGCTCAAGATGAGTCTTGGCCTCGCTGTAGTCGGCCTGTTGAATAAGGAAATGAATCAAGGCGCAGCAGGAAATTATGAGTTTGTTTTGGGTCTCCTTCAATTTTGGCAAATGAATTGCCAATCTGGAATTGGTTCTGGGGTTGCCGGTCGGGCTTTAAGTGACCTAGCCCACAACTTTAAAGCCACCTGCTGTGGTGACAGCGTTACTACCCGCGGCGCTGGTCGAGCAAAGCAGGTTACGGTTAGAGTTACGGTCACGGCTACAGTTACAGATCCCGGTACAAATAGAATAGAAGCAAAGTGTTCGTCACATTGACATACTCAAGTGTGAAGAAGTTGTGGCAATTAGCTTAACAGCTTCTAGCTCCGGCCTTGCATCGTGTGTGGTGTACGGGTGTCAATTGTCTTTTGTTGTGCTTATGTCTGTGTCATTAAGTAATGAGGCATTGTCCACGTCAAAGCGAAATTCACTAAAAGAGTAAAATTCGTTTCAACTGGACCTCGACAGGGATTGGGACTGGGACTGGGAGTGGGACTGGGACTGAGACTGAGACTGGGAGTGGGATTGAGACTGGGAGTGAGTGTGAACAGAAGCATATCATAAACATAGCACTACATATGACAAAGACAATAGAAACCTGCGTTTTATTGACACTTTTACATTTAATGAGCTGCGTAGACTTGAGGTCAGCCGAGTTTAAGGGCGGTGACACCTGTCGCTCTCTCCGCTCATTATGGCTGGCAAGCATTTCACTTTCTAGCTGGTCAGTAAGATCTAATGATGCAGGCAAATTTACCGTTGATCCGCCATCCGTCTTGGCTTTTGGGGCAAGCAATTTAATGTTTGTTTTAGCTGTCAATTTTTGTGTCTATTGCAAACTGCATCTTCCGCCCACTATCGAAGCGTATTGGCACTTGACGCCCAGAAACTAGCACACACCAGGCGTTGCGCTTCGGCGCATTTGAGAATCATTTGTACTAAAGATACCCCTAATTTCATGTGTGTGTGTAACAGACATACACACATACATACATGTGTACAAACAAGCTGCAACAACTTTAACTTCATGCGGAAACGCAGAAAGCGGCAAGTTTCTCAGCTAGAAGGCATAGAACGTGCAATGTGCAGCTTTCTCTGGCTATTTACACAGAAACTAGCGCTAAAGGTTATGTTAATTTAGTACATTAAACTTGAAATGTGGCATTATATTTTGCAATAACTAAGCATACAAAAATAGGAAACACTTCGCCATTAGCTGTGGTTACCAATTTATGTATTGCAAAATATGGCTGCAGCCAGGAAAGACTCTGTCTGTGCTGAATTTAATAAGTGCAAGCAAACAATTTGTAAAATCAAATTACCGACATAATTTAGCGTAACCGTCAAACGCAGCCGGCGAAGCGTTGCCACTTGGCACGCGGTTAGTGCAGACACAAAAGTTATCGGAACTAATCGTTTTTTGTTTGACAGTTTTGTTTTGGAAGATGCCAAAACGGAAAAAGCTTTGCAAGTACATACTGATAATGCCATAAAATTGCCAGATTACCACATTGGAGGTAATAGCTCATTCAATTAACTTACAAACCAGTTGAGCAAAACTAACTGACTAGCTGGCTGATCAACTTTGAACTTTAGCAAACAATGTGGGTGCGGGTGGCTAATATTAAGACGCATGCGCGCCCGCAACTTAAATTACGAAACGCGGCGTCGAGGCTAGCGTTGATGTCGTGTTTGCTTTAAGTTTGTAAGTTACTTTGATCTACTTTGCCGCAGCTGCGACAGAAGACAATGCTTTTCTTTTTGCCTTTGTGCGAGCTGTTTTTTCCACGCTCGTGTGCGTTGCTGTACCTGGCGCTTGTCGTGGAAAACACTTTCACTGCACATGATGAGGCAGTGACACGTCTTCGGCGTCTCTCAGCGTTGTTGTCGTGAACTTCTTGTGGGTGCTGCTGCGGCTATGTGTATGGAAGCGCGACCGAGCGAGTTTCTCGGTCTCGCATGCGTTGCCGCCGAAACTGGGAGCACATTTTCGGTTGAGCAGTGGACCAGACTGGTGGTGCTTCATCCGAGTCTACTTGACATATACGTCGAACACTTCAATGAGCAGCGTCAGTCTTAAACCATGCCAGGATCAGGATCAGACTTCATGAGTAGACCGAATAATTTGATGCGCTTTGTGCTACTAAGCGCCGTACTACTACAAGGTGAGTCCACGTACAAATTTATCGTATGGCGTTTCACATTGACTGACTGACTGAATTATCTGCTTTCAGCTGTTGTAAGCCAGCCCTACCAGACGCCACACCGTTGTTCGAATCGTCTGGAAAACGCACTTGAGCACATGCGCCGTCGCAGTGCTCAAACCAAGGAATCCTCGCGAGGGCGTTCCCGTTCCATGTGGGAACAACCGTTTCAGACTCCATATCAGCTGTATCATAGTTTTTATGGACAGCATACTGAACCTGAGGATGATTTCTATAATGTAGGCGGCAGCCCAAATTACGGGCGTGGCTACTATGCCAAGCACATACGACGCAATGGACGTCCCTATCAGTCCGCCAGTGGATTAAGCGGCAGTGCTCTGGAATTTGAGGAGTTACTGTCTTCACATCAACAAAAACAACAGCAGCAACAGCAACATTACCAGCACCGGCAACCGCACAAATTAGCCATATCGCGGGTGGAGGTTGAGGATCTTAAGGTTAGGGTACCGCCGGCAAAGTCCTCATCACGCTGGGTGGAGATTGACAAGTGCAAGTTCAGCACTGAGAATTCCACGTTGGACACGCGTCTTATTTTTCCGGACTTAACTCTCAGTGGCAAGGTAATCCTCCAGCCTACAGGTGGCCGTTGCAACATGATATTGCGCATGAGGCACGCAGGAATTGAGTTTCGAACGGTGCCGTTGGGCCCAGCATCAGCCTCGCCCTCTTATGAGCAGTCTCGAAGGTTGGGTACCGCCTCTGTGCGCACAGATTCGCACTTTGCAGAGCCTGGCTTTATTTCCGTGTTTGCGCACGGCTGCCAAGGACCAAGTGGCATCAGACTCCGCCAAAATTCGAAACGACGGTTCGGCTACGGCGAGGGTACGGCACCACAAGTAGAATTGGGTGAGCCACACGTAATCTTAGGCACCTCTGGCAAGTATCAAAAGCCAAACTACGATATTCGGCTGGAGCATACTACTCAGAGAGATCAGAGCCTGACTTTTGGCAGCAACGAGGGATTTGGTGATTCAACCGAGTTCTTTGATGTGAATGGCGACAACTTTTACCGACGGCGACAGTTGGGTAAACGGCGCCGACGGCGTCGTCGCCATACGTTACCCACCGATTTCTCGGATGAAATACATTTCAATGAAGACGTACTGCATTTTGAGGATGAGCAGCTGCAGCAGCTTGTCGAACCGGATGCCCGTGCTTTTGCTGATATTTTCTCTGGCGGAAGTGGTGGCGCCAACGGCAATCATGAAGAGTTTGTAGGTGATGCCATGTCCAATGAGCTGGAGAAACTCTTTTCGATGGGCGTGCGAGGTTTGCTTACCACTTACATGCAGAGAGCCCTTCAGCCGGCCATCAAAGAGACGCTTATGGAAAATATGGGCTACACGCTTAGCTACGGCTGAGATCTGTGATCCGCCAGGATTTAAGTTTATTATACGAGTTAATGTTTGAACAAGGTCTGAACGAATTAAAGCTTTAAGTACTTAAGGTCAAGATATCATTCACTTTTCAATTTTCCTGCGGGACTAACAGTTGTTTTTTGTGTTGATCTTACCAATTTGACTGTATCCATGTGTTTTGGTCGCTAGATCTCGCACTTGATTGAACTTTACACACACTGGCGGATGCACTCTTGAACTTGATTGTTTTTCTCATGCAAAATTTCAGTAATGGGATTTCACCTTGTTTCCGTGCATCAATAATTTTGAATTATTAATCACTTCATGGCATTCACTAGTCACAGCCAGTGATCGGCGCATTCCGTCAATACCGTGCAACGGTTATGAAGTAGCCGTGGCAACTGTTAGCTCTGCACAAATTCTAAGAATGTGTCCAACGTTCTCTATGATTTATGTGTTGGGGTTCAAGGGTTGATAGGCTGTTAGGATGCTGCGTCACATTGCGCAGACTCAAAACGCCCACCAAGAATGTAATTGGCGTGTTACTTATGTTTGCAACAGCCAATCAGGGTTACTTATTTCCATGAATTGGAAAAATATTGTAGTTACATGTAAAAGATAGCAAAAATATAAGAAAATAATAGGAAAAGCCCAAACGGCCTCTTTTACGTTCCATGATATTTAATCAATAAATAAACCTCTTAAAATAAAATTGCTTAGTGCATATGATATTAATATTTATAATTATTGAAAAAAAATCTTTTAAATTAGAAACCTAATATGGTTTCATTTTGAATTTCAAATATTCCGCACAAGTACCAGTGCTTTCATCCAAGCGGTAAGGAAGAGAGTTGCCAGTCTTTTTAAGTTCCACGGCGATAAATACCTAGCGCATTTTGGAGTATCGATATATTGAATGAAAAAAGTATCGATTATGCTTAATTACATATTAAAGTGAATTTATGAAAGGTCTCTGAAAACTTATGGTAAATGTCGGTAATTAAATTAAATGATTTGCTTCCACCTCTAAAAACGACATACAATTACATATAAGTGAAAAAGAATGATTTAAATATTTTTTCTGTTTTAAATATCGATTGGTCGATACAAAATCAGCATCAACAATAGTAATTGAACAGGGTGGATGTGAGTGTAGGTGTCTGAATAAACAACAAATATTAATATACCTAAGTAGAGTTCATACGCTGGACTATTGCGGAAGTAAGCGATATCTCTATTGAGAAAAAATCATATTAAAAATATGCTGATTACGCATTGTGTAGCGCCCAATTGATAACAGAGGTGATGACGCGGTCAACGGTCAGGCGGTGGTGTTGGTTGTGTCTGTACGCATTATATAATTACAAACACTTCTATAAACATATGGCTCTAGGTGATCCTTAAGCCCTTACCGCCAAGTGAACAATAACAATATCGAAAACAAAGATCAAAAAGTCACAATACAACAATGAGTGCATAATAATACTTATGAATCCGAGCGTTAACCTTGGGAACACAATGAATTTCGTGCCATCTCCAATTGCGTCAATGTAAATACATATATTTCAATACCAAGGCATTTTTCCCATTTCAGATCGTCCAACATCTTCATTGCACATAAGAACATATAACATACTCAATGCATGCCAGGTTGGTCGGAAACTGCCACAGACAATGATGCTGTAAACAAAGATTCAAACGGTTTAGCTGATTTCGATTTACGAGCGTGTTTCTTCTGCTACACTTGTATACTGGCGACGTATGCAACAAGCGCAGCTTGGCAAGCGCACGGTCTCCGACAGCTGTTCCAGATACAGCTAACACAATGTCGGACAGCACCGGCGTGAATATGGAGGCCGATACCAGAGCTGCTGGCACGAGCAGTTTCAGTGGGAAGGAGGGCTCCTACATACGCACAATAGAGTGGGACATGATGAACAAGACCAAGTTCTTTCCACTTTCCATGTTGAGCTCATTCTCGGTGCGATGTTGCTTGTTTCCACTGACTGTGATCAAGACTCAGCTGCAGGTGCAGCATAAGAGCGATATATATAAGGGCATGATTGATTGTGCCATGAAAATCTACCGCTCTGAGGGCGTTCCTGGTCTATATCGTGGCTTCTGGATATCTTCAGTGCAGATCGTATCGGGCGTGTTTTACATCAGCACCTACGAGGGTGTACGACACATACTCAGCGATTTGGGTGCTGGTCACCGTGTCAAAGCTTTAATTGGTGGTGGCTGTGCGTCGCTCGTTGGCCAGACTATCATAGTTCCTTTTGACGTTATATCACAGCACGCCATGGTACTCGGAATGTCGGCTCATGCCGGCGCGAAAGCTGATATAAATCCTTTGGGTATTAAATCATGGCCTGGTCGCAGCCGCTTGCATATATCTATGGACATAGGGCGTGAGATAATGCGCCGTGATGGATTTCGCGGCTTTTACAGAGGATACACTGCCAGCCTAATGGCCTATGTCCCCAACTCTGCTATGTGGTGGGCGTTTTACCATCTATATCAGGGTAAGTTGTATTGCTAATACACATTAATGATTTACGCTTCACACATTTATTTATTCAATATGTCACCGAAGACGAACTGTATCGTATATGTCCCAACTGGGTCTCTCATCTTTTTATCCAATGTGTGGCCGGCAGTTTAGGTGGCTTTACAACGACAATACTAACTAATCCATTGGACATAGTACGGGCACGCCTTCAGGTAAGTCTTTGAGCCGGCTTCAAAACTGTCTCCTATCACTTATGAAAATTGTATTGGCTTGCAGGTGCATCGTCTAGACTCAATGGGTGTTGCTTTCCGCGAATTGTGGCATGAAGAGAAACTCAACTGCTTCTTTAAAGGCTTATCCGCACGCCTGGTGCAGTCGGCAGCCTTCTCGTTCAGCATTATACTAGGCTATGAGACCATCAAACGGATTGCCATAGACGAGCAATACAAGCATCAAATACGCTGGTAACGGAACGCACAACTCTAAAGAAAACCAAATAAAATCGCATTTGCATTTACGCAACGTACTGAGGAACCACCAGAGATTTGTTGCTGAGCCAGCTGGAGCGCATCATGTGCTCCACTTTTGTAAATAACTGACGAGAATAGTAAAAGGCACAGGTTAATTAGCTAAATTAATAACAATGATAATTTTTGTTAGGGCGTTTAAATGTATCTTACAAATAGAAAAACAAAATTGTTACGCTCTGCAATGTTTACGTACATAACTAATACAATTTAACTTAAAAATACTTAAAGTGTTATAGCTTAAAGTGTACATTTTTTGTTATAGTGATTTTTACATTATACTACCAGAGGCAATGGAAAGCAGCTTAAAAGCAGAAAATTTAGCACGCGTATATATAATAACAGACTTGTACATTATTAATTTAAGTATGTAATTGATGATGATGTTGATAATAATGTTACAATAATACTTTTATAAAGCCAAACTGGACATTCTAATTCTAGTACTTACCTAGCTGTGTCCTTTTTATCACACAGGGCGCCCTATTTAGGCACTTATTGGATGTATGTGTGTTCGAAAAAAATGTAGTTTTAGCATGCATTGTAATAAAGTACAAACCAAGAATTTATACACTTTTAGAACTGTGAAACATAAATTTGATGTGTGTTCGGTCACTGCGATCCTTACATACAGAAGCTTTTCATCTCACTATATTAACCAAAAACGTAAATTTCATAGTTTTTGAGGTTTCGAAATATAGAGATAAGAAACATTGAAAATCTTGTTTGCTCCATATTCTAGTTATGTATTTTTCGCATAGTGTGGTAAAATGAAAATCGATGAACTTTCATTGTGAACGACCAACTTTATAATTAAGAAAGTGTTAAAGGTCCCTAAATGTACAGGTCATGTCATGTCATACTGTAAAAAAGACTACAATAGACAAGATCTTTAAGTAGCTGAGCCTTATGCGACCAAAGCAATTTACGCAAAGATTAATTTATTCTTTGTTATTTGGCCAATCTTATAAATGTCATCGGTTTTAGTCGCATGTCGTCTTTCGGAATATTAACCGCTCCCTGAAAACATTGTAAACATTTGCACATGGAACGGAGATTTTTTAAGAGCTCCAACTAAATTTCATTTCGGTACCTACACCAACAATTATCAATTCCATTATAGAACTTACGTATATATATAATGTATACCCATAATGTAATGGAGGGCACAGAATAGCCTCTATATAATGCGTTGACTAATAATTGACTAATATGCTGATTAGAAAACTATGCACGATATGTGGACTATCAGCAATGCAATCAATTTATTGTAATATTCAGTCGCAGTAGCTATAGACGATGCTATTGTGATAAGGTTTACGGTCTCAAGGTTGAATACATTTGAAGATATACAGGTATATTTTTTAAATAATTCAGTGGCGCGACACAGTAAATGTACCTATGGAAACGAACAAAATATATTACTTTGTATACACTGTGAAGTGCGCACTTATTAGGAAATAAGTTGCACGAAATTTTGGCTTAATTTTTATTGGTTCGACCATTGATCAGGGTAAGCACCAGCACATATTAAAAAATAGGAGACTACAATGTACAGTATTAAAAATGCAAGTGGAATAAGCAAATAAAAGAGGGAAGGTTTAGGAAAGCATCTTGCGAATCATGTAGTTGAGGATGCCGCCATTCTGGTAATAGGTGATGTCCACCTCGGTATCAAATCTCAGCGTAGTCTCAAACACTGTGCCATCGGCCTAAAAGAGCATACGAATTTAATTGTTAATTAATGTTACCAGTCCTTCATTTAGAAAAATACATACCTCAACTTGAATCTTTTGCCCAGGCTTTATGCCGTTTTCGGGCAGAGCAATGTTGTAGACCTCCCGACCGCTTAACTTCAGAGTCTCAGCAGTCTGGCCAGGTAGGAATTGCAGGGGAATAATGCCCATGCCGACCAGGTTAGAACGATGTATGCGCTCGTATGATTCCGCAATGACTGCCTTTACACCCAATAAGAATGGACCTTTAGCGGCCCAATCACGAGAGCTGCCACTGCCGTAATCCTTGCCAACGACCAGCACCAATGGTGTACCTTCCTCACGGTAGCGTTCTGCTGCATCAAAAATGTCTAGTTCCTCCTGGGAGGGTATATGCAGTGTGCGCGGACCGGTCTTTGGGACCAGTTTGTTTACTATACGGATATTGGCAAAGGTGCCCCGTGCCATTATGGCGTCATTACCACGACGCGAGCCATACGAATTAAACTCACGGGGAGTTAAATTGCGTTCGGAGAGGAAGCGAGCCGCAGGTGAATTTCTGGCAATGGAGCCAGCGGGCGAGATATGATCAGTGGTCACAGAGTCACCCAAAAAGAGCAAACAGCGCGCCTTTTCAATGCTCTTTAGCTTAGGCAGCTCGCGCGTCATGCCCTCAAAGAAGGGCGGACGCTTTATATATGTGGATTCGGCGCTCCACGGGTACAACTTGCCATCAGACACCTGTAGAGTTTGCCAGTCCTCTGAGCCCACTTCGATCTTACCTATTAGCAGATAACAGTCAGTATATATAATTCCCGGTATTTTACGTTTACTTACTATAGACCTCCTGGAACATAGCTGGAATAACGTGCTTGTTCTCTACTTCTTGTATTTCGGTGCGCGTTGGCCAAATATCGCAAAGGAAAACGTTCTTTCCATTACCATCCACGCCCAACGGCTCCTTCTCAAAGTCAATATCCACGCGCCCGGCTATGGCATACGCAATCACTAACAAGGGGCTAGCCAGGTAATTGGCGCGCGTGTTGGGATGAATGCGACCCTCAAAGTTACGGTTGCCTGATAAGACGCCGGCACAAACTAAGCCATTCTTCTCAATGGTGTTCACCACGTTCTCCTCCAGAGGACCTGAGTTTCCAATGCACGTCATGCAACCATAGCCCACAATATCAAAGCCAAGCTTTTCCAAATAAGGAATAACACCAGACTCTTTCAAATAGTAGGTCACTACACCAGATCCAGGCGACAGTGACGTCTTGATGTAGGGCAAAATGCTAAGCCCTTTCTCGACTGCTTTCTTGGCCAGTAGACCCGCACCCAACATCACAGAAGGATTTGAGGTGTTTGTACAGGACGTTATTGCAGCAATGACAACGGATCCATGCTGGAGTTTGTAGGTTTTTCCATCGTCCCACTGAAAGTCGACGCTGGCCGAAAGGGCTTCTGGTGCAATAGCAAATCCCTTGAAGCCGACCTAAAATTTGGCAACAATAGAAAACGCTGATTAAATTTATGCGGAAAGACAAACTGGTAGTTCAATGACCCTGCTGTGCCCGAACTATTTGTAGGTCAGTTTGTTTGCGGAAGCGGCCGCGTGAGGCCCCATCAGTGCAGTCAGGCCAGGCCAGGCCCGGGTTCAGAAAACGTTAAAGTCCAACGAATTGCACTAAAAACAATAGCACTTCACAATTTTAGAAATTCGGCATAAAAATATCGAGCGTGCCAGAAAGCAAAGCGCATTCTCAGCAATTTTTGGTAATAACCAAAACCGATCAGCCAGTGCTGCTGGCGTTGGAAACTTGATGCGTTGGCAGCGGCCATTGAACGCAACGGTGCTTATAAGAGCAAGCTGGCCAAGAGCCAGGTTTCAGTTCTGAGTGTTACGTGGTGGTGTCTTGCCAATGCACTTGGTACGGCATTTCACAATTAACTGCATTGGTGTGCCCGCTTATGAGGGACTCGCAATCATAAAGCTAACACATCAGTGCAATTCGCTGTGAGAAAAAAGTACAAGTGATACAAAAAGTCTACGTTACAGCGATTTCAATTTATATCGAGTTATCTAAGGAAATAGTAGCCGTGATTTTACATTAGAAGCTATCACATATCACAGTTGCTGTTTCTTTTAGATAGCTCTTTTGTAAGCAGCCTAACAGTTGGTTCGGGGAGCAGTTTAAGAATTTTTTAAATGTGATTTGGATTTCAATTTATGGGATACACCAAGTTCAGTTTTGTCAGATGTCCAAGCATCACTGGGCTTTGTTTATCTCATAAGAGTGAAATTTGTTCAACTTACAGGGCTGGACAAGCATGACTTAAAGTCTTCGGGCATATTTGAAACAGAAACACGATCGTGCGGACGTTTCGGTCCTGATACAGAGGTAACTACTGTTGAAAGATCCAGGGTGATGGTCTGGAAGTAAGTTTATACGTGAATAAAAATTTTATTAAGGTGTGCAATCAGCTAACCTGAGTAAACTTTGGATCTTGAGCTTCCTCGGCATAGTTGCGCAATTGTTGCGTGGCCTTGAGATACTCACGAATAGTGTCAATTTTCTTCTCAGATCGATCTGTAAGTATATAAATAATTCAATGAGTCAAAAACGTAACATCTGACTGTCTTCTACGCACTTGTTTGCCTCATGTAACCGAGCGTGTTCTCGTCGATGGGGAAATAGCCCACGGTAGCTCCGTACTCAGGACACATGTTACTGATTGTGGCACGGTCCGCAATACTTAGCTCTGCTACACCAGGTCCATAGAACTCAACAAATTTTCCGACGACGCCCAATTGTCGCAAATGCTTTGTAATGGTCAGCACCAAATCCGTGGAAGTCGCTAGAGGACTTAGTTTACCAACCAGCTTATAGCCGATGACTTCGGGCAACAGCATCGAAATGGATTGGCCCAACATCACAGCCTCAGCCTCAATACCGCCCACACCCCAGCCCAGCACACCCAAGCCGTTGATCATAGTAGTATGTGAATCGGTGCCGACAACGCTGTCGGGATAGAGTATCTTGCTGCCATCGCCAGATTCACCTTCAAAAACCACACGGGCCAGGTACTCCAAGTTAACTTGATGTACAATACCCGAGCCAGGTGGCACAATCAGCATGTTATTGAAGGCACGGGCACCCCACTGAAAGTCAATGGAGATTATAAATCTAGCACATAATGTTAAAGTTCGTGCAACGCAAATTTCACCTTTAGAAACGTGAAACGTTCCTTGTTTCGTTCAAACTCTAGATTCTGGTTCTTTGCCAAGGCATCTGGGACGCGGGCAAAGTCAACCTGTACGGAGTGATCAATGACCAAGTCGGCAGGGCAGATGGGATTTATTTTCTCGGGATCACCACCCATATCTAAGACAGCATCACGCATGGCCGCAAAATCCACAACGGCAGGGACGCCCGTGAAGTCCTATTTCCATTCAAAGTACAAAAACCAATAATATACCTGTTGATCACGACATGCAACGCACCTGCAGAATAACTCGCGCTGGCTTGAATGAGACCTCCACATCATTGGTGCCCTGCTTCAGGGCTGGCGTCCAGCTCAAAATGCTCTGTACATCCTTCTCGAGTACATGAAAGTTGTCGCAGTTGCGAACCGCAGACTCCAAAAGTACACGAATCGAGTAGGGCAGCTGATCTGTAAGCGAATGGATTTTTACGTACGGTTAGTCACCTTCAAAATCAAACAAGACAGATACTTATCAGCAAACAGCGGCGTTTATTAGGGGCACTTGTTTTCGATTCAAGCACTTGCCCTTTGTGATTGGGTAACAAATAGTACTTGGAAAGTTCTCACCTTAGGCACCCAGAAACACGCGCCTAACATTAAAACATTCCGTTACTCTATGGATGTATAGAAAATACACACAAGCATACACAAAATTATGTTTTCCACTCGCATGTCTGAAGCATCAGGCCACGATTTCGTCCGATATCAGCAGTGTGAATTTGTCTTGCTCATGCTGATAACTGTCTACATAATACAAGAGCTATATTCACGTACAATATAATATAGTCCGACCTTATCAAAGCACGCCGGTGGCGTCGTGTGCCTGGCATGCCCGAACGAGCCTCGCCGACCCCTCACCTCCATCAATAAAGCAAATCACATTGATAACTTTCGCTTTCAGCTAAGCGCTAGGCGAGTTTTAGAAAGCTGAGACTGGACTAATGCCGCCCCATGTCGTTAAGTAAGTCTCACCTATCCACTGACACTGTTTGGACTTGCAAATTAAAGCGGTCGCTGCTGGGAAGTTGGGGTCAAACTTCAAGTCGTTGCTCTTTGCATTGAACAGGTGTTGATGTATCTATATCTGCCCCTTTACGATATCGGCGTATCGACAATGTCACCACGCAGCCAGGTAATCGTGATTTACATAAAACTTACCATATTTGCTATCTATGGAAGCCAGATCAAAGTACTTGTAGACCGTCCCATCCTTAATGAAGGATTTCTCGAATTGCGCAAATGGATTTTCACCTGTAAATTAGTTTGCGCCTTTATAAGTAATTATATAAGACCCTGGACAAGCTTAATACTGCAAGTGGGGCTTACCAGACATTGCTATGCTTTTTTATGGAGAGCGATTTAACCTGAACTGCGGGCGTTTACTTTGTGGAATGAACAAGTTTTTGAGATTTTACCACTGGTATTTGTATTGTATTGTATTTGTATCCGTTACAAGTCACGGATGGTACAAAATACTAAATACTTGAGATGGCGGTGGTACGCAGCTCACAAAAAAATCAGTGCAATATAAACATTGTATTGCATGCTGAGGTAAGTTGGTAAAGCAAATGCTTACCACCAGAAAGGCTTTCCTCAAATAAATAAATGTTTCAAATAACTTGTGATTTACAAAATGACAAATATTTTATTAAAATGGCTTGCGTGCTCATCTTGTGTACAACCTGTTGATTCGATATTTATTTTTTAGGTCCCATAATACATGCATCGTGTAACTGTTGGGCTTATATCGCTCATCCCTAATTCGCTTTTTGTTAATTCTCATTCTCGCACGTTGTTTTTCGGTTTGATTAAATATTAAAATGAGTAAAACAGATACTGAAGAAGCTTCGAAAGATAAATTACGCGAGATGCATTGCAAATTTAACGCGCTCTCCCGTTGTGATGGTTCTGTCATGTATAGCCAAGGTTTGTATTGCTTTCCGTATTTCGTATGTTAGAATGCCGGCTGAGATAGTTACTTTATTCTATAGGCGCCACAGTAGTCATAGCCGCTGTGCTGGGCCCCATTGAGGTGAAGACACAAAACCTAAGCATTGAAGGCAGTTACTTGGAGTGCAACTATCGTCCAAAAGCCGGGCTGCCACAGGTAAAGGAGCGCATACGCGAGGCGGCCATACGAGATGTTTTGGAACTGGCCCTGCTGAGTGAAGCATATCCGCGTGCAAAAATGTCGGTCCAGGTACAGGAGCTAGAGGATCGTGGAAGCGTGAGTTATACAAATTGTATTGTTAAGCTTGCCGACTAAAATAGTTGTTTTGTAGATAGATGCGTGCGCCTTGAATGCAGCCTGTTTAGCCATGCTCATTGGCGGCCTGCCCTTAAAGTACAGCTTTGCGGCAGTACACTGCATAATCAATGAACAGGGTGAATTTGTGCTGGACCCAGACCAAAACGAGACCCTGCATCAGCAAGCTAGCTTTACATTTGCCTTCGACTCTGTGGATGGGAACCTTCTGTTGGTGCAAACAAAAGGCGCCTTCAAGATTGCTCAGTTCAATGATATTGAATGCATTTGCCGCGCGGCCAGTGCTGAAATCTTTGAGTTCTATCGTAGAAATATAGCCAAATATCATGGCAGTAGTGCGGAGCAAGCCGCGGTGACAAAAGAGAGCAGCAGTAGCGATCTACCAATGGAAACGTGATGTACAGTAAATAAGTGTTATTAAAGCTGGCTAACCATTTTTATTGTCCGCTTAATTTAAATTTGTTTGCTATGGTAGTAACTGCCAATGCTGCTGATATGCAGCGGTATGCCTTTCAGGACTTGTGAATTGGAATCTACGATCCGTGCGACCACAAAATCGCCCACGTCAATGTCCTTTGCGCTCACATTAGCTTTGGCTGTAGGCAGGGAGGCGGCGGGCACAATGACTTTTATATTGGCATCATTGCGGCCAAACCAGAAGTTTTCGGACCGCTTACTTTTGCCCTCGATTAGTATAAGTTGCTCTTGCCCCTCGAAACGTTTATGCAACTGCGTGGCACCTTCTCGGAATGCCTGCACCATGCGCTGCAGCCGAGCGGTTTTCACCACAGCTGGGACATCGTCCACATAGCGTCTGTGGGCTGTGGTTTTCTCGCGCATGCTGTAGGCAAACAGAAAGGCCACGTTATAGCGCACCCTTTCGATGAGCGATATGGTGTCTTCAAACTCAGAGTCCGTTTCACCGCAAAAGCCGCAAATAAAGTCACTGGAGAGACCTACATCAGGTAGCATTTGACGAATGTGTGACACCAGCTCCAAGTAAGCTTCACGTGTGTATCCACGGCGCATTCTGGAGAGAACCGCTGTGTTGCCCGACTGTGCGGGCAGATGCAGCTGCTTGCAGACATTGGGATAGTCGCGAATGACGCGCAGTACTTCGTCGGAGAAGTCCTTTGGATGCGGCGATGTAAAACGTATGCGCATTTCCGGCACAGCCTCGGCCACACTTTGCAGCAACACTGAAAATGGTAATCCGCCTGTTTTCGGCTTGTAAACCGTACTAAAACCTGTGGCCAAATTGACAATGGCGTTGTCCGATTGCTCGGAGCTTTTGTCTCTATACGAATTGACATTTTGACCCAAAAGGGTTACCTCCTTGACACCCTGCTCCTGCAGCGTCAGCACTTCACGCACGATTGATTTTAGTGGACGGGAACGTTCGCGACCACGTGTAAAGGGCACAATGCAGTAGGAACACATATTGTCACAGCCGCGCATAATCGAGACGAAGGCAGTGGGCGAATCCGAGCTCAAGCGCACGGGCATGACATCCGCATAGGTCTCGTCCAGTGAGAGCAATACATTGATAGCCGAGTTGCCATAGTGGCGAGCTACGGCTAACAGTCTTGGTAGATCCTTGTAGCTATCAGGACCGGCAATGACATCCACGCATTGCTCCTGCTCGAGTAGTCGCTCTTTCAATCTTTCCGCCATGCAGCCAAGGATTGTCAATTGCAACGGCTGACGTTTGGTTCCACGCCGCTCCTTCAACGCTCGCAAGTGTCGCAAACGGTTCCAAATCTTTTGTTCGGCCCCATCGCGCACCGCGCAGGTCACAAGCATTACGACATCAGCATTTGCAGCATCTTCGCAACGCTGGTAACCATGTTTCTGCAGAATGCTCCACACTACTTCCGTATCGTTTGTGTTCATCTGACAGCCATACACCTCGAAGTGCACCCGCCGACCATGGCCATTATAGTCTATTGAATTTAGGTATGGTATATTACTGTCCTCAGCATGCGATTCGTCCGCTTCTCTCAGCCTCCGCTTAGGTTTCACAGTGAAAAAGTCCTTCAGGCCGGGTCCCCGTTCTATGCGTTCAATGAAAGTTTCACGTGTGCTGCTGTGCGAGTAGCTGTTGGTTGAAGTTTGTGTGGCAGGGGTAGCTGAGCCTGCAGCAGCAGCTGTGGATGCAGCTGCATTGCTTTGGTTGCGCCAATTTTGTCGTAGACAGCCACTGACTATCTGCCAGCGCAACCTCATGGCAGCTTGGTTTAAAAGCAATCACTTTTGTTTAGAAATTATGTCACAAGCTAGCTAAAACATGGATTTTTATTTATCGATAAATCTCTTTTTATATTTTTGAATATTATTTATCGATATTTTTTAATAGAAGTGAAATCGTTGGTTGATGAATTGAATAATGGACCGTAGGCAGGGTTGTTAGTGAAAACAAAAAGTTGATTAATTCGAAATTAAATATTATCTGGCTCATAAGGTTACGAAAAGGTGCTAAGCTATTACAAAATAGACTCAAAAAAGCAAACCAATCTAATATCGTTAAGCTGTGCTTACAAAACCTAGTACATTATACCTCCGATAGGTGAGGCTATCAAAATATTTCAACATTGAGTACAAGTCAGTAAGTACTAAATATAGCCGATAGGTGGCGCGATTCAGTATTTCCAAAGCTTGTACCAATAAGCAGGTACTGAACTTGTCCGATAGGTGGTGATGCTCAATTTTAATATATGTATTTGCTAATATTGGTCTGGTTGGGCACGTGGCTAAATGAAAAATATTCTTGTGTACATGAATAAGTACAAAATATAACCGCTAGTCGGCGAATGGGTGTCACTGCACCCATTCCAATTGGCTCCAATTGATAAACCAGAAACGCTCTCCCAGCCGAAGCAACCTGAGATTGATTCAGATATTTGAAATTTAGGCACTTCCCATTGTTCCCAATGCACATATTTACCATGATAACGCTTTCTTCCACAGTGTTCTCAAGGTCCCACGAGTCAGTGACGAGGTAGCCAAAAGTAGCAGCAGATACCTGTATATGCTCCACCTGCACAGCAACAACCTAGCAGTTGGCCTGCCGGACAACAGCAACAGCTCCAGAAGACTCAAGACGTAACAGATTTTTAATAAAATGGTTATTTCATCCAAAAAAAAATTGTATGACATAGGGGAAGATATTCAAGAGTGAAATATTAATACTATACAAGAACTGACACACATATTAAGCGTATCGAGATATTCTTATTTTCGAGTTATTCCAAAATCTAAATTTATCAAAATTTATATGTTGCTTTTAAGTATTTTGTTTACATTAAAAAGCTAGAGGCATTTTCTGATGACTGACGGACAGACATACACAATTGTTGTACGTGCATACAAACTTTGGATCAACTTAATTGCAATGAAGTCAAAGTTGAAGTGAATAAATAAATGTGTCGTTATAAGCACCATGTATTTTAGTTTGCTTTGCAAAGACAAACAGCTACAGATGCAGCTGCAGATGCAGATACACACAAGACCACACACTTGAGGGTACCAAATTATCCGGCCTCATTATGAGCTTATCGTGGTCGAGTTAATAATGCACATGCAATAAGACGCTGCACAAAACATGGGCCTACTAGGCCAAGTCAACGTCGTTGATGATTTGCGGCTTTGTGGGCCAATAACTGAGTAATTGCATCAGCAGCTCGTAAACAGAAGCGGATCGGCCGGCCAAGGTGCCAAGTTGCCAAGTTGGTTAGATTTACAGGGCTCATATATGAGAGTATAAGTGTGTGGGGGAGAGTGTGGGGGGAGAGTAGCTGGTGGGATATGGGGCGATGGCGCGGGCGTGGGCGTGGCGTCTGGCATATTTGTAAACACTTACTAGCAAAAATATTTTAATGAAAACGAAATGAAAATTCCACTTTTGGCCAAAAGAATTTTGTAATTACAGCGAAAAAATTCGGTAATTAAATTCATGAAGTTTTTGGCACTGCGCAACGAAGCGTTTGGCATTTTCGGTTCTAGGGCTCCAGTGCTCCAGGATCCCAAACAACTGTAAGTGGGATCTCTTGCGAGTGTGTGTGTGTGTGTGTGTTTGTGACTATGCCACTCTGACCGCCTTGTTGGTTAAGCATTTTCTTGTATTTTGTCGGCACTTTTCCGCTAAAGTTATTTTCGTATGGGTTTCGCTTCTGGCTGCCGCGCCAGCAGCAGCTGCTATAAATCTTGGCGCCGAAGTTTCAGTGTTCCACTGCTCCATGGCCTCATAGAATGGGGACGCGGATAGAAGTGGAGCCAAGCAGCTTAAGCTGACTCGGCCCCTTCGTAATGCGCATTTCGGATTGGACGTAAATTTTAAAAAGCTGCTCAATAACTCAGTCCTTCGACTATGAGTGCCTATGATAATCATTTATGTTGTGTTTAGTTATTGCAATTAATCCGACAATTCTGCGCTTAAACACGAACCACACTCTTGGCAACTTGAAAGTTTACTTCCAATCGAAGCAGATTCCAAATTGATTTCCCAACAACTGAACAGAGCGCATTGTAGAGTCTTAATAAGAGTTTTTCATAGGATATAAAAGTTTCCTTTTGAATTTGCTTTTACTATTCGTGGATTTGCAGATCAAGCTCGTGTCTCAATTGGCTTGCCATGTCAAGGCTCTGTGGCTACTGCTTAGCTTCAGCCCCTCCCCACCCTCCCTCAGCCTTGTGCGCCCACCATTCAACCAAAAACGACACATTTAGGCGCCATAACGTGGGCGCACGCATTATGATCCCCCGAATGGCTCAATGCGTATCCGTGGCCTTTAAATGCGGCTAAACTTTGCTTACAGATTTCCCATTTTCGGAAAACCATTCGCTCCTTGCCTCCCCCTTTGCCTGATTCGTTATACAGCACTGCGCTCACCGTGGGGCTTGGGGGCATCGTGTTGGGCGTGGGTACGGGGGAGTGGCTGCACAGTGGTGTTAACGGCACTGCTGAGGGTAATTCGCTACCCAAAACAAAGCAAATGGGGGGAAAAAAGTAACCCAATGTTAATAGAAAATTGTGCGCTGTTGTCGTCAACGTCGCCGTCATTGTCGTTAAATTGAAATTGTCGCGCAAATAAAAATTTGCATATTTTAGCATTGATTTTGCGGCCCCGCAGCCAGAGCCATGCGGCAGTCCCTTTGCGAGGCCCTTGGGATACGCGTCGTATGCGCAATGTTTGAGTGCAGTCAATAAATTAAGCAAAATCGCAAAAATTGCTCAAATTAATTACAGAACAGTGCATAAAACAGACAAAGGCTGTGCCCAGACACTAAGCCATGCTACGCCATGGACCCAGACCGGGATTGGGGTGTGGCGCTGAGGCCTCATTACTGGCTGCTAGTTCCAGTTGTTGTCCATACTAAATCCTGACGCTGTCACAATAAAATCCACTCAAGCTAAACATACGTCAGCTGTGATGAGCAGCAGGCCGAGTCCAAGAACGCAGCTCAGCCCAACAGATTGACTGGGTCAGGGGTCGGGGACTGGCACTGACACCCTCCAAGCCGAGTCCGTCTCCAAGGCAAGTTGCACAAATTTATGCGCTGGTCAGGATGAGCATGGAAAAAACGGTGTCCCTGTCAGTGACTCGAAGGCGCAGCGTGCATTGCAAAACTGCTCATTGATTTATTTACGAGCTCGACTGATGTGTCCACCCGGCTAAGGGCTGGCTGGGTAGGCTGCAACAGTGGGCGTGGCCGACGCAAACACGAGATGGCCATGTACTGAGTTTCTCGAATGCTTCGACAACAACGCTGGAAAATTAGATTATGTTAATTTTAAAAAACAGTTTTTCTAGACACAAAAAATAAACTGGCTCATTTCAGCCTTTATGTCTGGTGACGTCTCTATTATTCATTTATTTATGTCTATGTTATTTATCTATAGAATGTTCTTGAAAGCAATGTGAAGCAAAGTTACATATGAGTTTTTCATCATTGGTTCATTCTAAGGTAAAAGGAAAATAAAATGAATTACTTCATTTGAAATGTCACCATCTGGGCTTGGTTTTTTGGCTCCACTGTGCTGAAAACCCCATTGCCAAGTCAGGCCTCCTCATATAGATTCTCATTCTCGCTGTCTTTGCTGTGCATTGTGACTTACATAAACTGTAGTCGACTTGCTCGTGGAGTCATTTGGGCCCAGGACCGTAGATCTTTTAGAGCAATGGCTTTTGACACTCAATATGCCTGCTGCTGATGCGGGGCGTTTCAATATTTATGTTGCGATTCGGCCTGCAGCTTTAAAGGGTGTGTTTGCTGGTAATTTCCAATGTCACGTGGCGGTAATTACCGGTGTTGCCAGACACACAAACACACACACAGTCAACCGCGCACACACGCGCACACACAGGCATACAGACATACGTGATCACACAGCCCAGAACTGCACGCCAGTCAACACTCTGGAGGAGGCACAGCAGGCTCTGCAGGCCCAGCGCGCTGTGTTGCATCGCGTATCGACGCGTTTTACAATTTCAATTCATTGAATTTTAACGGCGCCTACAACAAAAGCGCACTGCGTCCTGGGCCCCTGATCCATGTCTCGCACATGACCGCCGCTTACCGAAGTTTGTAAAACGTTGTGTGCAACATTTGGCGAGTGTCCTGCTTCCTGCCGACTGCCAATTGGCAACTGGCAACTGGCAACTGGCAGCCTCAGACTGCGGGCGGCCGTCCGCTGCCTTTGTCAATATCCATTATCCATTGGGTGTGTAGGTCGTTGGCTGGCGGCTGCCGCCTGTCGGTAGGCGACTGCCCGTGGAGCCGGAGTGAGCCCTGATATTAAAACGTGTTTTATCACGCGCCGCCATTTCGCGGCCGAGTATTCATTCCAATTGCGGCCAGATTGCACTTTTCAAGTGCCTGTTAATGCACTTGGCCAGCCAGATCTGACGCGCTGCTGGACAAGTTAAAGCTGCGTCCGTTTGCTTATTTTCTAGCAGAAATTCAAATTAGAAAAACAAGCTGAAAGTGTCAACAAAAACGGAAAGGGTTGATGAGAGGCTCTGCACATTCCAGGCAGCAGCTGCTGTTTGTCCTTTGCCGCCATTTTGTGCGTGCCAATGTTGTCGTATTCCCTCCTCTGCCCTGTGGCTGCTCCACTTGCTCCTGCCCTCGCTCTAGCATTCTCCTGCTTCTTGCTTCGTTTGGCTCTCTGCAGTGTGTCTCTCTCTGTGTGTGTGTGTGTGTGCGTGTTTCTGTGTTTGTTACATTTTCGTTTTGCAATTTCATTAAATTCCAGCATCGGCCATAAATCTTCC